TCATGGAAACCACAATTTTCGTTCAAAATACCCTTAATTTTGCAAAACCTGAACATGTACATCATGTAGAATATGGATTATTTTTCGAATCAATACATATCAGCACATTTTAGCACACTCAAAATAACCAGTACAGTTCAAACATTTGTTTAAATATAAAGGATATTGCAATTTACATGATTGGTCAGTGTCAAAGAACATACAATTACACGAGTGATCAAAAGTGGGCGTCGCCCCCACAATAGTAGATGATTGCTATACTCTATAAAAACAGAGTTTAACTTGGCTTTTGAGATACATTTACACTAGACTTATTTGATTATATTTTATATCAAGCATTTCTGGTAAATAATGTACATCTAAGTGTCATTGTTATTGCATTGGGGGGGGGGTACAGTAAAAGAATTGGGAGGAGGCAGAGCTAATCAGCCTTAAGTATAAATCTCATCTACATATATCTGGATTTCATGGGGTACATTTTCTGCATTGGTCTTCTTCATATTCATCTCAGTATATGGGATATTACAACTTACATGATTGGTCAGTGTCAAAGAACATACAATTACACAAGTAATCAAAAGTGGGCGTCGCCCCCATACTAGAGAAGATGATTGCTATTCTCTATAAAAACAGAGTTAAACTTGACTTGAGATACATTTACATTGGACTTCTTTGATTATACTTTATATTTTCTGGTAAATAATGTACAACTCAGTGCAATGGTTATTGCATGAGGAGGGGTGAGGTTAGTAACAGAATTGGGAGGGGGCAGAGTTAATCAGCCTTAGGAATAAATTCTTTCGTTTGGACTTCTTCATAGAGTATTTTCTGCGTCTTCTTAGTTATCTCAATATACTGTATATAGTTATTGTATGGGAGGGGGTTAGTAACAGAATTCGGAGGGGTGGGGGGAACAAGTCAGCATTAAGTATCAATTTCATCTTCAGAGTTCTGGATTTCATAAGATACATCTTCTGGAGTCTTTCTGATTCATCTCCTTGTGCTATATCAACAATCATTTGTCTGAGAATTCCAGCCAATACCCAATGCAATGGTGGAGTCATTCAGTTTCCATCCATGTCCATCTTCTGCTGGAATGTCAGGGTTTACAATATGGGCCATATGCACGATAAGTGCTTTGTAGTAAGCTCTTGACAAGGTGGAAGAAGACTGATGTCGGTTCCTTCATAGTCTTTGATTGTTTTATGGGGTCTAAACTTCTATTTCAATTGGTTTATGTGGTTTTGCTGGTGTAAGACATTGTGGCTTAACATAAATGTTTTTTTATTATATTAATCAGTCTTCTTTTGTTTGTCCAGCACTACACTTTGCTGTATTCTGTGCTTATCCTAACACATTGATTGAAGGACTTATAAATGAAAGATATGTAGTCTTTAAAGTGCACATGAGAGATGGATTGAAAATGTGTTTATTCCTTATGTGACAATATTACTCTCTGGGCCCATATGGGCCCTAAGGAAATATCATACTAAATTTCATGGATTCTCTGATGGGTTGTTTTGTTTCTGGAGCTGGCAGAAAATACATGTTTTTCAAGATACTTCTAACAGCAGAGTGATTATGTGATAATTAAATCCAAAATTCTATAAACGAACCTGATAAGAGAAGAAGTGGGTGGTGGCACATCACCTTATCAAATGTAGAAATACATGAGTCCCTTAAGATTGGAATGAGTTCATGAATAAGGATGCAAACAAGAAGCAACTATACCAGTTACACTTAATTGAATAAGACCAGAATATGCCAAGAAAAAATCTACTGTGTAGCAGGTGGGAAATGCCATATCCTTTCTAGTGATCATCATGATAAACCATGAAATTTTATTTCTTCCCAGCCCTTCAGGTGAGACAGAAAGATGCTAAGAGTATCAGAATGTCTAGTCATGGCAATACAATAACAACTATAGATGAGCCTTCATCATTTTCATTCTTGTGATTTATCGCATGATATTGATATATCAACAATCTCTCAAGAGAAAATACCACTAAACACTTGTAGATTTGAGAGTCATTCAGCTTGGACTCAATATGGTGCTCCATCTTTTTAAAATGTGCTATCCTGCCCCTTCAAAGCATTGCACTTACTTCATCTAGCGAAGGTATGAAGGCTGCATATATTATGCCAGGCCCTAGATGGGAGTAGTAACAGAATAATGGGGAGGGAGTAGAGTTCCCTCCTAGGTATGAAACCACTTCCCCACCCTCACCTCATGTAAAAACTATACTACTAAACATATTTATTAGAAATGGTTTATATAAATTATATTTGAACATGACTGTATTCACGCCTTCTATTAACTGTGAACAAAGTCAACATTTTACCCGGGGTATATATGTCAACACTACCCTTAGTAATTCGAGTAATGTGTGACATCAAGAGGGCTGTGGTAATGGCAGACATAAGTTGAATATTCGAAAAATTTTGGGGAGTTTGAATTGTAATATATACCTCAGAGCAGGTGTGACATTGACAATGACACCTTAGGGCTAGGTACAAAAGCTTTCGAACCCCTCACTCCCTTGCATAGCCGTGTGGAGTGTATTTGTCAATATAACACCTGCTCTTCAGTCTATATTTCTTAAATAATAGAAGTATAGATGACGTATAGATGACAGTGATCTTCCAAGCATTAAAGCAAGTGGGCGCAGCACCCACCTGAGATTTTGAAAATAGGTTTGCACCCACCTGAAAATCCATATGCACCCACTTGAAAGTTAGAAAAATCATGAAAAATTGGCATATTTTGACCAATTTTGGTCTAAATTGTGAAAATGAAAATTTTGTACCCACCTAAGAAGAAATCCTAGGGAGATCGCTGGATGATCTTAAAACTCAAGTTGACCTCTGTTTGTAGAGAATGAACCATATACTGTTGTTGGGGAGATTCCAACTTTTGATCACTTATGTAATTGTTTGGTCTTGGATACTTACCTATCATGTTTATTGTATTATCCTATATATTGAGATGAATATGAAGAAGACCTAGATTATGTACTTGTTCCTTAATAAATCCAGAACGAAGTATTATGAGCCCCCTTCCAGTTTCTATTACTAGCCCCCCCCCCTCTCTCAACCCTGCCTCTCATGCAATAACTATAAAACTCAGATGTCACTGGTCAGTATCGAGCGATGGTATATGCCATATAAGCCTGGTTTAGTTCAAATATCAAAGTATTAGATCGACTATAAAGTAGTTTAAGTCAATGAAAACTATAAATATCTTCTCAACTGACACCAGTGAGATGTACATTATTTACCTGAAATGGTTGATATTAAGTATAATCAAAGAAGTATAAGTGATAAATATATATATATCTTGAAAATTCTACTTAAACCCTGTATTTATAGAGAATGGAAATCATCTACTATTATGAAGGTGATGATGCCTACTTTTGATCACTTATGTAATGGTATGGTCTTTGACACCAATCATGTAAAATGTAGTACCTATATATTGTAATGAAAATGAAGAAGACCCAGAAGATGTAACCTTTGAATATCCAGAACTATATAAATGAGAATTATACTAAGGCTGATTATCTATGCCCCCTCCAAATTCTGTTACTACCCCCCCCTCCGCTCCCAATGCAACAACTTTTAAACTTATATGTACATTATTTACCAGAAATGCATGATATTAAGTATATTCAAAGAACTTCAATATAAATGTATCTCAAAAGTCAAGTTAAACTCTGTATTTTCAGAGAATGGTAATCATTTACTATTATGGGGGCGACGCCCACTTTTGATCACTTATGTAGTAGTATGGTCTTTGACACTTACCAATTATATAAATTGCAATATCCTTTATGCTTAAACAAATGCTTGAACTTCCCCGGCCATTTTGGGTGTGCTAAAATATTCTTATATCAGTTGATTTGAAAAATAATCCTCATTCTATATTATGTACCTGTACAGGTTTGGCCAAAATTAAGGATTTTTCAATGAAAATTGTGGTTTCCATGGCAACCATGAGTGACAGTTGATTGAACCTTAACAGACTACCTCAGCATGATCCAATCAACTCCCCATAAAATTATTATGATGATTGAAGACCAACTGAAGGATTTATTCAATGATGATAAAGTACCCCCCTGTAATTTTCCATTTTAGGGTCGAAAACGCCAATTTGACAACTTTCGCCCCGGATACAGCGCGTCAGACAAACATTTTCTGAAGTATCACATAAAAATACATAAGAAACAAGTAATTTCAATTTGTTCACGAACTAATACATTTTTGGGTGCTAGCTTACTACCTAATACTCTGAGTAAGCAAAGAAGAGGAATACCCCATAATTCATAGATGAACCTATCTCCATGCTAAGATTAACATCTAAAGGTTTAGTTTTCCTGTGAATTCTGGGAGATTTCGTCCTTTTAGGTGAACAGGTCAAAGATCATCCGACTCTGCCAGTTTTCAATATGGCTGAAGGTCAAATTCAACAATTAGCAAAAGCAAATGTTTGAATATCTCAGTCGGATAACTTATTTTCCCATTACGTTTTCTAGTATATATTCAAATAATGCGATATCTGAAACAAATACATGACTAATGTTTATCAGCGATAAGCCTATGACACTTTCTACGACTTTCGCTGTTCGATTCGCAACTATCAATCAAAACAAAGTTATTTTAAATCATTAGTCGGTTGTTTTGAATTAATTTATGTTATTTATTCTGGAACATTAGAACATTTTATTTATTATGTATTTATTGTTCTTAGCCCAATTAGAGGTACCGTTTTAGTAACACTCAAAACTTCCACTTTGTTTTGGACCCGGTTGTACAAATCTTGATGTCATTTACCCGTTAATTGCCTGTTTGTTACTCCTTAAACCTAGCCTAAAACATTGTTAAAATTTAACAATGCCAAATTATACATTTTATTAATCCAGAGTGTGTTTTCGAGGCCCCACATATGAATAAACGTTACCGTGTTTCGAAATCTTATGTTTTACGAATAGTATTTGTATATTAGTAGTTAACGCACTTGACGACGTGTAAATCACGCTCAAGGGTTGTTGAGAGATCTGCTTGTGATACTGCTAAGTGTACGAGTCGGTTTGTAGTTGACGGGACTTCGCGCTGCAGCTTGACGTGGATGCTACCAGCTCATCCTAAAGTAAGTGAAATATTATGAAAATTATCAAAAGGATGGTGATATTTATTCGATTATGTTTGATTGGTATTATTAAACTACGCATTGTTTATTTGAAAGTCAGCTTAATTTGGCTAATGTCTAGTTTCAAACTTAGGGAATTCGAAAGTTTTCGGATAAAGTAAAGCTGGGCTGGCCTAGACACTTAGGGAGTAAAGAACAAGATATGTAAAATAAAATTGTAGAAATGAATTGTGATAAGTTGATAGAGAAATATAATCAGGAATTACATGAAAACTATATCTATTTTGAAATAACAATTCGAAATTGGACACTCGTAGTTAATTCTGAACATGAATTGATATCGTGCTTTTCATCAAGCCAATATCATCGCGCAATGGGATATTTATTGCACTGAGCTAAAAATACGCCCAGTGCCCGAATAATAAATTCAAAGTCAAGACGGAAAAAATTATTTCGATATTGTTAATTCGTATTGATTTATCTCGTAGATTAGTTGCTAACAAATAGTAGGCTTCAGTATCATTTTACTCAAATAAGTTTTTCATATCAATTTCCAATGACTTTATAATATTGGAATATATAAGCACCGAATATACCTCAATTTTAAAGAACTTTGTCCGTAACTTTACCTTGATCCAAGCAGGTCAACCCGACCTCAACAAATGGTAAAAACTATAATGGAATATAAGAATCTGAAATAGAACATTAGAATCATCGGTAGTGTTTGAAAACTTGTTAAAATAACTCATCGAGGTATGGCATCTCTTACAGAAAGTAGGTCAAACAGGTCAACATTTAGGTTAGTTTGACCCAAGGGCCTACGATAGTGGTGTGGTCAAACAGGTCAACATTTAGGTTAGTTTGACCTAAGGGCCTACGATAGTGGTGTGGTCAAACAGGTCAACATTTAGGTTAGTTTGACCTAAGGGCCTACGATAGTGGTGTGGTCAAACAGGTCAACATTTAGGTTAGTTTGACCTAAGGGCCTACGATAGTGGTGTGGTCAAACAGGTCAACATTTAGGTTAGTTTGACCTAAGTGACTACGATAGTGGTGTGGTCAAACAGGTCAACATTTAGGTTAGTTTGACCTACGGGACTACGATAGTGTGCAACGAAGTTATTTATTTCCTTCCTTACATCTTGTTACATTGAAACGGCTACACCAATAACATTTAAAATATGTTAAATATATGTTCACCTCAAATAGAGAAGAATGAAACTCTCATCTATAGAATCGCCGTGCACAAGTTTTTATTTATTTACCAAGTTACGGTGGCCGCATGCCAGTCTTACGTTGACTTGCGTAGTGTGGTGCACATTTGGAAATAGTTTTTAGGTTAGGTTTACAAAAGTTGCTGTTTTATTCACAGATAAATATTGAAAATGACATTTTTAAAGTATGAAACATTAAGTCCATTTGGTTCAATCAAATTAATGATTAATTGTAATAAAACAATTAATAACGTGATAATCTACCCATCTCTGTTTGGCAAACCCGGGCGCATTATGATATGATGATAAGCGGACAACGTACTTAAACTTTAAGTATTCTTCAACGTTTTTTTAATATCATTGAGAGAGCTGGTCAATGTCATATTTAGAAAAAAAGACTAATTTGTTAATCTGTGTGAACGCATTTATAATCGGTTTGTACTTGAAACGTGTGTTGGTTGTGACGAATTATTAGAAAATAACATGATTTGAGAACATGTTTTATTTAAGGAATATGTTGTTTAAAACATTTTCTCTATTGGTAAATATGGCAGCAGTGGCCTAGATGCGAGTAGTAGTTACCAGTTTCACCACCAGGTGGCTAATTCGGGTCAGATAACATGGCAGGGTATTAGAAAGTTCCCTTTATACTTGAATATTCATCAGTTTTAGTGGTTCAATTTTCATATTCCCCTCATGTATCTGATAGTTATACAAATTGAAATATGTCCAGTAAAAGAAAATAGTATCTGTCTAATTCAAGAAAAGATATTTCTCTTTTTGTGATTTTATAACCCAGAAGTCAAAATCTGAAGGATTATTAAAATTCCAAACTTGATGAACGCTTTTTGAAACCATATCCTTAGATTTAAATTTACACGTGGATTTCAAATATATACCACTTAGACTGAAATTTGAATTTTAATGACGTAAATCAAGATTATTTCTACTCGCATCTAGTCTTTTCCAATATATACCCCTTCCTGTCCGCTTCACACATTGACGTAAAAGCAATGCATTTAGCATTTTGTACTTTGACGAAAATTTCGTCAACATAACAAAAATGATGACTAAATATGTGAATTGCTCCTTTGATTAAAAAACAAGCAGTATATTCTTTGCTTCATGTTATTGTATGTATAAATCGAGAAGACAGAATTTTTAAAAACCGCGAGGGAGATTTGAAAAACAACCCCACATTTATGGGGGTAAACGGGGCATTATACTCAAAGAATCCAATGTCGTATGGTCAAACTGTGTACGTGCACTATTACATGTAGTATATAGCACATTGATATTATTTTTTATTTATTTCAATTATGATTAATGCATAAAACATCACTAATATTTTGTGGTAAAATATTTATCTGATTTCTCCTAATCATAATGTCCTGTTTAATCAACAAATTATCTTTTAATATGTACTTGAAGTCGCTGTTTGTATTTGGTCAGCTAGAAGCTTCGAGGTCCGTTCTTTACGCTGACCCGGATAACGGAGAATTGGTAAATACTTAATCTAAGAATAGGGAAGTTAAGCTACACGTTTATAAGATAACTTATACGTGAACGTGTTATATTCTGACCCCGGGGAACACCCCCCCCCCCTTTTCTCCATCGGTTTTTCCAGGGACTTAATTGAAAATATTAGTTTTCCTTATACCTTATACTACGAATGGGATAGCTGATCCACAGAGAGCAATATTTCAATCAAGTTCGCGTAGTTCTAAAAAAGTGCAGCTAAACATCACTATTAGTCAAAGAAGAATAGCATGCTGGAAAGTGTCGTTTCAAAGATAGACGGTTTAAAATATATCTTTGAGAAAATAAAACGGTCTTTCCGTACTAAATTTTCACACGATAACATTAATTACGAATGATAAATAGACGAAACGTTCTAAAAGTACAAAACTCATATTTTATCAACTCAAGTAGGATATTCACTAAAATGGCCTCATATGTTTTAACACCAATACACTGTCGTGACTATCATAAAAACACTGATTATCCACGTATTCAAGTCAATGCTATTAAATTTATTGATTATTAATTAGAGTCCAAACACACCATTTATTTTTATCGATGCGCTTTTAAGAGATCTAATTAGTGCGTTAGTAGTTCATACTCTAAAGGTAAACAAGCCAGTAGAAAGAAAGCCCTTTGCACTTGCTTTGAAGGTCGCCATGCAAAATGCATGCGATTTGGTTATGTTACCCCCCCCCCTCCAAAAGTTTAGCAACTTGAACACCGCACCAGCTATACTGCTTGGAATGTAGAATTGGCGACTGATGTAGGAAAATCCGAGAAAATAAGACATCAACATCATTGTTCAATGCAATTCAGTCGCATTTTCTCAGTGTTAAACAATACGGACCTGGTCCCGTTTCATCCAAAATCTCGAATAAAATCCCGTAACAGAAATATTATGGAATAAATAGGTTATTGATGGTCGTGATGGGATATGATTTTCCCTTGAGAAAATATGACATTGGCCTCAGAAAATATCATATTGAAACTCGTGATATCGCACTCGGTCAATATGATAGTTTTCTTGACCAATATAATATTTTCTCTCGGAATAAAATTCATATTCCATCCCTCCCATTAAATAAGCTCCACTTTCATCCATACAACGTCGTCATTTACCGCCAATGGGATCATCGAGCGGCAGTCAATATTTAAATATCTTTTTAAATCACATAGCATGTAATGAAAACTGTCCACCAATGAATAATTATTTCATAAACAGAGTTAACCTCGACAGTACAAATAAACTTTGACATTGCTGAATTTAACGAGAAAAAAACACCAGGTCTCAAAATTTAAATTCATAAATGAAGTCTTTGTTATAAACGAGTATTTTATCAGTCGAAAAGCATTATCATCTTAACTAGGCCATTTTAGATATCTCAAGAGTTATTAGAAAAACATTATTCTCTTAACAATGTTCTAACTTATCTCAATGTCATTGAATACATAATGTTATCTCCGATGTGGTATATTGTATTTGACCTGTGTTCTAAAAATATCTCAATTAAAAGATGCATAGACAAGGCATCGTCCTAAGTATAACAAAGTAATCAAATTAGTCTGTGTTATATTGAACTAAGAAATGATATAATGATAATATTGTAACGACCCTTGGGCGCACTCGTCGGGGAGCTGTAGTGTACCGAGCCAGATACTACACTCGAAAGAGAATGTGCTAAATTCAATGCCCCGTACGGGAATCGAACCCAGGACCTCCCGCTCTCAGAGTCAGACGCTCTACCCCTGAGCCATAAAGGCTAGCCACCACAGCTGAGACTGTAGTAGCGACTTGGTATCGAAGGTCATTACAATATAATTCCCGAATCAGCTAGATTGTTTTCAGTATATCGATCGTCTTCGATCGTCTATTTGAAGGATATATCTTAGACTGATGGTCTTAAATAGATGAAAATCTTAACACAAAACTACGATATCTAGTTTTTTAAATAACCCTATTTTCAACTTTTAATATAGTTAAATAACATTTTCTTAAACATGTTTTGTTGGATACACTTTTATTGATTTGTGATTGTAAGTATTTTGGTGAAATTATTTTGTTTTATTTACTTACTCAGCTCATTTTGGGCTATATATAAAACCAATTACTTGAAATCTGTTCGCAATGATATATGAACCACTCCAGACAAGAAAATATAATTTAATCATTCGTGGTTGACGAGACCACCGAAGAAATTAACGTAGGTGTTTGTTCTATTCGAGGAAATATTTGTATTGAATTGTGCAATCAAATAAAATGCCAGAATAATCAGATTCTGGTGATATTTTTAGTTTAAAATGACAAATAGTTTTATTTATAATATTTCTTTATGTGACATTGTGAATAGTTACAATAGCCTATTCAAGTGATCCGTTAGTCTAACAGACTCGATATTTATGGCAAAATAAAATGCCCACACCAGGCAACCATTTACAAGGATATGTGTGTGTGAGGGACCTTAAACCCTCTTATCTCAACGTGCATTGGACAGCTCTATAAAGTTCGGAGTCTGCATAACAATCCGACCCCAGAAACCCTAAAATATATAAGAACTTGCTAAATACCTGGTGTAGCAGAAAGAACACATTCATGATTAGATGGTGCTACTTTACATTAAACGCGACACCATCTTTATTTCGGCTTAAACCTTTGGTAGCTACACAATAGAATTAACTGTAATTTATTCTAAAGAATATACAGTTGAAGCAAAAAAGAGTGCATTCCTTTTCTATTTTTTAAATACTTGACACTTGGCATTACAAACTATATAAAACCTGCGTGGCACAAAAGATGATTTGCTGTCACATGTAGTACACTAAAGTTGAACTAACTACACCCTACTCACTCAATAGTTGATAGCAAACACAAAATAAATCAAATGTTAAACTATTTCTGGCATCTTACATGCATCGTGCCGAAGCTGATCTAATTAAATCCACTCACTTCTCAACACACTTTACTCATAGTCAGAACAAAATAAATCATTTTTCCTTTCATAAGAGTCGATGTGGGGTTAAAGTTAGATAAACCATTCATACTGGGTATTAGGAAAACTTATATCCTGGGGCTGAGGCCCTTGTCTATTATTTCTATAAAAAACAGTACTAATGTTCTATACATAACCTAAACAAGACTTGAAACGTCCACGGGCTTAAAGATATAATATGCGTTATACATATTAGCTAGTATATACATGTAGGTGACATCTTTGAATTCGTCAGAGCTTTATTATTGAGCATTGATTCATAAATAATATATTTTTGTTTATCTTTATGTCAGCACGTACCTATATGGCCGTGTCAAGTGTAACACATATATGCATGACCATTTCTAGGTCTTTTGTCTTAGTTTGAGAGAATCCCGATAACCCTCATTATTGATTGGATAAAATTTTGGGTATTTGAGGTTAGATTTTTTATATGGCTATACTTTTTTCATAATTTTTATAATTACATTTAACTTTTTTTCTTTTCATAATTTTGTTTCTTTTTATTTCTCATTAAGGGTTTCACTCAAGAAAAACTATTTATATATTACTGTAATCTGAAATATTTTTTTATAGATTCATATTTCGTTTGTATATTTCAGACGCCGAACAAGTCATAGACAATGAGTATATTTGACATTCCATTGAAAAGGGCCGTAGAACGGCGCTGGTGGCTCATCATCACCAGTATCATCGAGAATCTCTTCTTTTCTGCCCTCATTTTCGGATGGCCGGCCTTGGCGATAATGCTGAAGGCGGAGGGATACTTCGCCGGTGATTGTGCAGGTCAGTAGATTTAGTTAAAATCTCTCATACAATAAGGCCGTTTCGATGTCAATTCAAAGCTTATTCGACAAGAGGAGGGAAAGCCCCAGAGTTTCAAGATGACAGACATAATTACCTCTCTTGCTTACCACCTTCGTTCGTTCGAATTTTCATCGGCTAGTTAACAAATACTACACTTCGATGGGATGTTATAATTGATATAGGCATATTCCGTACACCTTTCTTTATCTTGATGTGAAATGAGAAGCTATGATATTGGTTAACACGCCAAAAATGAACATAATATTATTCGAAGCGTATTTCGAAAATTTTGAAATCGCCATTGATGACGTCATTTGTTTGTCGACTTTTGACCAAGCAGCGACCGTGTCATCTCAATACAGATTTACATTATAAGCGTATGTCATCTTTGAACCCTGGTGTTTCTCCCCCTCTGTTATTCGACATTGGTTCGACGTTGCGCCGGATCGATACCAAACGCACTGATTTGTTCGACGCTGTTTCGGCATCCAGATTTAGTGTTGAAGCGACGTTGAAAGTGGTTGGTGACGGAACGACGTCGAATATTTGCTTTGGATTCGACACCAAAAGAATTCTGCTTCAAAACAGTGTCGAATCGACGCAAAATTCTATTTTAATTAAACTTTATCAATTCACCAAGCAACGCAAAACACCTTGTTTTTATTTGTTATTTGTTATCTTTTATATTGACTCTTTAGATGTCCTGACCTGACATATACATGATATGTTGGGTAATATGAATTTTACACAAAGTACTTGATTACAGATCACCACAACGAAACTCATCACAATGATACTCATCACAACGATACCTTATACGGTAACTATAGTTACGCAGCTGACGAGCATTCCCAGGATTCCATTCACCGGAAGTTGTTGTCTATGGGCGGCGGGGGAGATGCCAATGATTGTGGACAGGGTCAAACTCTCAATCTCCTATACACGGTATATTCCCTTACTCTATCAACTTATGTGATAAAACCCCCGCATATATCCCCGAGAACAGGCAATACGAATATTTTCATTTCAATGAGCACACTTTAATGAGTAATAGAGATAGATTAAGAGCTCAATTCTTATCAATATTCTTATCAATCAAATCCATATTTTCACCCAAACGTGAAAAATTCACATTCTTTTTGAAAGCCATATATATTCTTCAAGTCGTCATCAATGTGCATTTTAAAATTATGTAATCGTGATTTCGTTATATTTGTTTGTTTTCAATGACATCTACCCTCCCGACTTGGATGGCCCGGAATGACGTCGGATATAAACCAGTGCGCCTGGTTGCTAGATACCGATGTTCTTTGGTTATTCACTAAATCTTACAGTGTTACCCGAAACTCCAAGATGTTCATTTGATTCATTTACTATATAGTTACTTATCTCACAGAATTAATGCCATCTTTATTAGGCAATTAGAAAAACCCTTGAGTAAGCTGTCTATAATCCCCAATTCCATTATAATTGTAGATTCACAAAATTTTGCAATGAGAAGCTCCACGGCACCCTTTATGCGTAGCCTGATTATATATTTTGCTTTTTAATTCTATTTTTACTTTTAGCTCATTACATTCGTTATTGCTGTGTAATAGTGTTATATGTAGTTGGGCAAAAATGGTACACATATAACATGTGGTCATTACTTAAACTGCAACTGTTCTTAAACGGTTGGAACTCGATGAAATTGAAGTTTAAGACAAGCGAGTCAAGTGAGATGTTATAAAATTATTTTTCCCCTTCGCTACAAAAAGAGAGCACATGCTTTGTTTTGTTTTACATTGGATGTACGTTCCAGGAATTCCATGGAACTTTGCACCGAACGCAATGACTAATCTACACTCCCCTCCATAAGTTTGGCAACCTTTTTTCCCCATTGAACTACGTGTTAAAGCCTCTTTACGTTTGAATTTTTATTTACTTAACCGGCGATGAAATAACTTATAATATTGATGGAAAAGTAACTTGACTTTATTTCCAATACCTCCAAATTTTCTCAATTTTTTTCCTCAATTACAATAGGTCGACAATTGATGATAAATTTGATGAATTTTTGAAAATCGTCATTCCCATGTAATCCAATGGAAAATGGAGGGTTCTGGGCAAATCAGAAATCAGGATATCTTTTCAGTAAATGATTCAGCAAAAAATATTTTTATATAGAAAATTGAATTGTCTAACTTTTTTTAACACTAAGTGTTTAGTTTATTTGATGAATATTAAAGTTACAGCGCTTCAAACTCATGTTTGAAAATAATTTTTCGCCTCCTGTGTTATTTCAATGGGAGAGGTTTTTTGAAAAACAATTTTGACTTTAAAGCCCTATAACTTTGTTGAACCTGAAGAAACATATCAATTTTTTGTTAAATAAAGTTAGCAAATTCAATTGCCTGCCTAACTCGTATTTTTTGCAAGGACTCGGGTGGATGGATATTCTGTCATATGACTTGTGGCAAACCTACCATTTCCCTTTGGTTAACATGGGAATGTCGATTTTCAAAAATTCATCAAATTCATCATCAATTTTCGACCAATTGTAATTGAGGAAAAAAATTGAGAAAATTTGGAGGTATTGGAATTAAAGTCAAATTACGTTTCCATCAATAGTATAAGTATTTTCATCGCGGGTTAAGTAAATAAAAATGCAAAGGTAAAGAGGCTTTAACACGTAGTTCAATGGGGAAAAAAGGTTGCCAAACTTATGGAGGGGAGTGTATACATAACATTGGAACCTTCAATACAGAAGAGATACTTGAATTCTCGTCAAATGTGTATCATTTTTGTCCAATCTGTAAGTGTCTCTCTTTCTCTATGACTTTGCTTTATCTAATTAAATATAGTTCTTCCTTCTCTCTTTAACTGCAGGTATCCATCTTACTGTTCCACAACTAATTACTTGTAACAAAATGGATGATCTTCCTCTTCATGGGTTTTCTGTTGTCTCGATTTAAATCTACGTATAAGTCAAGCTTCAGATTATAATTTGGAACAAAGCTAGAAAATATATAGTCTAGTTTTAATAAGTTTCTTTGATTTGGAATTTGTTTTGTAAATGAAGTTGCACTTCATATATTTAGTCCCTCGCTTTTGTTACATTGGCGAAAGTCCGTTATATTACCAATGTATGTTACTTTGACGACTTTTACGTCAATGTAACAAAGGCGATGGTCTAAATGCATGAATTACAGCGTTATTTAAAAATCAAATTACAAACCGAGAGCATTTCTAAAAGCTAGACTATATTGTCTAACTTTGTGTGCCAAATGATAATCCGCAACATGACTTATACGTAAGTTTAAATCGAGAAAACAAAAAACTCGTATCCAAGATGTTCATCCATTTTGTTACATTGACGTTCCACCAAAGTAACTAGTTGTGGAACAGTGTATCAAGGATGAAGAGAAGATATGGGAGGTATTGGGAGTGACATATCTCTCTTCTTTTCATCCTAGGTATCATCTATCAACATATCTTCACTTACTATCTATCTTTACTTATCTAATTAAATGTACAGGTCTCATTCATAGAGTTATTATTCTCTAAGACCTCTCCATTGTTCTTTTCCAAACGGAATGGGCCTATACTTCAACGTGATTTAGGGTATATTATATATCAATACTCTATCTAATTAAATATATATATGTCTCACTGTTCTCTATGACTGCTTGTACTCTTCCAATCGGAATGGACCAAGACTTCAACCCAATTCATATCATAAATGTATATCAATGCTCTGTCTAATTAATATATAGGTTTCACTATTATCTACGACTGCTTGTACTCGTCCAGTCGGAATGGACCAAGGCTTCAACGTAGATTATATCATAAATGTGTATCACTAATGCTCTATCTAATTAAATATATAGGTCTCACTATTCTATATGGCTGCTTGTATTCTTCCAATCGTAATGGACCAAGACTTCAACGCAATTTATATTATAAATGTATATCTGTGCTTTATCTAATTAAATATAAAGGTCTCACTATTCTCTATGACTGCCTGTACCAATCGGAATGGACCAAGACTTCAACATAGATTATATCATAAATGTATCTATGCTTTATCTAATTAAATATATTGGTCTCACTATTCTCTATGACTGCTTGTACCAATCGGACTGGACCAAGACTTCAACATAGATTATATCATAAATGTATCTATGCTTTATCTAATTAAATATATTGGTCTCACTATTCTCTATGACTGCTTGTACCAATCGGACTGGACCAAGACTTCAACATAGATTATATCATAAATGTATATCTATGCTTTATCTAAATATAAAGGTCTCACTATTCTCTATGGCTGCCTGTACCAATCGGAATGGACCAAGACTTCAACATAGATTATATCATAAATGTATATCTATGCTTTATCTAATTAAATATATAGGTCTCACTATTTTCTATTACTGCTTGTACCAATCAGAATGGACCAAGACTTCAACGTAGATTATATCATAAATGTATATCTATGCTTTATCTAATTAAATATATAGGTCTCACTATTTTCTATGACTGCTTGCACTCTGCCAATCGGTATGGCTCAAGATTACTTTGGATATAAGCCAGTCAGGCTTACTGCAGCGTAAGTACTTTTGTACCAATTCGTTTACACGTTGATAGGGCGAGGGCCTAAACACATTGATTTGGCTTGAATTAAATAAGACATCCATTATACGATCATTAATCTCGGGTGCACCGATGTACTGCAACCGAAGATTTTTATATCACGTATATTGTCTACGATTCTCCAGGGAACCAATCAAATTCCCTGAAGGGTGTCAGATCTTAGGCCATCTTCAGTTACTGTCCAAAGTCGTTACTCGAATCAATCGATATAATGATCAAATCGTGAATGATACATAAATAAATAAATCAACGCCTATTATTAAATAAATAAATCAACGCCTATTATTTAAAGCTAGCTACACGCTTGGATCGATGCTTTTAAATGCTTCATTACTGCAAGCAAGCGTAAAGTCAAACCTCCCTTCCAAAATTAAGTGTAATAACTTACCCCCTTCATAGTACTCACCGTTGTACTCACTACCCCGCATTTTATTTTCCAATATCTAGCTTTGCCTGTTTACAATGACCGGAAGTACCCTGCTTATCGGGATCCTCCAGGACAAATACGGATATAAGCCCGTTAGACTATGTGCAGCGTAAGTATATGATGCTTAAGCATACCCCTTAATAAATTTGGCAATTGGAAGTGCCCTTTCGGGTCATTTATCAAAGACATAACATATGCTTTACGATTTAAGAAAACATCAAATTTTTCATGAATTTCCGGAATATTTTTTATTAAAGGCCCCATATAAATTCTAAAACACGTTGGCATTATAGTCTTACCCAATGTTATCAAAATTTGGTATGTGAAACTAAGATTACCAGGATTAACAAGATTAACATTACCAGGCTTTCGTATGGTATCCAATAACAATTCCAGTTGCCAAACTTATGGAGGGGGTGTATTTGAGAGTAGCCCGGGTAGAACAGTTTAAAGGTCACTTTTCTTGAAATAAGTATTAAGTATTAAATATTCTTAAAAATTAGTTTTTTAGAAGTTTGAGTATTTGCAATGTCTCTTGCGTACACACCCTTAATCACTTGTTTGACCTCTGAATTGTTCTATCTGGAATTTCCTGTATTAATTGACCTTTTGGTGCTGGTGAAAAAGATGGTATGCTGTCAGAGTGACCCAAAAAGCAACCCATGATTGAAAGCATATGAAACATATAAAAATACACTTCATTTCTCTCAATCGTGTTCGTCTTTGTTTGAACTCTACATGTAGGAATCGTAACAATTGCGTCTCATCAATGGATCTATCCAGTCTGTCTATATAATACACATAGTTCAAATGTTTCGTTCCACTTTTTATATTTATAACAATATATTTGTACATTTGCTAATTTGATGTTTTATCCTATTCACATAAACATGTTTAAAATACAATAACGACGTTTTTTCTGACATTGTCTTATACTTTTTATTTTAGCATCATCTTCTCTCTGTCAGCCATAATGATGATGATGGCAACTCCAGGTGAGTGAGCCATTCACTTCCCTTTTTGCATATTTACCTAGCCGATTTACCTGACATTTTAAGAATGAAATGTTTAAAGGTGTTCCACTGTCAAATTTTAAAACGATTGACATCAAATCGTTGACTCTTTTTTTTCCAAATATTAAGTACACCGTTGATCATATGATTGGAACAAGGGGACCCATGACCGACTCGATCGGTGAGCCCATGAGTGCTGCATACAATCAAATACTTGGCATTTTAGGGGACTTCTTTCATTGTTTAAATACTGCACTATTTGTTTGGAAGGTTGTGTCATTCATAGTTAAGAGGCAACAAGGCCTGCAGAGAGAAAATAGGAACATTTTAACTTTTTCTGAGCTATTAAGGCGACATTTGGCTTAACATCTTCATTGACGCACCTTTTTCTTAAAATGTGTGGATAAACTATTAATTTCAGCATTAAGAAGTGTAAATTCAGTTCAACGCTTCAAAAAGTGGGAATCCATCCACGTTGAAGCCGTTTACATATTACAAGGATTTTTTATTTCAGAAAATGGTGCCATTGTGTTCCCGGCTCTTGTAATGAATGGACTTGGTGGCATGGCCATAGCCTTCACATCATTTCAGGTTAGATTAAATGAAATAGTATAATATTAAGAACTTCCCAATTTACCTGTACGTATTCACCAATACGTATTCTATACAGAAAAAGTGAGATACCTTCGTATGTTACCGCAAGCTACCTTTAAATGATACATTCATTCGACCTACAAAACTCCGTATTTGGCATAGGGAAAATGTATGCACAGAATGGATGGTCTAAGAAATTGTATTTTTGTTTAAAAAAATGTTACATTAACTTCTATATTGAAGATATTTAATACAGGTATCAGAATAAATGTTTTAAAATATTCATTTAAAATTTTTAAACTTAAACTGATTATGTATTTGATACGCTATCAAAATACTGGTATAAAGCATAACTTGTTGTAAATATGATATTGAAAATGATCGTCAAATTAAGTATCTCACTGCTTATAACCGATCATCAACTTTACATGGTTAATATGTTCACATTTAGAAATGCATATAAATATTTAAACAGATTTATACATGTAACTGTATTAAACAATATTTCAGATCCCAAACATGTTCGGCCCATGGAGAGCAACAATGTTAGCATGCCTTTCAGGTTCTTATAACACAGCTGCCATGGTTTTCACCGTGATGATGGTAGGTCATGACGCATGCGTAAAGCGACGTTGCTGAGGATAGGCCCCAAAGCGCATGCGCCGTGCCATCCATAGGCGAGCTGTCTCCTCTTGTGTGAATACTATTGCTGATCAATACACAGTCATTGGGTCTTGCAGGCCCACATATTTTGCTGGCATTTTAACTAATATTTGACTGAATAGTTCAACTTGTTACATTATACTTCCAGACACCTAATCTGTTTGGTCATCTGCGCGCGACGATGCTGTCATTTCTAGCGGGATCATACAACACTGCTGCGATGATCTTTCCAATGTTTATGGTATATTCAAAATGCATTTGCGCGCAAAGCTATCATTCAGGTTTTTCTGCTCCAAACTGAGTTGTCAAATATGAAAGCAAATAGTCTAAATAGTTAAATGAATAGTCTAAAAACAACTGTCATAGATATTAAGACAAACGCTGCCCTTGATTGGTCAGTTAGCGTGACTATGGAAATCGGAAATTAAGAGTCAGAATATCTTTATCATTCTCTTTTCAATGAGATATTCATAAAGTACTGGTAAAAGGTTGCTTCATCAGATACATGGTGATGACATTTTGGTAAAATGAACCCATAAGCTCGTGTGCGTATATAACAATTATTCTATTGAATGGTATCAATCTGATACTTCTATTATAATGATCCATTCTTATAACATAACATAACTGAATATGCACAACATACCAGTGCCGTCTTTTAAAAAATGGTATCATTGTTGTAGGCTATGTATGATGGCGGAGTTCCCTTCCGGATGCTATGGCTTATTCTTGCTGTCGGCGGAGGTTGGGTGTTCCTAAATGCACTAATCAATCTCCCTTCTAAAACCATACCACGTAAGACATAGAAAATATTTATATGTATATTGTAGGAAATATTAAACATATACATAATGTCCATGAAGATTCTTTACGATTACAATACAAAATCTGTGTAAAGTGTATGGACGTACATTAAATTTCAGTATTTTAAACAGATAGATTAAAACTCAACAACCTTTAAATCGAATTGTCCCGTAACACTGACTATACATCAATTTCTAAACCACTACATCGTTTTTGATTGATCCGTATTTAAGGCAGACCGTGTTAAGACTAATGATAGACTTGAACTAATGAGGTTAAAAAATTGTGAAGTTGTGCCCACGGTCTAAAATTCTTCATCATTAAGATGTACGGCTTATTGTAAAAGCTAATTTGTCCAGGGTTTCCCATTAACACTTTACACGCAGACTTGTTATTGTAAAGAAACTCAATGGACCCCTATATTTCTTATTCTTAAATAGCTCCCGATGATCTAAAGGAAGAGTTGAAAAGAGAAAGTTTCAATGCAGATAAGGAAAGCGGAGAAGAATATTATAAACTTATGCAAGGAATTGGGGATCGTCTCAGTACGGGTATTGTCTACCAATACAGGGATGTTTTCACCTCCAGGTGAGTCACAGGTGTGGGGTTGAAAGTGTCTTTATACCGTAAATCTTAAATCATACTCCATAAACCTGGTTTTCACTGTGCGGGTTCTCTATTGATTGTTAATTTTTAATCTGAAAAAGAATCGATCGATCTTTAGCCGTTTTCACTTAACTTCGCAGTACTCTTGCGGACGGTAAATATCAATTTCAAAAATCCGATGAGGTCCAACTTAAAAGACCGAAAGGAAAAGTCGGGGAGACTATGACTTCATCGGTTCTCTCATAATCAGAAAAAGGACTTAAATACCTTAAAACAGTTATATTTTCTGTTTTATGTCACTGTTGTAAGTGAAAAATCAAATAGTTAACATTGTGAATCTTGTAAATATGCACGTGTATAATGTAACAGTGTACTCAACTATCATTATACATTTCAGAACTGACCTCACTGACATAGAAGGCGAAGCGGTCGAGGAGGAAGAGATCCCTCCTTTCAGAAAGGTCGTCTGTGGGCCTATATTCTTGCTCGGACTGATGTTCTTGAGTATTATGTTTTTGAGAGTGTTGCTTTACATGGGGGTCATGGATATGCATATGATGATGATAACTGGTGGCGATGAAGCTAAAGGTGAGGAGCTCACTGTGCATGCGTAACATACGTTTAACATACCCGGTCACCTTTCTTTGCATAAAAAGCTAGGTTATATCGACCAGTTTCACATTCATGATGTCGCAGGTCGATATGACGTATGCCTGTTTATATAATATACACTAATTGCTAATGATACCCTCAATATAATAGTTCCCCAATAACAATTTTCAAAGAATTTGGCTTATCAGATGCTGAGACGAATGAATCAAAAAAGCTCACCTTTTAGGACAACCGATATAGTCTCCTCGGGGAAGGTTTATCCTAGATCTGCCATCCATTGCAATTGATTAACAAATGCACGCTTTTTTTTTATAGTTGCTCACTATGGTTTAGTGTTTGGAATGATGCAGGTTCTGTGTTTCTTTGCCTGTCCTGTGATTGGTATCATGATTGATTATGGTACCAGAAACTTATCAGTTCCAGGAGAAAAAGAAACAAAGGCCGAGGAACAGAAAAGGCAAGTCGTTAATGTTTCCAAGTCTCGGAATATCTCGCGAGAATCTATTTAATCTCAGTATTAATCTCACAACTCACAGTGGATGACGATATTATGCGAGTCGCTACTCCTTAGGAATTTTAAAAGTCTCGTGGCATCTCGCGAGAATCTATTCAATCTCAATATTAAATTTCATAAATCTCAAAATAGAGGAAGAGATTATATAGGTCGTTACTCCTCATATTTTTTAAAGTCTCGTGACATCTTGCGAGAATCTCATTTAATCTAATTCAATCTCAAATCGGTCTCAAACGATTTTTTTCTTTTTATTTTCAGATTGTTTAAATTGAGGATACGGAAACTGACCAACTGTAGGAACGCCTTTATAATGAATTCAATTATACTCATCGTATTTGGTGTAGCCGTATTGATACCAAATATGGGAGTCCAGGTACTGGTTAAAAGCAAATTAGGATACAATATAGAAGAAAACATACTCTGTTATTTATTCATAGCTTAATATTATCTCAAAAAGCATCAACTTTTTTCTTGATTTGGGCAGTTGCTTAAAGGGAGGTTTTCATGCTATGACAGTTGATATAGTCTAAAGTTAACTGCCTATATGCAACTACCTATAATAGTTGTAGAAAGGGTGTCTCGAAAGTAACTTTTTCCCCATTTGTGAGCTGAATCATGATACTTAGGAATCCAATGGAACTTTAAATATGGATAAGCTTTAAAATGATGTATGGCACATACTATGGAGACATTGGTATATGTCTGCTTAGGGGGTGGTCACATACTTTCGGTCACTCTGTATTAGGTGTTTTTCTCAGTGTAAAATGCATTACGTATCACATGTTGAATTTAGTGCATTTCTTCTAAGCTATTGTTTCATTCTATATGAATGTTTTCTTACCTTGCTTCGTAAAATTCTTTGATTTTTAACCACGTTGGGTTCGCTTGTATATTTAGCATTTTATTATTTCAGCTGGTGTCATTCTTCATGCATACGTTTATTCGTGGAAGTGGAATGACTGCTATTCTTGGAATGTTCGCTGTCGCCTTTCACTTCAGTTACTATGGTATGTCGTTTTAAATGTATATCAAAAGCTTTTTCCGGTAATTTATGGCCACCACGCAAAAAGTAGGTGTATGTTTGATACCGTGAAATAGAGCGTTCATTGTACTATTGTATTGTATTGCGTCCCATTGCATTGTATATTATTATGTAGTATTATTGTATATTATATAAATATCGATTTGATGTATGATTAAGTGTTATTGAATTTAATTTCGATATTAATACAAGGTATAGAATTGAAAGAATGGACGAATTTGCAGGCAGAGATACTGCCTATTTTTATTTTGTTTTTATTTTATATTATATTTCTTTTTTTTATTTAAATTTATTTCAATTCTTAAATGTATAAACGCTCAATTTAAGGTAAGCTTGTGGGTATTCAAATCTTGATGTCGGCCATTGTTGATCTTGGACAGAGTCCTCTGTTTATGGTAATCGCTGGACCTCTCGAGGGAAATCCATTCTGGGTGAGTATTTGCAATCAAATTCCCGGTTAATTAGAAAATGACATTAGATTATTCACAAATAGAATGGTTTCCCAAATAATCCAGTTGTCACATGCATTTACAATTTAGCTGCAGGTAATGCTTTTCCATACATAATGATCTTAATCAGATTTAATTGGAGCTTCGATTTTAGGTTTGAGGGAAATATTTTCTGAAGTCATTATCCCACAGCCTGTGTGTATTTCAAGGGATACTTACTACAGGCTGTGGATTCCACACTGAAGTCTTTTATTTAGTCTAACACACTATGTAGAGTACTGCGCTTTATTGCTCTAAAAAAGCAAGTGCTTCACCACTGTTTATGTGAATTTTATTCATTACAGGTTGATATCGGGCTGCTGATCGTATCCTTCTTGAACTTCTTACTCCCTCTGTACCTAGTAGTCTTCATACGTCGGCTCCAACGAGCTGAGACAGAGCTCCAACAGAAACTCGCCCTGGCGGCAACTCCCGTTACTAAAAAACATATGCCACCTAGCGGATTTGAGAGGGCAATTTCGATTACTAAAGACGGTGGTAAAGAGTTTAGTGTTTAAGAAAAGTTGCATCTATAATTGTTGGACTGATATGGTATTAGACTTTATAAAAAGCGGGTTTAGTGGTTGTCATCGTGTATGATTCTTAATGAATTGTACAGAGAGTCCATATTGCGTCTCTTTGCAATTACAATACAAACCTCTTTTAAGTGTAAACATACTTTATGGACACCCTTATTTCCCTGAACTGACTTCTTACTGTTGACGAAGGGGATATTTTGTCGAATGACAATTCTCGCTGGTCTGTGTCAATCCCGAATATCTCGTATCTATATCTGGGGTTATTTCAGATGTGTTTGTCACATAAATTCATATCTAAATCAGGAAATGCAAACCTTTCATGTTTTAATATGTGAACTTCTTGTCAAATGTTACAATATCGTAAGATTATACGATATTATGTTAAATACGAGCTAGGATGCATCTTTGGTAATGCATTTCTTGTTGTCATATATATAATGTATTGTTTGTGCATCAAGAATAATGGATTCTACGGCACGAAATGGCAAATGTAATATCCTGCACATGGACGTACCACGTTCGCAATATCTCTACACCAGGCGTTCGTCCTTTAAGCGTATCTTTTATCCTTACTTTCAGTAATTATATAGTATGTACAAAGCCTAAGTTTTGAGTCTTTGAAATAACTGCTACCATGTGATAAATGTTTGTAATATAAATTATTGTGCATGTTTATAGCTGACTCGATGATATCATTATTTCGATGTTTATTTACATTTTCTCTCGTTTACTGTTAGCAGCTCTCAGCTATAAATTGACATCGAAAATCATTTTTGCGGTTCATGAATATTGTTCAAATGTCATCAAATGTATAAATAACGATTATAATTGTAATGTAGTGTAAAATATGAAACGATGAATAAATCAAAATGTGTACTAAAATGTATTTGTAAATTTAAGTGTATGATGTCGTATACATTCACAATGTTTTGTATGTTCAAGCACTTGTGAAAAAGAAAAATGACAAAACATGTTGAAGAAACCAGCAAGAAAAAGAAAACGTTGAAATGTGCAATAATCATAAGGAAAAACAAAACAAAACCAAGCTATATCCTAATTCACGATCAAACGTGAAAAGAAACAAAGTCTTACCCCCTCTCCCTGGTATAAGAACCTGATTACGTCCTAATTCATGTTTATAAAAAAACTAAAATATATTATTGGTACTGAGAACTCTACTTTAAAGTTTCGCTCAAAAATACACTTGTCCTTTTTTACGCCAACTCGTATGTAGTCTTTGCCCTTAGTGCCGATTAATGTTGAACTTTTCATTTTGTTTTAGTGGTAACATTAAATCTGATTTATGTCGAGAAGCGAGTTCCATCTGTAGTTAATTAGAATGATTAATTACTAGGTCACTGGCTGGTCAGTGCTGGTCAACATGTCTCTCATCCGCTCTTCAGTTGCCAAGTAGAGAATACTCAACTGGCTAACCCGTCCCCGCCCCCTCTCTCCACCGGGGACGGGGTTTTCAGGATACAGGTCCATCACTGATCAGGGAATTTTCACCAAAATATAAATGAGCCGTAAAGATCGAAATTGGAACGCATTGGCTATCAATTTATACCACGCATTTTAAAATATGGTTTTACTTTGTAACCGCGCATATCCAATTAAGTCTCGCATATCCCATGTACATCAGTAGAGGTCCGTACCCAAAGCCAAATGTATAATTGTATTACTATTCACGTAATGTAAATGATAAACTACGACTTCCAATAAATTTATTCTGAAACATCAAGGTATGTCATTGTAATTGCGGATTACAGTACTACAGCTAAATGAAGCCTTTGGGCTTTGTTCTAATAGGCTTACTGTGATTAGACGATTCAAAATATCGGCAAAACAAGATTTATACAATGTTTTTATTTTTTCATCGCCTGTAAAACGTATTTTCATTGGCAGGGAAAGGAGCTGACATGAATATAACTCATCTGTATCGACAGGCAAACATAGTTTTTGTGATTTCATGTATTGTATCATGTGTATTGATTGAAATATTATACTTCGTTTATAACTACACAACACGAAAAGGAGTGCAATACATTTCACCAAACATTTGGCGGAATGGTCGAGATGGACTATCTGACAATTGGAGGACCCACAATATGCATCCCTTTTTAAACCAAATGATGTTATCTACCTTGACTCATGGCTACTGGCGGCCGATAGATGTACCTGAAGGAAAGAGAAACGTTGTAATTACCAATTTAAACCAATTGAGGACGAGAAAGATAGTAAATTACAGTAACACCTCAAAGTGTGGACACGCTTGTCTTGGTTATAGATCAATTTGTGATCCAAAAGATAAAAAAGCGTGTTGCAAAGAAAATACATGTCAAGATATTCCAATGTCAGATTGTGTATGTCCCACATGTTTTGATGAACGGCCAAGGATCTTTCCGGAATTCCACGAGTGGACACCGTATGATATTAACATGCGCAATAATGTACAAGGTGATCATATATGCGCTGGGTTACGGCTTTTAAATGTGTCATCAATGGTAACACTGGGCGATTCTTTAATAAGACAAGTAACTGACCGATTCTGGAGACGAGTTTACAAAGGACCCGTGACACATTTACTATATAACGATTCCACCAAAGGTACGTAAAGCATAGGAATAACATTTACTGCTTAATGATTTTGATAAATGTAAAAATGTATATAACCAAGAAATATGTTATGCGTCCATTCCACTCAAGTCTAATCTAACACATTCGCTCGGTAAACACTCGTGTAGAAGATACCCACTTTCATTGATCTTTACTTTTAGAACTTATTCAGAGTTGCCGTCCCGATGCGACGAATTGGGGTTCGCATAAATGCTGGGAGAGGAGCTTCGTAGAAATTTGCAATGGAATCAAGTTCTTCTATCACAGATGTATAATGCTCCAAAAGGTTAGTCAATCACTTTTGCAGACGAAAGCAAATTCAAACATGTCTCAGGTTTATGCAATAAACAAAAGCAAGAGTAGAACGTGTATGGACCACGAATGTTATATCATATGAATTTATAAAATAGATTAGAAATAATATTTAATGTATGAACAATTCAATATATGTCGTCATTGTGATAGTATTCTGGCCGTTAAAAGCCCTTACTCTAATATAATTTTTTTTATTTCATTTCATCAAGGTGCACCTCGGGAATTCGCTGTATTAAGAGCACTGAAGAAAGACCATCCGGGTCATATGCTGGTGTTCACAGACGTTGGACTACACGACAATCTTAAGACAAAAACAATATTAATGTACATGAAAAAACTGTTAGAGGAAACAAAAACCCTAGGAGATACAGACATTCTGTTTATGACACCATATATCCCAGGATTACAAAAGTCCCCATCGTTTACTGGCCAAACTGAGAAGAGGACAATTGAGTTTGCTAATTTCTTTCGTAGATTTTCGAAAAACATGAATATATCATTTCTTGATCCTACTGAGCTTGTCAGGCCGCTCGTAAGTGTGGATGGCACACATTATACAAACGGGCTAAATGAAGCAATAGTAGACATTATATCCAACTATATTCTAAAAGCCTCCTGATCGCTTGCATCATTTTTGCCTTTCAAAGCTCTTGTCTTTTTTCACAACATATCAGATAACAAACGTAGACAAATAAGAACGTTCATTGGTTAGTTTGGCATCTATTTTTTGTATGCCATGAAATATAAACGTTAAACATTTATATAGGCGTGTATATAGTGTTTATACTAAAAATAGTTAATTCTCCATGTACAGCTGTTTAATCCGTTTGGGTTTATATTTTGTGTCTATTCAAGACAAAATTCTACTTTTAGAGTAGTACATTCCCTTTAATATATAGTCCATGGTATGACTTCCGAATATGAAGGATCCGTAGCACACTATAGCGCAGCAACATTTGAAGCAATATTTATGAAGGTGTATATGTCTTGATTCTTTTAAAATACCATTTGCTGAAAAAACTTCCGGCTTTCGGGTCGAAAAATGTATTTCATCACAAGGGGTCAAAAAACGTAAATATTTTGATTCGAACTTTCATACATTTTATAAGACACAGACTGTTATTCTAAGCATACGCACAAAAAAATTGAATATCATAATGTCAAAATTACTATGATTTTACTGTAGATGTCGGTGTTTAATTAGTGTAATTACACAAGTGTGTTTTTCAGATTTTGTTTGATTTTTCAAATATGAGCTAAGCCGATTCAACAAAATTGTATGGAATATTTCGGTAATTCTTTTTGATTGGGAACGTATTAGTTTTCTTACCAGTTAAAACATTTTATTACCAGAATTTTTCCATATAATCGTAAAGGGTGTAACAACAAATTATTGTCGATGTTTTATAAAACATAATACAATAACAAATAGGTAAGATTCATATCTAATTCGATGTTACAGAGGTATTTGCATGTTCATATATTCCAAGGGCATGTCTAATAATCAATTAGAGTCATATGCAGTCGAACGCCTTAAAATTCGTCCTCGACGTTAGTTGGCTATCATCAAGTTTTCTGATGGTTGTTCCTTCTTTGACCTTACCGAAGGATATAATCAAATTTTAGGAAGATAATGATAACGATTTTTCTCAATTATTCATGAATTCGACCAAGTCTTGATGATTGTTTCATAAGCAACTGAGCTATATCTAACTACGAGAAATAGAATTTTAGCTGTAGTCGCAATTAGTCAAGGAAGAGCAATAGGCCCACCTTTATTGATAATGTTCACCGCTGAATAAAAGTTCATATCTTAAAACGTATTGAGACCCATTTTGTGAAAACCTAGCATAATTTAAGCATTTGTCATTCTAATATAAAAGTGATTCATTTGTAGCCTTTATCTTATTAATACCCGAGAAGCAATACAAAATGTCGATACACTGATGACATAATCTTTTGGTATTGATAAGAAAAATAACCTCAAACTTTTAGCTTAGAAACCTAAATCATATACTTAAAATCATATTTTATTATTTGCTATTACATTGTGTACTCCAAATTGTGAAAGTTTGGAAGTTTATTTTTTGGAAATCTTTTGACCTCTGTTAATGGCAGGCATAATTCAGCCTTAAAGCCGGAAGTATATTAAACGGTTATAATTATAGGATATCCTATGATTTTGAGGAATATCATTTTATCTACGAGGTGATATTAATATCTGCACGAGAGATAAAGATGGCAGTGTAATCGAGATAATGGAATACGTCTCCAAATGCTTTAATATCGCCCTAAAACATTCCCATCATTCGTTTAAGATTCTTTGAAGAACATATATATTAAATACAACTTGGATTTTATTATCTCAAGTATTGAAAGTATTTTAACAGTAGACGTCTTAAGAATCAAGGAATTACTGAAGTAATTGAGGTTGTAGGAAACATTCCGATTGAAGCCGTGATGGCGTACACTAATTAATATTCATGCTTTCATGTGCTGGGTTTATTCTTTAACCATGTAATAATAGTTGTGGACGTAGGCACGTAGTTAGTAGTACAGGACAAGCAACTATATCACCACACACGTGCTTTCTCAGATTTCTTAAGATAAATTGTGGAAATTATTAGCAAATGAAGAAGATTACATGTACCGTAGTCTCTATTTTATTTGTACCTAATGGCCTAGTCACATAGCCCGGCCGATGTCCGGCATCGGTAGAGCTCGGTGGATTTTTTTGGTGCCACCGAGCTCTCCTCATCGGAAGCAGAGCTCGGTGACGTGAACGGACTCCGTCCGGACATCTTTAGGTACTATACTTTCCAAGGCTCTGTCCCACATCGGCCGGAGCTCGGTCGGAGCTCGGCCGGTGTCCGTTAAAAAAACCTCGTCCTCTGGTTGTCTCAGATGCACGGGACACCGACCGATACTCGGCCGTGCACCGGCCGACGTGTGTTCTGATGTGGTTACGATGGGGCTGCGATGAGGGAGCTCGGTGAGAGCCCGGTGAAATTTAACTCCGAAGTTAAAATTTCACCGAGCTGCCACCGATGCGGTTTTAAGCAACAAACGCCACGGATGTCCGGCCGGTGTCCGGCCGGTGTTCGGCCGAGTTCGGTGAAAATTGCATCGCTGGCTCATCGGAACCTCATCGGCCGGGCTATGTGACTAGGCCATTAGTCTCTATTTTATTCAAAAACGACCAGCCCTATATATTTTGCCCCGCCTACGTCCTAATTTATGTTTAGAAAAAATGCTAAGATATCTTTCAACTGGTCACCAGTCATCAACTGATCATCGCCTATGTAGGTACTGTGAACACTAACACTAACGGATAATTTTCTTTACATATGCCACAGTATAGCTAGATCTAAATGGAATGACCAATGCCTTACTACAATACATTAAATCTGTTTTTATTCCCGTTTTCGTGTCACTTGACCCTTTTATACAAATACTAATATGCTTAAATGACGATTATTGTTAACTTCTTTCTTTGCATATATGGTGTAAATTTGATATTAACCTGGTGAAGTGTACTTATTCTTATAAAATTAACCTCGTTTTTCTTTTATACCAGATGAGCACAAAAACACAAAAGATAGCTAAATCATATTCAAACATCAAAAGTGTTTTGTGATAATATGGGACAATATATAAAACTAGAGGGAACACGCATATGATTTGTTTAACTGTGATAAAACGTCATTTTGATGAAAGAAAAGTAAAATTGAGGTTAGTTTGACATGTATGTGTTTTTCAGATCGTAAGTGTTTTCGGAAATAGTATAGGCGTTAATTTTCTATCGTTCAAGGCTTGCAAAATGAATATACATCATCCATATAGAAAGGGATGCAAAGTTATTGTTATTTTGTGCATTACAGGTGCATTCTGTTCACTGTCTAATATATTATATTTCGTTTATACAAGAAAAAGAGAGCAATCCGATTTTCCAGACATTGGGAAAAATGGACGAGACGCACTACCGAACAATCTGGGGAATCACAATATTCGTCTCTTTTATAATCAAACGTGGTTATCACTGTTAAGTCATGGCTACTGGAGGCCTAAGTATGTACCTTTAGATGATAAGGACATTGTAATAAGCAATTTAAAACGAATAAGGAAGAAAAAGATGATATTTTACAGCGACACTTCAAATTGTGGACATGTTAGTCTTGGTTATAGATCGATTTGTGATCCAAAAGACAAAAAAGGCTGTTGCAAAGAAAATTCGTGTCAAGATATTCCAATGGAAAATTGTACATGTTCGACATGTTTTGACGAGCGGTCACGGATCTTTCCGGAGTTCCATGAGTGGATACCGTATGGTATTGACATGCGCAATAATATACAACGTGACCATATATGTACTGGTCTACGACATTTAAATGTGTCATCAATGGTTACACTTGGCGATTCTTTAATAAGACAAGTAACTGAACGGTTCTGGAGGCGAGTTTACAAAGGACCCGTGACACATTTACTATATGAGGACTCAAATAAAGGTAGTTTTACATAAATTATAGATTTAACAAGATTAGTGTATAACGGTTCTATTATAAGGGTACTATGCTTACAATAGAGAAAACATTTCCTGTGTAGCAATTCTAAGTAAGGATATGTGCACACTGTAAGGGTGACATTTTCTGTATAATGATTCGATTCAACTGCATTGTGTTGAGATAACGAAGATGCAAACAGACCCACCCACTGAAATGCTGTCCTGATTTTCAACCCCTTTCAACCCTGTTTTCAATTTTTGTTGCAATGCGTTTTGACAGACAGTTAACGCTTTAAAGGAATAAGTAATACCTTCAGGGGTTTTAAAAGGATCCTTTATGAGTTACCAAAATTAAGCTGAAAGTAATTGATCAAATAAGTCTTTCCTCTTTATCCAGAAGTATTTACTTATTCCTTTTAAGGGGATAACTGTGTCAAAACAAACCATATTGATGCAATAATAATAGGAAAAGCAGGGGTGGAAGAGGTTGAAAAACATTTTAGAACAAAAACATGTTGGTAGTTTGTTCGCATTTTTCTAGGCTCATGGTCAAAATTATTTAATCATCTCTATGAGTGCATTGGCCAAACATATGCATATGTTTAAATCCTCATGAAATAGCCAAAATCCAAAATATGACTGTTTGAAATCTGTTGTGATACTTTCCATGCTCCATTACTTGACAAACATATACGCTTGGCATATACATATTGATCCTCACTTCATTGCTTTTTACTTTTAGAACTTATTCAAAGTTGTTGTCCAAATGCGACGGATTGGGGTTCCTATAAATGCTGGGAGAGGAGCTTCGTAGAAATATGCAATGGGATCAAGTTCTTCTATCACAAGGTGTATCGTGTAGCAACAGGTACGTCAATCATTTTTTGCATGCAGATTTGTTTAATATATTTAAGTCACAACTGAAATTATAAATTACAATTATGAAACAGTATTTTAATATATCCGTACTTTCTTAGTTACAAGGATAACAAACGCCATGATTGTATAAAAATGAGCAAAAAGAATTGTTGGAGAATATCCAATTCAGATTGTTATACCAATTAGTTAGTCTCAAGAATGATAAATGTAATTATCAATAATTATAAATGAATATAATCCAGATAAGTTTTTTAGATCAGGCTATTATCCTCCATCCATTACGACTTGATCGGTCATTGGATTGATTTCCAGTAAATTAATAGTCGATTGGAGAATATTTCATTAACTATGTAACATAATTTATTCCATTTGATCTTTAAGGTACACCTGAGGAATTTGCTTTATTAAGAACACTGATGAAAGACCATCCAGGTCATATGCTGGTGTTCACAGACGTTGGATTACACGACAATCTTAACACAGGCACAATATCAGTCTATATGAAAAAACTGCTAGAGGAGACAACAACCCTTCGTGATACAGACATACTGTATATGACACCATATATCCCAGGAATACAGAAATCCCCATCGTTTACTGGCCAAACTGAGAATAAAACAATTGAGTTTGCTAATTTCTTTCGTAGATTTACGAAAAACACGAATATATCATTTCTTGATCCTACTGAGCTTGTCAGGCCGCTCGTAAGTGTGGATGGCACACATTATACAAACGGGCTAAATGAAGCAATGGTAGATATTATATTAAACTATATTCTAAAAGCCTCCTGATAGCTTGCATCATAATCGCCTTCCAAAGCTCTTGTCTTTTTCACAACATCTCTGATAACAAACGTAAGAACGTTCATTGGTTCGTTTGGCATATATTATTTGTATGCCATGAAATATAAAAGTCAAACGTTTAAATAGGCGTGAATACAGTGTTTATACTAAAAATAGTTAATTCGCTATGTAAAGTTTAATCCGTTTGAGTCTATATTTTGTGTCTATTCAAGACAAAATTCCAATTTTTGAGTAGTACATGTCCCTTTAATACAGGCTAAATGGCGATAGAAATAATTTAAGATAAAGATGGCTGTATCATCGAGATAATGGAATACATGTACGTCTCCAATTGCGTTAATATTTATACCGCCCCAAAACATTCCAATCATTCGTTTAAGATTCTATGAAGAATCGATTGCATTTTAAACTCAACTCGGTTTTTATTATCTAAGTATTGGAAGTATGTAAACAGGAGCCGTCTTAAGAATCAAGGAATTACTGAAGTAATTGAGGTTGTAAGAAACATTCCGATTGAAGTCGTGATGACGTACACTAATTAATATTCAATAAAAGTCAATATTCAGATAAATTGTGAAAACTACTACAATACATTGAATTTGTTTTATTGCCATTTTCGTGTCACTCGACCGTTTTATACATCCACTCTTTAATGACGATTATTGCTCACTTATTTCTTTGCATATATGGTGTAAAGGATAGGTATCGATATGGGGAACTGAATTCAACAATGTTTTTCTCTTGAACCAATTATTGATAACATTCTGTAAAAATGGTCCTTTATGTAATGTTGACTGATTGGCAACAATTTAATGCAAAAATTATTTATATATATTTTATATAACTGATTTGTTAACATTTTTTTTGTTTTTTTAGTGCAATTGTTTTTTGTTCCTTTCTACCAATTCCTGAGAATGAAATAAAATGTCTTTCCGAAGATTGTTTGAACAAAATAGCATATATACATTTTCTTAGACCTCTCAATATTATAGTTAAACAAAGATAAGATAAACCTTTTATTTCCTTAACAAGATACTTTTTTATAATCAGCCAAACATTCCTTTGTACAATCACAATATTGAGGGACCTAAACACGTTGTGTTTATGTCGTTTTGCTCCAATGAGGTTCAGATAGATGTTTCATTTCATTCCGAAAATATGATACCAAGAACAATAGACGTGTCTTATGTGTTTTCTTAAACAATATAGAGAAAAGTATATAAATAAATTTCAAATTATACGTTACCATCCAAAAGATGACCGTTAAATTGACGTCGATGTGTTTTGCTAGGAGAATCTTGTATATATATATATATATATATCACTCCAAAGAATCTACATAAAATGTAACAACAAGTCAATACTCTATAGTGGGCTGTATAGCAAGGTTGGTCGGGGTCGGGAGCTGGGGATAATTTTATTGCTTAAATATAACCATATCATCATCCTACATTAGAATCCACTCAGTCTAACATCAATTTCTGGTGCGGAAGTTGTCATTTTTGAGTTTTACCCCCCTTGAAGACAAATTCTTGGGGGTACTATGACAAATGCTTATAACTAAAGAAGTATTTATTTGATCATCTTCATTTTTAGCATAGGTAATTAACAGGTATGTAAAAGTAAAATTTGAAAAATTCATTCAAATCGGGTGATTAATCCATTCTAAAGATAATAATTCAGGTATTTTCAAGGGTCAATTTCAACATTTTCTGAATGATGACATGAAGTGAAAATAACATTATGACCCAATGACATATTTATTGAATGTTTTTAGGCTTTAGAAAATAATTTGACTATATAAGCTAAAATAATAACATAAGAATTGTACCATATAAATAATTCTTCTTCGCCATCCAGGCACAAATAAACCCCACCCCCTCCCCATTTCGAATATAAAGGTCTATACCTGAAACTTCCTCAAATAGCTATATTTCAGAAAGTATTACATCCAGTACATCCCAAAATTTCTCATGGTGATTATACACATCATACTGTGCATAACAGACATATAATTGAGATTTATCCGTTCTATAACTAATAATTAAGGTATTTTCAAGGTTCAATTTCAGCATTTCCGGAATGTCGCCATGAAGTAAAAATTACATGACCCAATGACATATTTATTAAATGTTTTAGGCCTTAGAAAATAATTTGACTATATAAGCTACGATAATAACATAAGAATTGTTTGATATTGATATTTCATCATCGCTATCCAGGGATAAATACCCCCCATTTGCGAAAGTAAAGATTTTTACCAGAAACTTTCTCAAATAGCTATATTTCAGAAACTATTACAGCCTCCATTCCAAAATTTCTCTTGTTGATTATACACATCATACTCTGCATATTATACATATAATTGAAGTCTTAACACTTTTTGAGCGTGTAGCTTATAATAATAGTATAATTTTTAGACATCTTAGAAATCAAAATATATGTTTTAGAAGGTTGTCAGAACACTACAAGAGAGATATTTTGGATTGTCATCATTTTTGAGAATCTGAAATATATTATCCAGCTAGTTTTAATGATTTCGGTATGTTCATTTAATCCTGAGATGCATTTAGGTTTGATATCCATGAAGTAATCGTTTCTTTTTTGTTTGTAATTTAGTTTCTTAGCATAAAACTATGAGCATTAAATCTGTATGCTTTAGGATATACATAGTCAATACTGATGACTAAACATTCAATCGACAACATTCAGTCAATATGCTTGACAACATTCAATAATGATTAATATGTTCGAGCAATATGTTTTTGAATAACTTCACCAATACAATTTGGTTGAGTATTTACTTCACATTTGCTTCAAGCAGTTGAACATTGTTAGTTATCAACATCACCTGAAAAGATTTCATCTATGAAATTGTTGACTTCATTATCTGTCATATCATCATCAATTTCGTCATCTGATTCTTCGTTATAAATGTCTACCAACTCTTTTGGAAGAATAGCATTTGGATTTTCAGCCCATTGTATATCAAGTTCGCCATCTTCTAGGATCCATCCATTTTGCCTTTGGTCAAGAATTATAGATTTTCAAGTTCTTGAATGATTGCATGCATGTCCTCCCTCTTGACCAGCTGTTTCAGAGGGTTTATTTTTCCCTTTCTCATGAAGGCACTGGTGGTATCACACCCTGTAAAACAGTGGATACCAATCAGGGTGGCTGTGATTAGATCACCCAAACCCGCTGCAACTGTCTTCAGATCGATTAGGCGCCTCTTGTTTGAAACTCCAGTGTCAAACAGTACTTTGAGAAGTAGGTGTTTGCTGTAATGTAGCAGGAGTATGAGTACATCTGTGTCTGGAGATCTGACAAGTATGGTCTTGGCCTCAGCCCCCACCTGCCTAAATTGGCGTGTTCTGAATTTAAGAGAAGGCGTAGAGGTAAAATGCAGCCACTGCTAGTGAGAGGTCCCAAAACTAAAGTCCCAAAATGATGGAATGACTTCCTTTCAAATAGCAAAAACAAAATTCAGGAAGGACAAATATGCAAAAAAATCAGAACACGCCAATTTACTTTGTCTGTCAGGAGAAGTGCTTCGAATTCTTACTCACAAGTGATGGGTCACATGTTGTTAGTGAGGAGGTCCTAGACCTAAGGTACAACCATGATGAAGCTGACACAAAATAATTCTCCATGCTTTATATGCATCAAGGCAGGTGGGGGGCTGAGGCCCAGACCATACTTGTCAGATCTCAAGACACAGACGTTCTCATACTCCTGCTTATTTACAGCAAACACCTACTTCTCAAAGTACTGTTTGACACTGGAGTTTCAAACAAGAGGCGCCTCATTGATATGATGTGAAGTAAGGTGCTGCAGGTTTGGGTAGATCCAATCACAGCCACCCTGATTCGTATCCACTGGTGATACCACCAGGGAAAAATAAACCCTCTGAAACAGCTGATCAAGAGGAAGGACATGCATGCAATCTTTCAAGAACTTGAAAATCTATAGTTCTTGACCAAAGGTATCTTCAAAAACTCGAAAGATTTGTGTGCATCGTGTACGGGTAAAAGAAAAAAAACAGACATCAGTCATGTACGATACATACATTTTGCCAACATATTTCAACCTCAAACCTCTATCAACAGCTATGATGGGATAGACATCAGTCTCTTCCTCCATGCAGGTCATCCCTTGTTCAACATTGTAAAAGATGTAACTACCAAGGTTACATATAGAAGCAGTCTCACAAAGCCCAAATGAAGAATCAGATGACGAAATTGATGATGATATATGACAGATAATGAAGTCAACAGTTTCATAGATGAAATCTTTTCAGGTGATGTTGATAACTAACAATGTTCAACTGCTTGAAGCAAATGTTGAGGTGAATACTCAAGCAAATTGTAATGGTGAAGTTATTCAAAAACATATTGGTCGAATATATAAATCATTATTGAATGTTGTCAAGCATATTGACTGGATGTTGTCAATTGAATGTTTAGTTATTTAGGTATTGATTATGTATATCCTAAAGCATACAGATTTAATGCTTATAGTTTTATGCTTAGAAACTAAATTACAAACAAAAAAGAAACGATTACTTCATGGATATCAAACCTAAGTGCATCTGAGGATTAAATGCAAAAACTGAAATCAATAAAACTAGCTGGATAATATATTTCAATTATGTTAAATGAAAATAGGTGATTATTGCATAATATAAATATGTTTTTGTAATATTCTCAAAACTGATGACGATCCCAAAAAATATCTCTCTTGTAGTGTTCTGACAACCTTCTAAAACATATATTTTGATTTCTAAGATGTCTAATAAATATACGAGGGGTGATCCAAAAGTCTTGGACGCCCTGCTCTAACTTTGCTATTTTCTAATATAATTACATGAAACTTTCAGATAATAAAGATCAACATCTTAACAACTTTGTTTCAACAGAAAATAATATATTTTAGCTACGTTTCTAAATATTTTTTTGATACCGGGTCCTTGCTACCCGGAATGGTATTTAAATATAGGAAATCACGTCACAACTGTTATATTATGGCAAATACTTTAGGTGCAGGTGCGCAACCTAACACCAGTCATGATATTAGAGAATTTCCTATTTTCAGTCTGAGTGTCATCATCTTCACATATTAAGGCCTACTTTTCAACATATTTTCCTCAAATTTGAACACATTTTTCATACCGCTTTACCAATCAATGAAAGACATTTATGAAACCGCCATTGCTTATGTGGACAAATGCTGCAGGAGTGCCACTCTTAACCTCATCCAATGAGTAAAAAACATTTTCTTTCAACCCTCCTTTCAACTTGGAGAAAAGAAAGAAAATCACACGGAGCCATACCTAGACTGTATCGTGCATATGGAAGTTGCTCAAGGTCAATAATAGTGAAAATATATTGTAGTATTCTCTTTTTCACTTTGATTTCTTTCATGCTCTGCATTTCAGTAGCCATCTTGGAACAAAAATGATACCAAAATGAGGGTTGATTGTCTGATGTTATTTTTTTAGAACTTGACATATACGGCCATTGTCATATGTGACATTATAATTAAAACAGAATTCATTGGTTGCCTAGTAACAAAGGAAGTAAACTAACATGGTTTAACATTCAAAATTTAAGAAAATATAGTGGTCAAGACTCGCAAAACAAGTCAAATAGCGGCAACATTTAAGGCTGAAAGTTGCCATGTGCGATTACCGTTCCGGGTGGCAGGGTCACTATACTAATAACTATCGGGAAAACTACATAAACTATATCATTTCACCATGAAATTAATACACAAAGTAGTTAGGTTGTTGGTCTTTATTATTGAAAAGTTTAAAGTAATTTTATCAAAAACCAACAAAATTAGAGCAGGGCGTCCAAGACTTTTGGATCACCCCTCGTACTATTATCATTAGCTACATCCTCAAAAGTGTTAAGTCTTCAATTATATGTATAATATGCAGAGTATGATGAGTATAATCAACAAAAGAAATTTTGGAATGGAGACTGAAATATAGCTATTTTTGCAAATGGAATGGGGGGGGGGTATTTATCCCTGGATGGCGATGATGAATTTTCAATATCGAACAATTCTTATGTTATTATCTTAGCTTATATAGTCAAATTATTTTCTAAAGCCTAAAAATATTTAATAAATATGTCATTGGGTCATGTGATTTTTACTTCATGGCGATATTCCGGAAATGCTGAAATTGAATCTTGAAAATACCTTAATTATTAGTTATAGAATGGATAAATCTCAATTATATGTCTGTTATGCACAGTATGATGTGTATAATCACCATGAGAAATTTGGAAATGTAGGATGTAATAGTTTCTGAAATATAGCTATTTGAGGAAGTTTCAGCTATAGACCTTTATATTCGAAATGGGGAGGGGGTGGGGTTTATTTGTACCTGGATGGCGATGAAGAATTATCAATATGGTACAATTCTTATGTTATTATTTTAACTTATATAGTCAAATTATTTTCTAAAGCCTAAAAACATTCAATAAATATGTCATTGGGTCATAATGTTATTTTCACTTCATGTCGACATTTAGAAAATGTTGAAATTGACCCTTGAAAATACCTGAATAATTATCTTTAGAATGGATTAATCACCCGATTTGTATGATTTTTTCAAATTTTACTTTTTACATACCTGTTAATTACCCATGCCAAAAATGAAGATGATCAAATAAATACTTCTTTAGTTATCAGCATTTGTCATAGTACCCCCAAGAATTTGTCTTCAAGGGGGGTAAAACTAAAAAATGACAACTTTAGCACCAGAAATTGATGTTAGACTGAGTGGATTCTAATGTAGGATGATGATATGGTTATGTTTAAGCAATAAAATTATCCACAGCTCCCGACCCCGACCAACCTTGCTATACAGCCCACTACTATATCTATTGGTGCTGCTCTTGGCAGAATTACCTGTAATTTATGATAGAATTAATGTAGAACCTTGTTTATATTGAATATTTGTATTAATTGATTGTAATGCTGCTAAACCTGAAATAAAAATCAATTAAAATAAATTGACGATGTGTATAATTTTCAGAATATTTTTATGACTGGTTTAAGAGAAATTCGTGTTCAAAGGGTTCACCATATCAATACCACTCCTTTAGTATTAACCTGGTAAAGTGTACTTATTCTTAACCTCGTTTTTCTTTTATACCAGATGAGCACTGCACCACGAGAGGGTTTAATCATATTCGACCATCAAAAGTGTCTCATGGGAAAAGGACAATATAAAACTAGAGGGAACACGCATATGATTTGTTTAACTGTGATAAAACGTCATTTTGATGAAAAAAAAGTAAAATTGAGGTTAGTTTGACATGTATGTGTTTTTCAGATCATTAGTCATTTCACAAAAAGCATTTGTATTGATTATTTATCTTTCAAGGTTTGCAAAATGGATATACACCATCCATATAGAAAAGGATGCAAAGTTTTTGTTATTTTGTGCGTTACAGGTGCATTCTGTTCACTGTCTAATATATTATATTTCGTTTATACAAGAAAAAGAGAGCAATCCGATTTTCCAGACATTGGGAAAAATGGACGAGACGAACTACCGAACCTGGGGAATCACAATATTCGTCTCTTTTATAATCAAACGTGGTTATCACTGTTAAGTCATGGCTACTGGAGGCCTAAGTATGTACCTTTAGATGATAAGGACATTGTAATAAGCAATTTAAAACGAATAAGGAAGAAAAAGATGATATTCTACAGTGACACTTCAACGTGTGGACACGGTAGTCTTGGTTATAGATCAATTTGTGATCCAAAAGACAAAAAAGGATGTTGCAAAGAAAGCACATGTCAAGATATTCCTTTGAAAAATTGTACATGTTCGACATGTTTTGACGAACGGTTGCGGATCTTTCCGGAGTTCCACGAGTGGACACCGTATGATATTAACATGGGCAATAATGTACGAGGTGATCATATATGCGCTGGGTTACGGCTTTTAAATGTGTCATCAATGGTTACACTTGGCGATTCTTTAATAAGACAAGTAACTGAACGGATGTGGAGGCGAGTTTACAAAGGACCCGTGACACATTTACTATATGAGGACTCAAATAAAGGTAGTTTTACATAAATTATAGATTTAACAAGATTAGTGTATAACGGTTCTATTAAAGGGGAGCACCACCATGGTCACATGATCAGTCGTGTGGAGGTAAGCTCCCAGTTGAAATAAAAGCACTGTCTTCCTTTGGTTTATGTGAAAAGTAGCTAATACCCTCATGTATTGGTCAGTTTGTGTGTCACACGACTAATCCACACCATATGCTTCATTCAACATATTTTATGCTATTAAGCTGCATATATATAAACTTTGCAGTAAACGTACTACTGGATGAACTAAGGTCATACATTATACTTACCCCTTGTAAATTGTAATTTATTGAATTCACAGTAAACCCGTCAATTTTTAAGAAAACAAAAAATATTGTTCTCATAGATCTATTATTTATGTTAAACTAACTATGAACATATAAATATGAAATAATATGTTAGCTTGAAGTCATATATAAGATGAAAATATTTGTTCATGCATTTGCATTTTTCCAAAGGGAATATTCCCATGTAAGTAAATACAGGTGCAATATTTAATTTATATGTATATCTATGTCATCTGTCTATACATGCGCGTATAGTGATACATGTGAAGTGAACAAGATGGTTCTGGAAAGAAATGAGCGTGGCAGATTTGCTAAAAAGCCACATACACCACGAAAGCAAGACCAATTTGAAAGTAAGTTCATTATTCTCAAGGGTCCACTTCAAGCGATAGCTACATTGCTACGGGGTGGCCTATCATTCTGAGACAAATGTATTGTGATTTTCGATGCTAAAATATGATATCTTCATAATGTATCTTGAGCAGATGGAAATACATTCCCATGAGATATTGTTTATATAGTCAAAAGTCATAACTATTTATTGAGTGTAATGAGACATGTCCTTCGCTAACTGATTTTGTTTGAGATAATTTTATGTGTGTCATTCATTAATCCTAATCCACCCTGTAGTCTGGTGTTTGTAGAGCATTGCACCTCGTACAACTTATTCTCACAAATATCAAACCTCATTTACTCATTAATTTTTTGTGTGAATATGAAGAGTCCAAGCATTGCTTTATTATGTTTATTGTATAGCTATATTTAGCCTTGATATCCATGATTTTTTAAAACAAAATCTCACCGTTAGATTTCGAGCTATTAATGTTTACTCTTTTTTCTAATTGGAAAACAATGCAAGTAAGGTGGTGGGTTCCTTCAAGGGTATGCTTATAATAGGGAAAATATTTCTTGCCATGTCCAGCAATGCTAAGTAAGGATAAATGTACGTATACTGTAGGGATGCTATTTTCTGTATAAGGATTCAATTCAACTGCATTGTGTTGAGACAACGAATGTGCAAACAACCCACCCACATGTTTTTTTTCTGACATACTGTCCTGATTTTCAACCTCTTCCACCACTGTTTTTTCTATTTTTGTTGCATCGATATGTTGCGTTTTGACAGACAGCTAACCCTTTTTGAAAGGAATAAGTAATACCTTCAGTGGTTTTAAAAGGATCAATTATGAATGACCAAAATTAAGCTTAAAGCAATGGATCGCATGAGTTTTCCGCTAGTCAAAAAGGATTAACTTATTCATTTAAAGGGGATAACTTATTATTTATCATCCCTTTTAAGTGCTTTTCCTGGAGATTGTGCATTGGCCTGACACATGCACGTGTTTAAATCTTCAGTAAATAACCAAAATCCAATATATGACTTTCTCATATGACTAACAAAGATACAGCCATCTTTACCCCATGCAAGATATTGCCATCTTTCATCCTAAAAAGTCACACGTGCAAGATGAGATTTACTTGTGACATCACTGGTCTATAAACATCAATCATCGATATAGAAGAATTATCAAAGCTCATCAAGAATGGACAATCTTGCACGGGTACTCATATAAGAACCTCTATGTTTCACACTGGAATAGCCTGTCAACGGTAAAGTCAGATACCGTTGTCACAAACGGTGGACATAACCGTCGCTTCGATTAGTTTTTCATGAAGAATATGTTTAATAGGGCGACTACATTAAATTTCTTTGGTACTGCAATCACTCAAAGTGTTTTCTACTGATCATATAGTAAAATATGTTCTACCATCGAAATAATTAAAGGCCTTACTTTACCGATCGGAATATGACACATTCATATGTGTCATATGTGTGGGTCAAATGTGACGATAAAGTCCCAGGAAACGAGGACCAAGTGATTAAAAAGTTGAAACAACGGTTATATCCGCCATTTGCGGCAATGCGTACAGTATCTGACTTATTACAGTTGTCAGGCTATTCCGGTGTGTGTTTGAAATCTGTTGCGATACTTTCCGTGCTCCATTACTTGATAAAACACATATACGCTCGGCTATACATATTGATTCTAATTTCATTACTCTTTACTTTTAGAACTTATTCAAAGTTGCCGACCAAATGCGACGAATTGGGGTTCCTATAAATGCTGGGAGAGGAGCTTCGTAGAAATATGCAATGGAATCAAGTTCTTCTATAACAAGGTGTATCGTGTACCAAAAGGTAAATCAATCACTTTTTGCATGCAGATTTGTTAGTATATTTAAGTCACGACTAAAATTATTAATTACAATTATGAAATAGTATTTTAATCTATCCGTACTTTCTTAGTTACAAGGATAACAAACATTATGACTGTATAAAAATGAGCCAGAAGAATTGTTGGAGAATTGAGAGGTTAAGCTTTGCATATATAATCGAAACTGAACCTGTACGTATCACTCGACCATATACAAATTCATGTAGCCTTCTCCTATAAATAGCCGTTCAAATCCAGTGTTTGTTTAGACTACACCATAGCGTGTAATGATTCTATAGTATGTCATTGATGCGGTTTTATAGCTGGTTTTCTAATTCATATTTTAAACGAGCTCGTTTCGTAAGATTTTTGGCGCTAAATCATGCATGACATACATCATCGTGTTCAGCAAGAATTCAACTGTGCATCGAAATCAAAATTGACAGCATAGTGTTCAATAGACACGAGTAAAATGGTTCCCGTTGACCCAACGTCAAATTTCAAAATCTCCCGTTCTAAACCCGAAACTCTGAAGCTGAAAGAGTATCTGAAGTAGACTAAGCGCGCATAAACTATGAGCGCTCGATACATTCCTTTGTTAATTTTTGTACTTTGCGTTTACGGTTACGTTGTGAAAAACATCGTTAGCTTAACCTCTCCAGTATCCAATTCAGATCGTTATAGCATTTAGCATTTAGTCTCAATACTACGCCATTTTAAAACATTTTTCCTCAATTCTCAACTTCGAATTTTGATGGATTAAATGAAAAATGGTATTCATTGCTTAAAGGTAAGATTCGTTTTCTTGATCAGGTTACTATTCTCCATTCATTACGACTTGATAGGCCATTAGATTGATATCCAGTAAGTTAATAGTCGACTTGAAAATATCCCATTAATTATGTACCATTATTTATTCCATTTGATCTTCAAGGTACACCTGAGGAATTTGCTTTATTAAGAACACTGAAGAAAGATCATCCGGGTCATATGCTGGTGTTTACAGACGTTGGGCTACACGACAATCTTAACACAAAAATAATATCAATGTACATGAAAAAACTGCTAGAGGAGACAAAAACCCTTGGTGATACAGACATACTGTATATGACACCATATATCCCAGGATTACAGAAATCCCCATCGTTTACTGGCCAAACTGAGAATAAAACAATTGAGTTTGCTAATTTCTTTCGTAGATTTACGAAAAATATGAATATATCATTTCTTGATGCTACTGAGCTTGTCAGGCCGCTCATAAGTGTAGATGGCACACATTATACAAACGGCCTAAATGAAGCAATGGTAGACATTATATCAAACTATATTCTTAAGGCAGTCCTCTGAACAATTCCATTATTTTCGCCTTCCAAAGCTCTACATGTACTATACAATCTTAATGAAATACAAAGTCGTGTATAATTTCTTTAAAACAGTGTTGCATATATTAAAATTATCATAGACATAAGTCTCGGGGCTTGTACTGTTATGATTGTCAGATTACCCATAATGAAATCAGAAATTAAATCGGAGGGACATTGTTTACAAACACTTTAATTGGATTCACGTTCTTTTTTTAAATGCTCACTCGACAACAACCTATGCTGTACATTTGCATTTGCCATCACTTTTGCCCCATACAGAGTAATTGGAATCAAGGCAAAAAATGTTGGTTCGTGCAAGAAAGTTGAGTCAAGAACCATAAAAACAAAAGTTTTGTAAGTTTTAGATAATTTAGAACAAGACTTTGATTTTTATTGTTCTTGACTCAGTTTCTTGCAAGAACTAACATTTTTGCCTTGAATCCAATTACTTTTTTCCAAAGTGTTTGTCATTAAAGGTGGAATAAGTATTTTATTTATTTATTTATTTATTCATTAATTTAAGTGTCACCTATCTAAGATAGCCAGCCCTATCTGGGCTTATGAGACACATTTTACATAAGTTACATAATAATAATACATAATAATTTTAACAATACAAATATAAAATTAGTGCAGTTCAGCTCAACATCATTATTGATTTTGATTTTTAAATAAAACTCTTTTCCTTATATAGAATATTTTTTGCAAATACTTTCCAAAGCATTTAATATATTTTTTATTTTTAAAGATATCTTTAAAGGAATTGTCTTTGATTTCTTGAAGGAAAGATTTTCGAGCTTCTGAATAATATGAACACTCAAATACAAAATGAGTTTCATTTTCAATTTCATTTGAGTTACAAATTTGGCACTGTCTTTGGTTTACTGGAGTTTTCGGTTGAGTAAATCTCCCCGTTTCTATTGCTAAAGGAAGTATACCAGTTCTTAACTGAGCTATTAGAGAGCGTTCACCCCTTGTCAATGATGGTGTAAGTAAATACTGTTCTATTGGACAGTCATGTTTAAAAGTTAGGTAAGTCCTTAATTTGGGTTGTGATTCAATATCTGTACGTAATTTTTCTTGTAATTTTAATTTTAGTTTTCTCTTAACAATGCTGATATTAACATATTGTTTCTGGTTATAATGATCATTCATCCCTAACTCATTGAAAATTGATTTTATATCTGAACACCATCCATTATAGTCAATGTTAAATATTTTTTTGGTGAGTCTATTATTTTCCATGAATGTGAATCTATTCCATAGACGCACAATATCTAGTGTTCTAGTGTCTTTCGGGGTAAGCCAGCCAGAATCGCTATATAGAGCAGGAATTGAAGCATATCTATAAACGCCCATAAATGCACGTATGGCACGTTGGTGAATATAGTCACATTTTTGATAAGGTTTCGCTCCCCAAATACCAGCACTATAGTTCATAATAGGTAATACACATGTGTCATACAGTTTACTGAATGTCTGGAATGATAGTCCTTCATGTGATCTGAATTTAGAAATAAGACCACCAAGTCCTCTGCTTGCTGCTGAGCTCAGATGTTCTGCTGTAAATGTATAGTCTAATGTTTCGTTGAAGAAGCAACCCAGATATTTGTAGCTTGACACTTTTTCGATTTCAGAATCATTGAAGACAAAATTATAGTTCGTTTTAGGCATGGGTTTCCTTCTGAAATGTACAATTTTAGTTTTTCTCATATTTATAGATATTCTCCACTGATTGCACCACATTTTAACAATATCGAGCAGCTTTTGTAGATCGGTTTCGCTTTCACAAATCAGAGCAATGTCATCTGCATATAATAAAACGTTTATAAGTTCATCACCATATTTTACGCCAATTTGACTAGAGATTATTGTCTTTGCTAGGTCATTTAGGAAGATATTACACAAACAAAAAGAAAGATTATCTCCTTGTTTTAATCCAGCTGTAGAAGGGAACCAGTTTGTTGTTTTACCATTGAGATTTACTATGTTAGAAGTTCTACTATACATTGTCCTTAAAGCTCTATACATACGGCCATCAATACCTGCCTTTATCAGTTGCATAAATAAACAGTCCCTGTCGATTTTATCAAAACATTTTTCTACATCTATGAAGCATATAAATGTTGATTGTTTTAAATGTTTTCTGTGGCGTATAATTGTTGTCAATACATACAGATGATCAATACAGGCTCTAAGTTTTCTGAAGCCATTTTGCTCATCAGCTAGGAAGATCTAGAAACTGCATTTGTGAGCCTGCTGTCTGCCATATCTTTAGGAATACAGTGGATTGCTTACATTTGTGAGAAAAAAACAAATCTAGAGAATCCGATTTTACCTATATGTGTGACTTACTATATCTGATCTCAGTACTATACTAGATAGTCTTGAAAACATTGCGCTGCAAATATCGTTCGTAGTACATGCTTACGTGTACGATATATCATCGACCTACCACGAATTTGATGAAACTGTTCTTAATTTAGTAGACAGCAATAACCGCTTGGAGGTTGATGATACACGGTATTTATAGACATTGTGTACAGAACTATACTATGATGTAGATTTCCCTCAAAAAGTGTTTCCGCTATTACCACGTACTATAGAGCGTTTTTAGTTCCTTGATTTTTAAATACTCATACATCCGATTTGGGAATAAGCGCTGCCAACTTTTTTGAGTGGAGTGTAAATAAAACCCTCATTATCTAAAGATAAACAGGCTTCGATAATTAATTATCCAAAATGGGACTCTTGGTTGCCAGCCTTATGGAGGGGAGTGTACAACCGTAGCTGCAACTCATTCATCCAATACCACATATGAATAGATCACGAGAAACTAGAAACGGAAATAATGGAAATACAAGGGTATTCAGAACGTTAATCCGTGCATTTGGAAGTTGGTTAATCCCTCGCAATGATTGATGCAATTGGCTACGTCAGAGAATTTTTTTCATCAAGTGAACCAGCGAGATAAGACTAATAAATAATGAAATAAATCGTCCCATGAACGAGTATTAATTTCCGTAACAATTATTTTTTTGTTGTGAGTGGACATTATTTCAAATCAGTTGGAGCAAAGTCCATATCAACTAAATAAATGTTGTGCTTCTACACTTATAGAATAATGGAATTATAAAGAGGCATTTTTTGTATTACATTATTAAGCATCGATCATTTAGAAGCAGCTTTGCATTTAGTCACAAATTATTCAATGAGGTATTTTGGTACTATAACTTAAAATACACCCTAAAGAGCAAGTTATCTAGGCCATGTTTTGATGTCATTTCTTTTACAATATTTCCAATTTTACAAATCCATAATAATGCGGCAAATATCCTTTAGTTGCCAGTTAACATCCGCTCGAAATGAATAAGTTGCAAAGTGACATTTATTCGATATGTAAAAAACTAATACCTTTCTAGTTGGAGGTTTTTTCTCAAATTCAATGATCTCAAAAACAAATTTGTATTTCACTATTTAATATGTTACAGAGAAACTGACTGTTAAGTTATTATTAACCATACATAAAATATAAACCATCGTATTATTTTTAGATAAGGTATCTATATGTGCTCTGCCGTTTTAATATTATTAAACATTTATGAAGTGTGGTACTTCCCATAAACAGCTTCAACAAGGGCACTATGATCTTATAACGCATCATGTGGTGAAACCGCAAGGGAGTTCTACGAGCTCTTAGAATTGGATGGGGATTTATTATAATCTCCGTAGCTGCCTCAACGATAATAAGGAGGATACTTCATTGTAATTTAATCGACACTTCATATAAGAACATCCGACATAACGATCCATACGTACTGAGATATTGAGAACGAGTTGGAAATTACACAAGGTAAAGGTCAAAATTGAGAGACATGGTTCATGCGATGTTATATATTGCTTGGTTAGTTAAACATCGAATGAATAAAACATTATGGAAAAACTAGCTATCGATCATTAGCTAGCGGAAAACTGTCTTGACCGACCTAAATCGCTAATGGATGGAATGTTTCTATGCTCTTTTGATACACAAATCAACGATCATGTACTATTTGATTGCAGCGAAGGACGATTTAAATCACCCAAAATACGAACGTGCTGTTGAATAATTCTGTTTAACGAATCAGGAGAAAATCGATCAAGGAACCGAACAAAATAAGATTAGATTATATAGACGGGCTTACAATCACTGATGGACTGTTACATACGTACACGTTAATGAAAAACATTCAAACTTCAAGTAACCTCAAAGTTATACAAAGTATTAGAAGCTTGTAAACATGTGAAACGCTTTATTTTCAGGATGTCAATTACGCTAGATATTATGCTTCGGATAATCGGAGTACATACTGCTTAATCGTTATTTGCTCAAATATGATTAGGAAATTAGTCAGATTTCTATTGGGAAAGGGTTGGTGTGAGACGGAACTAAAAATGAGATGAATTCAAATGTAAACCTAAATCAAACAAGACAGCATGATTTAAACTACCAATTCAATGCTACACACGGGATTAGAATAACGTACATACTGTCAGAATTTTGCTCAGGAATACTTGGGAAATAATGAATTACTATTTGTTGAAGAATAATTTGTCTGAGATAACTTAAACTCGTTATATCTAGAATCGTGATGAATAACAAGTACTGAGCAGACAACACCAAGGGGATACATTTTCAGCCAGAAACGCCAAAACAGACTTGTTTATTGAAATTCATTCCGAACCAATGAAGATCATTTCCCAAGGTACTGGTGCATTTAGATACGAGATACCATCAAACATCGATTTGTTTTCCTAGTGGGAAATAAAAATGTCTTCCAAAGAAATATATCGAGATGTGATCGAAGAACCGGGTGTTCGGTATTCAATGGTAGGATTACATATTACTGGAATTATTCTCGCAATGTGCGGAAACCTTCTCGTTGTAACGTTTATCATATCTAAGAAAATGTTTAAAAAACATATTACGATGTATTTGATACTTAATTTGTGCGTCTGTGATTTGATATCGACACTTATATATGAACCAATTAGATTGGTTGATATATTCCTCCCGTTTGAGAATTCAGCCCGTGGCACATTTGTCACGCAGACGTATTGCGAAATCACGGGTTTCTTCCTGTGTTTTATTGCGGGGGTTGGCTTCCATACGAACGTTGCAATCAGTCAAGAGAGACTTTTAGTGATTTGTTATCCGCTAAAAGCCAAGGCAATCTACACGGCAGAAATTACCAGGAAAATGATTGCTGTAATTTGGATTGTATCTTTCTTTATCACTCTACCTGTTCCGCTATTGTTCAGCTTTGTGCAGACTGTCTCTCTTAACCATACAAACATCTCCATGTGTTTCTATATTATCAGCGACGAGGAGCAGCAATCTGCCAAAATCTACTATGTTGCTATATTTGTGATATATTATGCAGTACCCGTCGTAATTATAATCATTTCATATACGAAAATATTCCACGTGTTGAACAAAACCACGGACTTCGGTCCGGGAGAAAGTAGGAAAAATATAGCAAATACTGAAAAATATATACGACCACGGAAATCGTTGGCCAAAATGATGGTTTGTGTGGCTGTTGTATTTACTGTTTGTCATGGACCGCAGTTTTTTACATTCTTATACGTTTGCCTAGGCGGAAAGGTGACGTCACATGGTATATTCCTACTTGTCTTACTGGATTTATTTCCTTTGTGTAGTTCTGTACTGAATCCATTTATATACGCACTTTATTCAAGAACATTTCAAAATGGATTAAAATCTCTCATAAATAGACGTTTCAAAAAGAAAGAGCTTCATTCAGGAAGCAGTTTCAAATCAGAGGAGAATCTTAAATTGAATGATTGCAATGCGCATGCGCAAAGCTGCAGAGCATCTTCCTCTAATATGAGGATCAAGAAACATACAAAGGAACAAAATGGATTAACCTTGCTAAAACATTCCTCAAAGGCACATGGTAGCCACGTTTCAGTCTCAATATCAACACCAACACCCAAATCTACTCCGGAGTACCAATGTCCAAAACCTCTTCTCAAGCAGGATACATGTATGACTTTTGATTTGGAAATATATCCGAATAATGATCACGAGGTTAATGCCGATCATACACTAAATAACGATGTGGAGGACGAAAGCTGGAATAAGGCGAATACAAATACAAATCAATCCTGATTGATATGCTATAGTAATTGGAATTACAACTACAAAATGTGAAATAATATTTAATACTTTATAATTAACCTTATACATGTACTGTATATCATATCGTATTATACCATGTAATCTTAATGAGTCGGTTTCTGAAACTGTTCAACTTTTTGGATCATATATGGATCTCTTCAAGTTTACATTACGAATTGGATATTACAACTAAACTAAAAATTAATCAGAATTTTGTCTCTTAATTTGCAAATAGGATGGTATTTTATATGTTGGATTAACCTTTATATTTGCACCCCCCCCTCTCCACCACCCCCTCCCCCTCTCGATTTTTTCAAGAGTGATTTGTGCACGTTTTGTTGCGTCTCTGCTAATTTTTTCGCAGGTATAAGACACTGTTTGCGTAAAGTACAATGTGATTGGGGGTAGAGAAGCAAAGTTAGGCTATGATCTTTCCAATATGCTTTATTTCATAATAATCGAGCCACTTTTCACCGTGTTATGAATTTTTAAAGGTTAAAAACTGTCAATCGCAAATTATTCGCGAAACGCGTTCTCTTCACGAATTTGAGAGATAAACGGATTTTTCAAACTACTTATATCTTTGAAATCTTTTTTTGCATATTCCTAAATGCTAATGCATACTGTAATAAAATAATTATGATGATACCTTCGTCAAAATTTTAGATATAGTTTTTATTCTCCCCTACCCCAATTTTTCAATTTCACAATTTCGATGCCTGTGCCGTTGCTAGATGGTTGCTAGGCAACACCATGGACCGAAACTATATTGGGACAATACCAAGTCATATATTGATACATCTCTAGACTTAATCACTGGGGCATTTGTCGTACATCTTGAAATATGATATCTAAAGACGAAAACAAATTGAACTTGAAATTGCTGACTATTCAATTTCACGTTACATTAATTGATTTCATTTGGATTTTGCGATACCTGTTATCTTTGAAAGAGTGAAACTTAACTTCAGGAACTTTTAGATTTGACGATGATTTTAGTTTTATTTTAAGATAATAGATTATTCTTAAAGGCAGCAAAGCATTTTTTGACACAAAAAATATTGTTAAAGAAAATCGACAATTTATCATAAAATGTCAAAAATGTACACCCCTATGTCTTATTGACCTCGATTTGACCTATGTTGACTTATGCACAACTTATGGGTTAATCTTTGAATCAAACACATTCGTTTTTTCTCAGAGATGGTTGCTGTAATCCATATTATGAAACCATTTGTATCACCACTGATGTAATTTGATATTTGTAGTATATCAGATTCATCCAATGTAATGGTTTCAATATATATGTTGCATTAATTGGGATAATTACAATGGCTTAGTTTCAATTTTCATAATAATAATTCGAAGCCAAAAATGTTCATAGTTGAAAGCTTATGTTTGGAGGATACAAAAGATTGGACAGCACAACCTAAATTCACTACAAAACCAACAATATTGTGTTCAATATTTTTGTTGTCTGTCGTTTGAAAGGTATCCCTTAAATATATAAGCACTAGTGCCAAAGAGAAAGGACCAAAAGTTGTAATGGAACTTAGCAAGAAAAAGCAAACTCTAAGTGCATACCAGTCAAGAAAAACAAACCCCATATAGCCCAAAACCATGATCTAATGTGAAAAGAAACAATGTCTAATACCCCCTTTCCCCCACCATTCAAAAATCAATATCACAATCCAAGACCAGAAGACCAAGGGACATTTCGTTCATACTGAAGTCATAACAATACATGTTGAAGAAAAAATTAGAAATTGATAGCCAATTGATAGCCAATACTCATAATCTCAAAAATTGTTGTAGATACAAGTACCCATACAAGATAGAGCATTCAGTCTCAAATGATGTGGGATAGATAAAATCCCGTCTCAAAGTCCATTTTCTAGCACAGCTATCAACAATAACTTGCTATGTTACAAACTTGGCTGTTAAATATTTTGAAATTATTATTCTGATCCTCAAAGAAGCAATTTTACCTAGTTTTCTAGGTATTTTGTTCCGAAGCTACACTCCCATGTGTCTTTGATCAAACCATTTCTATGATGTGTATGCTATCTATACTATTGAGGTACTCAGTACACCATACTTGTGTTTTGCGGTTTAGCTGAGTGATACCCATTCATCAACGTATGTAGTTAAGTGATATGCACTGAACTCTTCAAATTGATCTCATAACACATAGTGAGCCCAACATGTCTCCAGTAAATTTAGGAGTAATTTTTACGCAACTTTGGGAGTATATTTCAGAACTAGAAAATTAAATCTTAGTCACCATGTATGCAAATGAAACGTATGGAGTCGAATATGTATACAAAAACTTTATCGTAACAGCATGTTATATACTCGTGTAAAATCCAATATATTTAACATTATGCATGGTTTTAATTATAGACTTGCTCAACAAGTCTTCGATGCCACCTATACAATATAGTGTTGTCAATATCAATATTTACATATTTCAGATACTTATGAATATATTCACAGTAAACACAACTCCTGCTTGGTGTTCTATTTAATAGTACAGTAAAACCTGTTTAAATAGAACACTTCTGTTACCTCTATATAGTGTAACACTAGTACTTTGTTTGAATATGTTCCGCTTATAGAGGTTCATTTATTAACATTTAGTCAGTTTTTCTTAGAACTTTGAAAAGTGTTCCACTCACTTCACATAAGTGTTCCACTTTACAGGTTTACTGTGTCTAGGAGTTTAAAAAAGTTATTCGACATCTACGTGTTTAGGCCAGTTTGATATTATAAAAATATTAGCTATTAAGTACTATGTAAAACAGTTGCAGCAATCTTTTGAAAAGACATACCAATATGGTACTTGACACGATCCTAGTCTAATTATCTGAACTATCAAATTGAGACATTACTCTTTAAACTGTAGATATTCTTTAGAATTGAAAGACAGGACAAGGATGTCTAAGCTTTTGGAGCTTTTGGAAAACAGACATGACATCAGAAATGATATCAGAATATATCATAGAATTTTGACAATGTATTGTTTAGAATGAAAACCAAACTGTATCTTATCTTTGCTGTCCCATCCAACCGTGGCACTCATGGCAAATAAACTATAGAAGACTGACTTAGGTTTGACTTATTTGAAATACTTGATTTGTTTGAAATCCTAGAATGATGACTTCCCCTCGAGGAAGTTGTATCTGATTCAAATCGTTGTGACCTTTTTGATATCCTTGACGATGTTGATCGTCCACTGTCATGTCGTCCTTCTCGGACATGCCTGAATGAACTATGATTTGGAATACTGGCATTGCCACACGGTTCATACATCGTTGTGTTCGATCTTCCACTATCTACTGTATTCCTGTGGTTGTTTTCAGGCAAGAGTTCGCTAGTATTGTCACGCTTGCGCCTGCATCTAAGAATGAAGACCATGATGAATACGGTAAATATAACAAGCACTGCAACAGATATGGTTGTCACGGCAATAGTAAATGACGTCAATGTGTATAAAGTATACCCCTCAGGGATGACATGTGTATTCGTATTGTTCCAAGGTGGCACCAAGTCTACAGTGGTTTTATCAATGGTACCAACGGTTGTTGACATGGTGGGTAATACCGTTGTCAAAAGGTCAGTTGTATGTGTTATCGAGTCTCTTATGGTTTTAGTAATGGGTATTGTCACAGAAATTTGTTTATATGGTAATGAGACTGATGACATTTTATCAATGGTATCAACTCTTGTTGAAATATCCTGTAAATTAATTGTACTATCTTGTGTTGAGTCTATTGGAGTTTTAACACTAGTGTCAACTCTCGTTGACAAACTGGACAAAACCATTGTATGTGTATCTGGAATCGAGGCTGACAAAGATTGATCACTTGTATCAACTATCGTTGATACCCTGGGCAAAACGGTAGTTTGTGTATCTGGCTCCAAATATCTCACGCTGGACGCTATGGTATAAGGGGTTATTTTAGTTACACCTGGTAAAGTAGAAATATTACGCTTGGTTTCCAAAGACAAGTATTTTGTTGTTTCAGCCATGATATCCGTAGTTCCTGACGTAATTGTTGACGTCATTGCAATGTTTGTAGTTTGGGCACTTGAGTTATCACTTTTTATCCTATAAATTGATTGACTGGGATTGTCATTTAACGAAACACTACGAGGTGTCTCGACCACTTGTCTTGGTATTGACATTCTCGATGTAGAGCGTTTAGTATGTACATGCTCAGTAAAACTTCTTTCACTTAGTGTGCTGGCGGTTTTGTCAAATGACTTCTTGAATTTGGTATTAGCGGAGATAATAATAGTATGATCCAAGGGAATGGTAATTGTCGGTAAGGTCGGTGTCGACGTTATTATTGGATTATTTATAATATGTACAGATGTTGCTTCATTACGGTCTCGTTTTTCAGTTCTCATACTTGCTGGGGATAGTATTGTCCTATCGCTGGTGGGGTTTAGTCTACTGATACTATCATATGATGTCATACTGGTTTGGAGTGATTGCTCTTCGGCCATCATAGATTTAGTGGCGGTTGGTGACTCTGTTGGTTGCGGTATTACACTTATCACCTCTGTTGCTGTTTGCATCCCTGTGCATTTTGAATTGTTTTCGCAGAATGCAGTAGAAGAAGGGTCTTGCGAATCTGTCTGTTTATTGGTCAATTCCTCCAAATCTAACATTGGTGTGTGATACATAAGTGTAGTCATATGTACAGTAGGTACTGTTAAAGGTGATGATCTGCTGACCAAAGATGTTGAAGAACGCAATGAGTTCGATGCAGACACATGGAATGAATCAGCTACAAATGTAGGGTTTGTTATTTCAGAAGTAATCAAATGTGGAGCTGGTTCCGTAAAAGTGTTTTTACCCGTTTCTATGACAACCTGTGCTGGATCATCAGTTATCTGTTCTCCTATTGGTACATGTTTTGTGATATTGTGTATAAAAGTGAATGAAGCAATATTGGATATATCGCTAACTAGAGCAGCATCATCGTAGACAACAAGGCCTATGAAATACGCCACATCGTGTTCAGCAGCAGTCATTTCAATAACAAATAATTCCATTGTTCCTGGGTTATTAGCTGCAGATGTATTACCAGAAATGACGTTAAATGACTCGAGTGTTACAGGGTTAGAAGCATTTGTGAAACTCTTTCTTAACTCAGCGACCGTCCGTGCGATGTTGATAACGTATCCCGATGCTGAAAATGAGGAGCCAATGTATCCATCAATAACGTATAATCTCTTAAGACTAGATTAGTGTACTATAATAACATTTTGTTACTGTACAAAAACTGAACTCTAATTTTGTGACTGTATATTTGGTGTACATTTAAATAGTTAAGGTCGAAAACTGGTATTTAATTCAAGTTACCTTTTCCATCATCCATATCATCACCAGAAGCAGTGAACATTAACACAATTGATCTGTTTGCAGCAACGCTAACAGTGACGTCAGTAATACGTGCTGGTGGCACGTTGTCTTGAGAGGCATACGTCAAACTATTGTCGATCCCTTCTACTGTGAAGAAGCCTCCCGTAGACACTCTCACAAAATCACCGATAATTTCCTCGGAATATTCTACTTCTGGAACTAATTTACACCCTCTTAAAGCTCAGTTTCACTTAATCTAAGAAAATTCAAAATAAGGTTGTGCGGTTCATTTTTCGTTTAATTTTCGAAACCACACACCACTGGAATGAGGTAGGAACATACCGGACACAAATATGACAAAGTGCGTGTATATTGGAAAGTATTCAAAGAACAATGTAACGTTCCTATACTCACCGTTGTTATTCAAAAACATTGCAGATCCCATGCCACTGTATTTCCATTTTAATATTTTACTATGTCTGTTCCCCGTCACTAATAGCTTGATGTTGTACTTGGCATTCGCATTGAACTTGGTAAAGAAAGCCGAATAGATACCATCATTTTTGATACTATCTGCTCCTGTATTAAAAAAATGTCATTCATCTTTAATGTCGTCTCTAGTCATCTTTTATGTATTTAATGTTGCCAACATTATTGATTTCAAATCTAAAAACAATAGGAACACTTATAAAAGTAAGAATCCAATATCAATGTTACATACGCAGATGCATTTGTAGGTCAAAATGAGTGACCACGTCACAGTCGTTCGTTAACATATTCAGAGATGAACGATGGTACAAATGTGCTCACATGCATTAAATTAAAGGTAGACCAGGAACAAGCATTTTATTTTCTAATCTTACCAGTTCCCGTGTCGTAAAGGTGTACAATAAAAGTTGGATACGGGTATCTTGAACTCTGAACTATTGCAGTGACGTTGGCGTCAACTATTGGATGCATTGCCTTTGAGACTTCAGCTCGAATTACAGCAGTACGGACACCAAGATCTCCTAAAAGAAAAAGGAGATTTTAGACAGAAAATTATTATGACATTTAACGTCAGCTACATGAAGTTTGTAAACAAATAAGAAAATAGAATGAAATACGATTAAAAGAAAGATAGAAATACAGTTAATGCAAAAAAATATCCAGCAAACCACCAGGGGAACAAATCAGACACGATCATTCTAAATAACATCAATTTTCAGTACCAGTCAAATAAATATATTGTTTTGTAGAATGTTTAGAAAGTTTTTATTTTCAACTTGGGTGGGGGTTAATCTAACCGCTTTGTTCACGGGTATGTGTATCAATACGAGAAATATGCACCTTTTACATTTATCCTCTTGCTGCCCATATATGGTGTCATTGTCACAACCTCTGTTTTCGAATTTCTGGGTTTTGAACGGAATGTTGCTCCAATATAGATTGATGATTTATTAGAATTATTAGTGACAACCAGTTCCCAGAGACCAACCTAAATATAATAGATCTGTTTTAAGATTTAATACCATTAACATGATATTATGAAATATGATTTTTCGAATACCGATGTATAGTGTTCAGTCCTAATGCCGTGGTCACATTTGCTGTGATCGGCAACACGGTACCTAGCCGATGTTTATATTTTGTCAAAACTGAATTCAATTTTGAACAAAATACTCATCGGTCGGGCGCAGTACTGACAATTGGAGTTAATGTGACCATAGCATTTGACTGCGACGCAAACAAAGAAATCTCATAGAGGCATTTCTGGTGTGGAATCATCAAAAGTGGTATGAATTATGTTAAATCAATCGATAGTTTCACTTACTTGTTGAACTCGTCCAGTCGGTACCTTTATTCTGATGAGCTTCAGGGAATCAAATACCTTAAACCAGGAACTAGTCAGTGTTTTTGTCCCGGTTGGGTATTTCAGGATCAGTGTAAAGTCTTCCAATTTGGTGTAATATATGATTTCCCATGTTGTTTTCCTGCCTAGCCCTGAATCTAGATAGGAACTGAATGTGACCGATTTCAAAGGAGCAATCTTCTTTCGTTCACTAAGGAGCTGAAATACAAAATTAACAAAATATTGAGACTGAGCAAAAAGCGGGGAAGTTGATTTTAAAGGCAAAAAGAGACTAATCTGCAATTTCCAGTAATTTCTTCAAGAGAGTATACGTAGTATCTAATTTGTGGGGTACGGTTGATAATGACCTGGACGCTCTTGTTCGGTGAGTCTCTGATCGTAGATGGGAGGGCATCATCAAGACCTGTTGACAATGTACTCCCTGAATAGAACATAGATTCTCCCCCAGTCGTCCTTGATAAATCGTCCAATGTTGCCTCTGCCCGCCTACCATACATCACACTGTGGAATATAACACCCTTCGCAAATAGACGTGGTTTCACATCCTCTAAAAAGGGGGCTTTGTTTTCTTTTCCATCTGTGAATAGGATAATTTCACACCCAAAGTTGCCACTGACATTAAGGAGCTGAAAATATAAACATTGTCAAATGTGCATGAAGAAAATGATAAATCATTATAGTCCGAGGTTAAAAGTTTATATTAAAATTATGTTGCATTTCAACACTTCCCCTCGTACTATTGATAGAGGTTTCAAGGTCATTATCTAATATCCGTGTTGTCAAAGTAGAATCAATCTAATGGTGTATTGTAGTTGTATTGTAGTTGATACAAAACAATTATTTGTTTATTTCAATGTCAGGTAACAACTTTGATATATTGAGTATTCTTCGTAAATTTTTCCCACGCTCAAATACAAGCTACTCGCTATAATATGTCGACGATGCCATCACATCTTCTTTTGAAAGTGTTGAAAGGAGAACGAAATAAGTAGATATGGCAGATGCATACCTCAATTATTTATTCTATTACTAAATTCAATATCTGAAAAAATCAAAATTTGTAAAGATCAAATCTTTTTTAGTTTCACGAACCAGGTTTTTCAAAGTAAGCATGTAAATATGTGGAATAATAAACAGGTAAAAAAACAAAATTTGAATTTCCTTTTTTAAATGATATATAAACAGGAATCAAGCGATGATATTGCGTACCGTACGAAAGCACGTATATACTCACCTCGAGGGCTAGCTCTATAGCACATCCAATGCAAGTTTGCCCCGTCACAACCATTGGAATCTTGTCACGGAGAAAATCACGGTCTTTCTCCTTTCCGACATACGTCATATTAGCGACAACAGTAGCAACATCTGAGAAGGCTACAATTCCAACACGAACGCCTGGTTCTATGTCGTCCAAGTATTTTCCCACCGCCTGACCCTGATTTAAGATGCCCCTACCCTAATAACACGTTAATATATAAATACATATTTGACACAATTTTGAGATATAGAGGGAGAAAAAATGCCATGTGTGTGCATTTATCTCAAAAACGTCACATTTTGTCGTGTTAAAAAGCGGGGCAATGTGTTACAATACGTGCGCGACTATTTTGCAGCGTGTCAAGGGGATTGTCAATGTACGAGGGTTGTCCCAGAAGTAATGCACTATATGCTCTAACTTTCTTTAATATTCTTCAATTCAGCTGAAATTTTGTGTATATTACAATTGAAGTTTTATCTATTATATCCTGAAGTCTCAGCATCCAACATTAATATTAAGTCTTAATATGGTTGCTATAACAACATGGGGGTAGGGTTGGGCGGGGCAGGTACCAATTTTTCTAATTATGAAAAGATCTAAAGTGTTATTTTATTAATATTTCTTTCCTTTAAATGGTCAAAATGTTTGGGAAATTGTTAAATTTATTCAACATGATGTTAACCAAGTACAAATAATAACATTTAGCACTGTGATGTCATAATACCACATTTCGATAGTCACGAATTCAAATACAGTCACAGTCAAGAAATTGCAAAAATGGCTGCAATTCTCACCTGATAACAGAAGGCCTCGCGTTTGGTGGCCAAATTTCATACTTCACTTGGACTCTCAGCCACGCAAAACAATGCTACCATGAAGAAAGTACATAAGGAGTATATACCAGATAGAACTACAATTATGGGGTGGCAGAAGAGATTTAAAAGAGACGATTTGACCCTACATGACGACTCCAAACATGGGAGGCAAAAACTCCACAAGTCACAGTGGAAAAAATTGCCGAGAGTGTTTGACCTGACAGGCATCAAAAGTACATAACATGCAAAGGGCAATATTTTGAGAAAATGTGAAATGGGACACTGTGCAAAATACATCCATACAATCTAGGGTGTGCTCATAGTAATTTAGTATCTTAAAATGCATTTTTTGAACATACTTCTTATAGCTACACTGAATGGTATTTGTTGATTAATTATTTCATATTTTCAATTTTTATTCCTTTTGACGTGACTGTATAACCTGCCCCGCCCTACCCAAACTCACCAACTTGATTTTATTATAACATCAATATAGTTTTATCAGTCCACATGAAATTTTCTAGAATAATCAAAATGTCTCTAAGGAACATTTACTGAAAATTTCATGGAAAAATATCAATTATTGATAAAGTTAGAGCATATAGTGCATTACTTCTGGGACAACCCTCGTATTCACTATAAAAAATGTTATTTGATAATGAACAGTAAATAAGCAATTTGAATAGTGGTGAGAGTAGAATTTGTAACCATTTCAACTCTCAAATGACAATGTTTCAGGCTAATTATCAAGCACCTGATATTAAAGGGGTCTAAAATCACCACGCATTGTTCTTTTTATAAGTAGAAAAAGACTTATATGCAATGCCAACACGCCAATTAATGATGAGACCACGGTATTATACCACCCACAACTAGTTTTATCTAAAGTACAATCTAAATTAGAAAAATTGTTATTTATATCTTATTTGTAAGAGATGAGTGGTACAAGGCAAACTTAATTATAACTTAAAAACATGTATTTAAAGATAAGATTTACAATAAAAAGTGATCTGGCATCATATATACAATGGAGATGACGTTTATTGTCAACATTTAAGAAGTTCATCCAGATAATAAATATAAATTACAAAAACTTAAATTACCATTTTATTGCCATATGATGGGTTATATTAAAATCACTTGAAGCTATATAATTATTTGGGCAATTACGTGCTTTTTATGGAGTTGGGTACGCTAATTATCATGTACGGAACTTCTTTTTTATCTTCCTTTAAGTGAGTTTATTTTTAATGGCTTATTTACTTTTGACTCCAACAAAATGTTAGATTACAAATTTTCGATATATTTCTATATCTTCTTCAGGTGAATTGAATCAGTTATTTTCAATTATGACCACTATGGAAAATCCTATGATTAATACTTGTGATAACATCTTATATTGATGTTTAATTTGTTGTTTAATCCAATATCACAGGAAGTATCATTCAATATTATAACATCTGATCCGGACTCAAATATCATTAGAGAATGATACCCGATTAAACCAAAATATATTCCAGTTTAACCTGATATAATTTAAGTCAGGATCAGATTAAACAGTATTATACGCATATCATTTTCTATTATAACAGGTTTCAAAGTGGTATAATACAAATTATACATATAATTTTTTGTATAATACAAATTAAACTGGAATATACCGAGACCAAACAGATGATACTGTATTATACGGTTCAGAAATTAATGGCACTTTGTTTTCATAACGTCAGACCTTAATTATACAAGCTAACGAAAATATTTACATAAGGTAATTCTAGAAGTTTTTTGAAACTCATGTTTGACCATTTGTCTCAGACTGAAATCCGATATTGTTTTTTTGGCAATCGCACCCCCCCCCCACCCCACGACTGAAAGTTGGCTACGCCCCTGTACATGGCTAATAGGGGCACTATTACGCTACTTGCAGAGTCAAGTTATATACTACGAGAAGACGAAACTCTCTTTTAAGAAGTGAAGTCGAACGAATACAAAGGGTAGGGCACTATAGAAGGGGATCATACAAAAGCACGATCTATTTCACAACGCCTTTAATTTTTGCTCTTCAACTGTTGCCCTTTGTGCATTTAAAAAAATAAAATATCTTAATCTGATTTGTTCAACCTTTCTTTTCGCTCAGTTCTGCAATATTACGTCCACATGTTATTTAGGCTTACATGTATGTCATTTGCGAAATAGCTGTAAGACATGAGAATGAATATGGGAATTTCCACGTAATATGTTGTTCACATGATTATATACACATATCTGCATAACAATCGGAGACAGAAGTCAAAATATTGTCCAATAAAGAATCTAACATTAAGTGATAACAAAAGGATTAATTGCTATATAGTTCTATTTGTCTTAGTCTTTGTTTTCTTAACTGCGGAAGTTTACCAATATCACCTAGATTACATAAGTATTCTGACCAAAAGTTGTATACCTGTAATTTGGGGGGGGGGGGCGATGTTACATCACACAACTACAACGTTCATATAGAAATATACAATAAGCATGTCGTATAAAAGCTAAAATTATAAATACTCGGGTTTCAAAGTCATTCTGTTCATGGAAGCGTCAAGTTATGAAAAACAATGCTAAACACTAAAATAAACAAATCGACTTGATTACGTTTGAAAAACTTCTTGAGAGGTGATGGACAAATGTATTTTTTCTAACTCATTAGAATGTCTGTCTGATTGAAATACTATTTTTTAAATACAAACATAAATGAATAAATCTTGGTCAGAAGTCTGAACATTGTCCAACGAAATAATAAGAATCTACATTTAACATTTAATGATTACAAAAGGATTAATTGCTATATAGTCTTTGTCTTAGTCTTTGTTTTTCTAATGGTGGAAGTGTACCAACATCACCTTGATTACAGAAGATCTAACAGTCTAAAATTGCTTTTAATTCCCGGGTTTTAATTACATTGTATGAATAGAGTTTTTGCCTCTCTTTTCATTTTTAAACCGGTCTCTGTTTCCGTATTTAACAATTTATTGTGATAAATTATTTCAATTAGTGTCGAAATCAAAACAATTTTCTACATTATAGTCCCCTCCTCCTGCACTGACTAAATATAATTAAAATAAGCAAATGATTGCGAATTTACAAATCCTATAAAAGTAGCTTCAAACCGCCTTTTAATCAGAGAAAACAATAAGTTAATTCATCTGATTGCGAAAAACCGAATCAATCTAATTATCTGATCTCCATGCTATTTGATTCGTGCATTATCTACAAGCCAATCGGGCAAGAGAAGGGTGAAATTATTTCATTTGAAAACAGAAATAAATATTATAACCCCTCTAGCATAACTATTCGGGAGAAAGTCATACAAAAATAAGGTACACAACTGATGAGTGATTGCACGCAATGCACGCACCCCTCTCCTCCTCCTCCTCCGTGTTTGCCCACACACGACCATATTTGATAATTTTTCAAAGGAAAAAGCATTTCCCCGGGAATATAGGTGTAGCAGTTGCCAGAAGTCGCACAGCTTGGGAGTCAGGGTATCCTGATCTATGCCTCATCGCCTGATTGGTCTGACATTTAGAGGGGGCGCAAAAATGATTAGGGGGGAGGGGGTAAACGTGGAAGTTGCCAAAATATCCGTGGGCTATTCGCACCCCCTCCCCCCTGACTGAAAGCTGGCTACGCCCCTGATATCTGTTTTTGGTCATCAATAAAACTATATTTATATGGTGAGGATTTATGGGTTTTGATAACAATAGGCTTTATATATGTATAATTAATCCAAAGTCATGTTTTATCATGTTGGCTATATCGTTTCAAGTGAAGAATTAAGAACTGAAATCGGGGTTGACTTAGTTTGAGCAGAGACATATAAAATATATATGTTTTATATGTCTCTGGTTTGAGTCGGGGAACAAAATTTAATCAGACAGACGGATAAATTAATATTTGTTTTAATAAATGAGTATTATAGGTTATAGGCAGGCCCGTAGCCAGGGGAGGGGTTCGCAAAGTTCGGGCGAACCCCCCTGGCCAAAGATTCTTTCAAAATCATGCAGTTTTTCACCATTTTGAGCATTTCTCGTGTGATTTTAGCCATATTTGGACCAAAATTGTCCTAGACATTTTTGAAAACTGACCCCCCCCCCCTTGGCAAATCCTGGCTATGGGCCTGGGTTGTAGGCAGTATCATGGGAACCAAGGAAATGTGTATTATTTTCTGTTTACTTCGGAATTCAGTGAACCATCTGTAGATTGAAAAACAAGGATCAATAAATACAACTACTCAAAATCAAAAATTAGAAATCTATTTTTGACTGGACACATTTTTGTTCTCGAATGCCAACTTTGATTTCAATGATTTCAATCAAATAGGTAGGTGTGAATATTTTCGAAACAAATGCGTGATATATACACATATTTTGTACCAAATGTGTGACATAAACGGCAATCGCGTGCAAAGACCGAACGGAATGCGTTGGCTTTTTTTCGCCATTCGGTATTTTACCGTGTCGGCATTTCACAAAAAAAGATTTTTAAAAATTTCAACAAAATCTGTGATTTGCGTGACATTTTATCATACACGCTAAATTGACGCGTGATTTCTATTTTTCCAGCAAATGCGTAACAATCACGCCTAATGCGTGAGCGTTGACAGGGCAGTACTGAGGGCAGTTATTACATCAGAGACATATAAAACGTGACCTGATCGGGAGAGGATTCGGGTTGTACACAGTACACACATTGCTATCTCTTTATGCATGTTTAACCCTAGAAGCCCTAAGGTAAAAATAGTCACACGAACACCTAAGGGGGGGTCAAAAGGGCATCCCCCTTGTAAAATTTTTATTAGTAGAGCTAGGATGTTCAAACTTTTTCCACACATACTTCATTAAATTATCTACAACTTGCTATAAAAGTTTTAACAACTACGATGATGTGAGATTGCGTAATTTTATTCTTAAGACAACACGTGTGGTAGAATTAGCGCTAGCTTTTTTCTGATTTTGTTTATTGGAGCTGATGATTACATCATAATTAATAAATAACAAATTAGTAAAGCTAGGATGTTCAAACTTTTATCAAAATATACTTCATTCAATTATCTACAACTTGGTGTAATAACTTTAACAACTATGATGATGGAAGATTGTGTAATCTTATTCGAAAGATAACACATATGGTAGAAATAGTGCTAGCTTTTTCCGATTTTGTCTATTGCAGCTGATGATTACATCATAATAAATCAGTAACCCTATGTACAATTCTGCTGATTTTTTCAGAAAACATGTCTTATATCTGTAGCTTCAGCTACTGAAAATTTGAAGACCCTACCAGATGCCAATAAAAAGTTATGGGGAAAAAACTTAACAGGGGGGGTCATTTTGACCCCCCCTTAGGGCTTCTAGGGTTAATTGCCAAATTACTATAAAAACAAGCTGGAGTACATGTAACTTTAAGTATTTATTTAGTATTTTGTTATCACACCTCAAAAGGCGCATTTGAAGTTCAGAAAATGCAAGAAGACTTGGATAGACATTATAGATTTATATATTTATATGTTATGAATTTATTTTGTATTCAATTCGAATTCTGTTGAGTTGGACTCCTTGAACATCCCCCCCCCTTGGCTACGGGTATAAGTACCTTCGGCACAGGAGAGAATAACATTAGACTTCTGCAATGCAACTAATTAGAGAGACCTAAAATGAAAATAATGTAACAGTGTCTATTTCGGGTAACTGTTCCTGTAGAAAATATACAATTGTAGTCCATCACAGAGTTCATTTATTTCACGAAAGCGTCAAAGGACATTGCCTCTAAACACTAAGATAAACAAATTAACTTCCGCAGAAACATCCTGTAGAGGAAAAAACAAATGGCTTTTCATAACGGATTAGAATAGCCAGTCTGTCTGATTGTATACATGTAATATATTAGATACATTTTAAATTAAATGAATTTTGACGGATTATGTGATTCCTGGGAAATGAAAAATAGTTTATTTTTCCTGGCTGTTTAATGAAAGCACATTTAAAAATCTCCATTCATTAACATCTAACTGGCTTTGAAAACCAGGGATTGAAAACGAGAAATCAATGGTAATTAATATGATCTTAGAATTTGTACACATGTATGAGAGGTGCGAAAGGCAGGCTGACCGTGCGGTCGCCGTATGGTTGACATGCGGACAATGTAAGAATGCGAAGGGTAACTGTGTTCCCCTGGTCTGGCCGTATGATTGCTACAAATGGATATGCATGGATTTATTGCACTCGACAGAGTCATTTTTATGTCTTTTGAACGGTGGCTCTACCTCGATGCATCTGTTAATAAATGATACTATAAGCTTTATTGGATGTGAATTCACCCTTTCAAATTCAAATTCCAAATAAATAAAGCACACAATTTAAGTGTGACAAAAAAGAGCAAAACTGAAAACCCGTTCACCTATACATGTAGTGCCCGACATTACGTTAAACAATTTCCACATGTTGAAATATATTGCTATTTGATTGAGTTCAAGACAAAACATTTTGGAATTGTTTCACATAATGTAATATTCCTCGGATTTGATGCATACACATGTTTCACAATCAGAGACAAGGGTCTTATACGGGGTCTTACATTTAGAAAACCAATCTATAAGTAGTATTAGATTATCACAAAAGATAAATAACTTTTAAAACTGCGGTTAGGTAGCATCTAGATTACAGTAAAGACAGGTCATCTAGGAATTATTTCTGCCTCTAATTCCTTAAACCGCTTCGTTGAACAGTGCCAAAATATTTCAGTCAGATCCTAAAACAAAACTATTTTTATTTTTAATCCCCTGACCTTGTCAATGTCTATGCCTGCATCTGGTTTTGCCCACCATTGGGAGGGAGCCGATATACACATAGATTACAAGTACTTACTTGCCATGGACAGGGGGGCACAGAAACGAACAATCTGGGGTCATAAAAGATAATTGGGGAAGGGGGAGGGGAGGTGGTGAATAGTGAAGTCCGGGAGCGAAGCTAAGGGGTACTGAAATCTTTCTTTTGATATTTAGTGCTTGAATGGAGACTCGTTTCCACTCCCCGCACTCTAGTAAAATTTAAATATTTGATTCAAAGGAGTTATTTTGTATCAAACTTGCATTCCGATTAATTAACACTCCCACGATTGTACCGCTTCACTATTGTCTAAGATAATTATAATGAATTCACGGGACACTATAGTCTTCCTTTTAAACTTTAGTGGTTGGATCAGAGACATAAAAACAATTATAAACATTTGATTTAGGGAGGTATTTGCAATCCAACTCTGATGATACAAGACTAGTCAGCCAAGACTAAATCCCGGGGACTAAATTATGAACTTATTTATCATTTAGACTATTGAGTTCATTAAATTATTATTCCATAGATACCGCATTTAATCCTGTCAACACAATCGTGGTATTAATTGGCATGATATTTAATCAGAGAGACGGTTTAAAAAGTTGTTGATTAATGATTAAGTATTAAGTATTAATGATTAAGTATTAGGAAAAATCCTAATTCAAAGTTTTTGTTCTCTTGCAATAGCAAACCCCTCGCCGGGCAAGCATTCTTTAAAAACGTGAGGTTGAGCAGTTTTGCAAATTGTCCATTTTGAACCATCGCCTTGTATATTTTTATAACTGCCCTTAAATCACGATAACCGTGATTCCCGAAAGCTGAGATAACTATGGCACACAAATACTAGTAGCCGTTATGGAAAATAAAAACACCGAATTTTGAAATGGGTTAAAATGTCGCAGTCTTACGTTGTCTCCGTTAACAATGTAGCTTTAATATTAAGACATATTGATTTCAATTAATAAAGTGCCCACATTTTTCTTTCATGGAGCGTATTGAAGCAATCCAATATTATAATTAAACCGCTAATAATCTAAATGGGCGCCCGTGTTTTTGCAAGCACGTTATAAATGCTTAAACTAAAATATATCTTTCAACTGCTGCACTAATCACTTCTGGTGACTTATTAAAACACTCAATATGTCTATGTCAACAAGATAGTGTCAACACGTTGTGTCAACAACATGTAACCTAATGTAAACAAATTATACGCAAGAGCAGAGAAATGTATCATCCAGTATAATATGTTTTTCCCAGTTGAACCAGATGGAATATAACAGCTGATAACAGCTGATAACAAATTAAAACAAATTATACAAGTATCAGAGGAGAAACTCCAAAAAAGTCTGTATCATTCATTGTTATAATTATGTCTTATACATAAACCTATGATAACAGGTTAAAACGAATTAAAACAACTGATATGTATGTTTAATAGGTTTATGATACTGTATTAATCATGGGATTTTACATAGTGGACATCACAATACACAGGTAAAGGTAAAATCTAAATTATTTCTGCCATTCATAAAAAATTATACTGATAACAAAATTATCTAAATATTTTCTTTGTTGCCACATTGTTATTGCTTAATCAGGGATGATAAACACCCCAACCACTATTAAAGAAGGATTGTAAAAATACAATCTACCACATCGACCATTTAAAAACATTTTTCATATTTGAGACTCCCTTTTTATGCTTACGCCTGTGCATATTATTTGGTGTAGAAATCTCATCGAGTGGAAACTCCAATTTCACGTGCTAGTTTTTCGACGTATATTTTCTCGGAGTTTTTTGTATGATTATGATTGGGAAAAATGCATGTTATCTCAGTATTCAAGGTTTGTGGTACCAGGTTAACTGGAACACATCATCGCTAAAGCTTGTGTATAATTCTAGCCAAAATAACTGTTAAAATGTACTTACCAGCATACTTGCTGATATATCCAAGGCAAGTACCAACCACCTTGATGATTGTTCTTGTATAACTCTGAACGTTGGATTCACCGGAGGCTGATTACGTACTGGATTTGACCCTATTGTAAAAACACAGGTTTAGCCTATCGTTTCTTCGTACGTTAGATCCTAATTTGGGATATTTGGGGTTTGTCTGCATTATGATTCTTTGCCATCTTGTTTATATTGCATAAAATGTTTTCGACTCGTTCGTTATTTTCTTTTGATTCACTATTTCCGATTTGTTTATACAAATATTTTTGTGAAAAGATCTTCTCGTGTTCTAGACGTTTCGAGAAAGATTTCATTGATATTAATAACACCAGGGCTTTTTTGTCATCAGTAGAATCCATTGTCATATAACCGTTTTAGCATCCATGTTTATATGTAGGTAGATTTGTTTTTTCTTGTTCTTGTAAGGTAAAATGGTCTAAAAGACTTTCAAGGATTGTCAAATTGAAAATAAATAAATTTTCTATTATTCAAGGTTATAGCATTTTCAGATCAATAAGATAACATTTATTTATTACAATGTTGTCTTTCAAATGTCCTTGTTTTTAAGTTAGTGTAAACTAAACATACCATTTTTAAAATCGTTGTGCTCTCGAATGACGCTCCAAACACTTCTCCCATCGCACATAGTGTTCTGCAAATTAGGTGCCTCAGCGTTATGGACAATCGCAGAGTCGCTGTCCGCATCATCGCAAAAGGTGTTGATTGAATATATCCACGAGTAAAACATGAGCGACGCCTTTGCCGCCGTATTGGGATTTGGTTTAAAAGTACAGCCATCTTGGTATAAACCGGTGATTGGATCTAACTCACAAATGACGTCATTGTACGTCACATCCGATTTCACGATGGTACCTTTTATGGCGAGATTACAGCGCACATACTCCGTGGTTCCAGATGATGTTGTGTAGAATTGTGTACTGTTTTTGCCTACTGGGTACTCATCGAAAACTCCGTAGCGTAGATGAGCCCATTCGTGCGCCAAACACTTGCCTTGAAAATAACATCAATATGTGAAAAGTTAAATACAATACAAAAAACGAAATATTATAATAAATAATGACATTGCAAACGAAGATGCATATTCGAAGAGTTGTGGTCGATTAAAAATCAGGACACGTTTATTCCATGATTTCTCTATGAAGCTCGTTTTACTTTCCAACATACCTGTAGTGATTGATTGATTATAACAATCGATGACGCCATTTATCCGTCACGTTTACATTTGTGCATTTTCTTTAATCAAACTTGGTGATTATGCAACATGATCATATTTTAATTCCAAAATAAACCAGAAATTTGGGTAGAGAAAATGTGTAATTTTCTTTTTTTTGCTAATGAAAAAAAAAAGTTAACCAAGTAAATTATTAAAAAAGCTGCAAAACGCTAACCTACTTTTATCCTGTGTTTCCTAACTGATTGAAAGGAAATATTGAACGTCTTAAAGTAATAATTACGTGAAGACTACATTTTTGAAGAATGCTTTTACCATTTTTAATTGACGTCCAGTCATTTGTTACATTATTGTAATATTATTGTCGTTAATAAGTACATACCTATATGGCCCCAATTTTCTTGGGCGAATGTCTTGTCCAAAACATATTTTTCGCTCAAGAGCAGTTCGATTCCTTCTTCGCCACAAAATCCAGGTTGCTTCGTTAATGGTCCATGCTCTCGGATGTTACTAACATTCCTTCTTTTAATTAGGATGTTCCCCATAGAAAAATGCTCTGAAGACGCCTGTTCGTATGTCTTGTTTTTCCATGTACTTGGTACAAGTATTGTCACATCACCAATGAAACCCCTAAATTTTAGAGCAGTGAAAAGACTGGATGACATTTCGGTGATATATTCCTGAAAATGAAACATTATTAATATAATTAGTTCGAAATTGTGGTTGTTTGGAAACGATTGCTTTGATTGTTTCTGCAAAATCATTTGTAAGCCCGTTCAAAATAGTTTTTGACTCAGTGCAGAACGATTTTTAAAGGCGTATAAAATCGTTTTTGACGCCGTGTCAAAATCTTTTTTATAGGCGTACAAAATCATTTTTGACGCCATACAAAATTATTTTTAACGGCGTAATGAATCAATCTTGACGCACTTCAAAATGATTTTTAACGGCTGTGAAAAACGATTCTTTAACGGCGTTCAAAATCGTTTTTGACAACGTACAAAAAGGAATCTTAACGGCGTTTTTAATAAAATTAGTTAAAAGTTAAAGTTAAAAGTATAACGATTCATTGGTCCAGACGGTCAGCCATGAAAATGGAATAAGTACGATCAGAGGGGAGTGTATATACTAAATAATATCTATTAACTATGTTATGAAATGTACTTAATATCTGAAAATAATAATGCATGCGCAAAAGTAATCAGACAATATTATATTTAGTGGGAAATTACTTTTGCACAGAGAATATTGACTAATTGTTGCCATTTGTTGATTTTGAGGAATCAGTTGATCATGAAACAAGGCATATCACATAAACAAGGCTTATCGCAATATTAGACACGACTTATCACATGCAAAGCTTATCATATGGAATATGACTTATTACAAGAAAATAAAGCTCACAACATAAAACAAAGCATCAAATGACTTATCACATGAAACAAAGTTTATCACAAGGACCAAGGATTGTATCACGAAACAAAGCTTATCGCATGAATCAAGGCTTATCATATGAAACAAAGCTTATCACATGAAACAAGGGTTATAACATAAAACAAGGCTTATCACAAGCAACAAGGATTGTGGCATGAAACAAGGCTTATAAGATGAAACAAGGCTTATCACATGAAACAGAGCTTATCATATGGAACAAAGCTTATCACATGAAACAAAGTTTCTAACTTTAAACAAGGCTTATCAAAAGAAACAAGGATTGTTGCATGAAACAAGGCTTATAAGATGAAACAAGGCTTGTCACATTAATGAGGATTATCACATAAAACGAAGATTATCGCATGGAACAAAGTTTATCACACAAAATAAAGCTGATTACATCAAACGATCCTTATCACATAAAATAATGCTTATCACATGAAACAAAGCTTATCGCATGATAAAAATACTTATCATCGTATCTTACTTTCAAATTCTCTATCAAAATCTCGTTCTCTGCAACGTCTTCGTGTATTGCTACAAACAGTCCATTATACTTGTTATCCGTCATCGTTATCTTTGCCTTTGGACTGCCGTACGTACTAGTCACAAGTAAGAGCACCATAAATGTATATACCCCAATAAGCTTACTCTCCCACGTGTGATGCATCGTAACTTATACTTTCCGCTAAACGTCCACTTTTGGAGATTAACAACCATTCGATGGATTTTCGTAAATCTCAGCTCTTCATTTCATTATCCGAACGTACATGTATCTATGGGTAGTAGATGCATTCCTGAGTATAGCTGCTCGTTGAATGTTAATCTCTATCCAAGTTTTAATCCGGTGTGTTGGTAAACAATATTGCACCCGAGTTCCATTTCGTTTACTAAACTCAATTTTGAATATGTTGTCATTTTAATCGAGGTTTCATGTAAATGAAATGGAATGCTATGAATAACAGCCTAAATTTAATGACAACAAATCGGCATGTTTTCAATGGGAAAAAACGCTCAATAAAACATCAACATAAAATGTCTGTATACACGTTTTTTCTATATAAATTGTACTGAGTGGGTATCATTGTGGGTTGATTATATACTCCATATCAGATTTCTATCAGTTAAAGATCAGTGGTTAAAGTCTATGAAAATGTCATTTTGATATAAAAATGTCATTTTGATATATATTACGATTTTTGTGTGTGAACCGAATATGGTTATAGAATGCGCTCCCACGGGTTTTGTCTTGAAAGCCGATGGTTATTAAAGAGAGGGGTGGTTAATCCATTCAGATGTCCATTCCCATGGCTATCAAAGTCTAGCAAAGACCTAATAGTTCATGTATAGATTGTCTAAGAATTGGTTCGCGTTATAAAACATATAAGGCATTATATAGTATCTAATTTATAAGACATCACCTGGATAAATATATTTCAACTTTCAATTTCAACTTATTCAGTTCTGTTATTACTAATGCGTATGGGTAGGAACGATTTCAGAGTAATTTTATCCGTCAAAAATGTCACGATCTTACAACATAACAAGACATAAAACAATTCACAATCTATGTGTGCATGTGCATCAAATCCCGGGAATCCTACTATCATTTGTAAATGATGTCTTTCTACATCACTTTCTTCAAAACTTTTTGGCTTTTTATCATGCACATTTCTTTTATGTTTAACTTGTATTATTTGAACATTAAATGTGACGAAGAAAGGTCAATTACGACCCCCAGACAAGAAGGAAGAGAGAGTGTCCAGGGCCAGGAAATTGCACTGAACGGAGCGACATCTATAAATGCATCGGAAATATATCGTCAATAGCAGGGAAATTCAAATTCAAGGATAATGCGCAATATAACTTGCCTTACATGTGACATTGAATTGGGCAACACCGATGCTTGGCATTCTTCATACATTCCCCTCGGGGGGTTAGGTAACATTACCCCCCCCCCCCTTGAAGACAACATGTCGAAGACTATTTATTGAATTGACGAATTTGAAGAAATTTGGGAAATTGTTTCTTCCTTTAGCATACAGTATCATTTGTCAGAATATAGTTTCTTTAAATTATAGATAAATAGAGGATCTCCTATGATTAATGAGTGACTAGAATAGATATGATATCTGCACGACCTAAGTTAGCGAGAGGTTTCACTCCCACATATAAATGTCTACTACGATATCAGTGCATGAAATCAAACATATCGGTCAAGCCAAGTAACTTAGTCAACATTCGATATTCGTATGTCCATCAATATTAACTAAGAATGGTGCCACAATTGAAGAAAACCTCTGTTTAATTATTTTCAATAAACCTATCAGCAAACGTGTAAATGATAAATTTGATGTTCTGTTACATATTGGTGAAGCAGTCTTTGGGATATGGCCTAAATTTCTGAATTTCCACTATGTCCCTGTATACCCCTACTTAAAAACATGTATGTTATTTGTCATTTTTCATTATGAATCCATAAATGGACAATAACAATGCTAGTGAGCTGGTGGATGATGAAGATTTAGATGTGTCTAGGGAAGAGAGTACTCACTTGAAATAGAAGAAAAAATCGCCAATTTCTTTGAAGATAGGCCATATTTTTATGACCAAACAAATTCTCTTTACGAGAACAGTCAAAAGAAAGATGCAGAAATATGGAATTTTGCTAATAGCATCGGATGGACAGGTAGACATAGTATTTGTTTATATGAAAGATCTAAAAATGAATTAAGGTCAGGGTTCACTTTAATGAAAAGACCACGTGCAGTATGGCAAGTGATTTTAGACGGTCATATCTTTCACCATGAGTACTTTCTGGGCATAAATACAGTGTTTTTTTTAAAACAATATGTTTTCTTTCAATTGAAGTACCAATGATATAGTAAAAATATCAATAAAACAATTGGAAAAATTATGAATAGGGACCCCATGTCAGCATTTTTTTTCTAAATATTGAACCTATTTACTCAAAAGAGGATCTTTCTGATTTTTATTGCATGGAAACATTATTATCCTGGAAGTCCTGTCTATCGAAGTATTTCGTTTTCAAATCTTGCATTCACGCCATGTGGAACAGGCATACCGGGTCATACAAGAATTTTGTATAAATCTAGAGGCCTGTAGATCGATCGACCGATGTCCTGGCGGGTGCCGTACGGCCATCGGCAGATAGCCTTGCGATACCCGTGCGATGTCTTTCAGATTCAATTGATTGCGGGCGCCGTACGATGCCTGTACTCTCTGACAGTGTGTAGTTATTATAATTCCTTACCTCATTATTTCTAAAACCGTTATATCACTTTATAAGTAAACATTATTAAGATTTATCAACAAATCAGCACGCAAAATCCCAAGATGACCGTGTGATGCCACCGGGCGCCGTAAGATAATCGTACGATGACCGGACGGGACACGGCCGGGTAGGTACCGATGAGTTTGGTTGAGAAAAAATCGCCAAGACATCGGCAACTTTTGTCTCCGCGATAAAACTCTGCCGGCGCCCGTACGATGTCTTGAAATCGGCCGATGAGTGGCGATCATCGCCCGGCGCCCGTACGATGCCCGGGCTCGCCGGCCGATTTTGAACAAAATACTCATCGGCCGGGCGCCGTAGTGAAAATCGGAGCCTATGTGACCAAGGCATTACTTGGCTTGACTGATCATTGTTAAATTATAGGATTGGTCTTTTTTCCATGCTTATGATTAAAATCACTTTTCAAACGATTCAGCCTCGTTTTAAGTCAAGTAGCAAAACTCCGTAGATAATATCGAATAAGGCAGCATACATGTATGTCTTGGTTTAAAAACCGAATTCGATGGTTTAGTGAAAAGCCAAAATAATGCGGTTTCAAAAATACCGTTTTTATTTTCATATATATAATGCATATCCTAGTAACTATGCAACAAAAAACTGCAGTTTGCAGTTCGTTTTGGCCATGATTTTTTCAATCGAATGGACTTGTTTCTTGAAGATATCGTTTGACTTTGAAGTCTTGTACTTTTGCTTTGTTGCTATACATGTAGTAACCATGGTATTTTCAATCATTTTAATTAACACTGTGGTCATTTTGCGATATTAAAGCAAGGTATTATTAAAAACAAACATTTCATTATCAGTGATTATCACCTCAATTAGTAATGTTCTGTTGAATACAACCGGGTATCACACAACACATAACACAACGTGATTTATTATGTAGACGCTTGTTTTTCGAAGGCCCTGTCAGCTCCTTCATCAAATTCGCTTTAAGTAGTTGTTTAGAGTAGCTACTCGAGTGGATTTGGCTAACTCTAAACTTCTCAGCTTCCGGAGATAACGACTTGATACTAGCCTTGGAAACGGAATCCGTGTGCAGCTAACTTGTATATTTAATATATCTACCGCATGCAGTGGGGCTACTTGTTGCGTATATAAACAATTTGAGTTCTCTCTACAGCAAAGACCAGCATATAATCGAACACCGGAGAACTTCATACACTTTCGTACAAGGTCTCAAACGGAATGTAAATGACCAACTGTACTGTATTCGGCTCTAAATGATTGCTAGTTCCTGGAAGAGAACGGATATCACTTTCTGATCAACGTTGTACGACGATACTATATAGCTACGGTCCACAGACGTACGTAGTTTCACGTTGACGCAATTAAGGTTGACGTAGATTCATATCGACATACCTTGATGCAAGATGGTCTACGCGATTGTTGGACTCCTACTGGTTCCCATCCTAACGATCTTGATCTTGAGGTACAGCATAAAACGGACGACCTTTTGCAAGAGCACAAGACGACTGACCGGAAAGACAATACTTATAACAGGTAAAAATGACATGTTAAAACTAAAAATAGCAGGTAAAATCATTAAATTGGCATGTTAAAATCGTTGAAATGGCATGTTAAAATCATTAAAATGGCATATCGAAACAATCAAAATAAAATGTTAAATTCATATAAAGTATAATGTTGAAATCAAAAGGACCAATATAAAAAGCATCTATTTGGCATGTAAAAACCATTCAAGTTCTGTGTAGGGTAGTAAACATCCGAGTGCTATTAAGTACGTGACACAAAATGTACAAATATACATTTGAAAAGATACAAAAACGTGTGACCAATCTATTTAATTGACATCAATCCAGAAATGACTCAAATAATGGCAATGGCAGAATCCTCAATTTTAGAAACATTGCAGATTTAACTTTATTAGGGCATTTCGTAATAGATGTTCTGATTCATGTTAGTTCAACTAAAATTAGAAACTTGTAATAGTATTGGTCAATTCCTAGCTTGGACTTTGTGTCATTTATTTCCAGATCAAGCTGTGTAATCCTAACATTACTTTAACACTGCTTCGCCAACAGGATTCCAAAATGTAGACATTCTTCAATGTAAAACGTAAAAATTGAAGCCACCTACTATTATCATCGCATCATGCATTTGAAAAAAGATCATGTTCTAAATATTCAATGAAACAATGCAAGCGTTTATCATCTTTACCAGACAATGCAAAGTTTTCACTGTTTAACATTGTAACCTTATAGGCATACCTTCAGCCATGAACACGTTTATACCTATTGTGCATATCTGAGAGGCAATTTTTTCATATTGAAATGAAAAAGTTGAAACTTTAAAACAAACCAAATTAAAAAGATTTAGAAATTATTTATCTTTGGTAGCAAACTACACCGAGATGATATATCTTAAAGGAGTTTCCTTTTCAGAGATAAGTCAATTTAGGTTGGCTTAGCAACAATTTATCAGTGAAATTGCACAGTGGTGAAGATTTGTGTACAAGTCTCTAATCTGAAAATCTCCGAATGCGAGCGCCTTTCCGGTTGTATTTTTAAAACCTTTCATTTTAAAAACATCGAACACTTGCCAATTCGAACAATTTGGATGTGTGGGGGGTCCCGGTGGCGTTCGAAGTAGGCAGGCTTTACTCACTTCGCCGGTTGCCATTTTTGTAAATAAAACAATACTAATGACGTAGGTGACATGATTAATTTGATTGGTCAATCCATTTATATATCAGATAAAATTCGCTTTATCAATTCTCCAATGTTCTTTATGGAAAATGCATGGGTTGGTTGGGGTGTGCGAGAAAGAGAAAATTTGTATTTTAGGTCAGCAGCTGAGCAAATTTTAAAAAATAAGTTTGTCCCCTAAGTTTCTCACTGGATTCATATAGAGCAAGGTCTTGGGCTTATTTTGAGCTTGGATTCGCTCTACTAGCCCCGGCAACGAATGTGAAAACTGGTCATATAGGTGGCGCCCCCTACAATTCACCCCCAAACTTAAAACTAATTATTATTTTCATAATTGAAACATAAAGACATCTCAAATAGCTTAAATTGATCAATGGTACATAAATTATGCATTACAATTTTTTTCAATGTGTGAAAATCATAATTTATTGAGAAATAGTTGATAGACCCCTTAAAATGCCCCCTATTTTAAAGGGGGTACTTAAGTTATCTTCCATAACTTTTGTGTTATTCAGGATTTGGGCTTAAAAATATTCCTGAATATGTACATGTATTATGGTGTCGAGAGACTGCAGTAACCCTATGTTCATAGCTTTATAACTTTTTGAGAAAAAAAATAAAACGTATTTCCATATAATTTGGTTTCGTATTATTTTCAGATAAACCATCATCTATACTTTTTAATTTACTTTCCACACCTTATACCCATGCATAGTATTAATACTTTTCTTTCATTTTAGACCAATATAGATGACTGGAGTTCATAATAGTTCATACTAATAAATAATAAAATAAAATTTAAGCAGAAATAATTGATTTACCCCTTAAAATTGCCCCTATTTTAAAGAGTGTGTGTTTTTATTTTTGAAATTCACATGCATTGAAAGCTTATGATGTTTGGCAATGAATGTTTTCTAACAGTGTCAAGATATAGGGACAGAACATATTTATGCAGAGTAAGAGCATTCAATATACAGTTCGCAAGTGTAACACAGACCTTGAGTTTATTGATCTTCTCCCTATATCATGACATGTATAATGTTTTCATATGCTGGTATTCATAATGATGAGTTTAATATTAATAGCAAATGTAAACCATCCAACATTTCTGAATAAAAGCAAAATTATAATCGATTTTACATCATGAGACAACCCCAAACCTGATATATCTCCTAGCGATCATTATTAAGGCCAAGATCCACAATCCAATAACTGAGTTTTAAATACTCTAGCATGCATTCCAAGAGGATGAACCAATGTATGGGCTTATATAATTAAACATTAAATCTCTCCTTGCAGGTTTCTTACTAACATGTAAAGTAATTAAAATAATTACTACTTAACATGTATTGTTTTTTGGATTGTGCTGTTACAATGACTGAATTGTGCTGGCACAATCACGTCAACAAAATCAAGAGGTACATTTATTTCTCTTTGTTTGCTTCATCAAGTGATCTGAAAGATGAGAAGTAATAATGTACATACAAGGTATTTCATATCTTTGCACCCCCCCCCCCATAAACTCATACATCTAGCATTGATACCCTGTCATTTTATGTATCATATCGAAAGTTACATAGGATTGCAAAGTTTCAGAATCCAGGTGTATCGCTGAAAAAAGATACATTGTATCAAAGATTGCGGGTACGGGGTCATTTAGAGGGCATTTCTTGTGATTTTTGGACACAGGCCGGTGACTTTATATAGAAGTTTATATTAAAGTTGAAACTTTAAAACAAACCAAATTAAAAAGAATTAGAAATTATCTATCTCTGGTAGCAAACTACACCCAGATAATATATCCTTGGGGAGTTTCCTTTTCAGAGATAAGTCAATTTAGATTGGATTAATTAGCAGCAATTTATCAGTGGAACTGCACATTGGTGAAGATTTGTTGTCAAGTCTGTTATCTGAAAATCTCCGAATGCGAGCGCCTTTTCGGTTGTATTTCTAAAACCTTTAATTTTAAAAACATCGAACACTTGCCAATTCGAACAATTTGGATGTGTGGGGGGGGGGTCCCGGTGGCGTTCAAAGTAGGCAGGCTTTACTCACTTCGCCTGTTGCCATGTTTGTAAATAAAACAATACTAATGACGTAGGTGACATGATTAATTTGATTGGTCAATCCATTTATATATCAGATAAAATTCGCTTTATCAATTCTCGAATGTTCTTTATGGAAAATGCATGGGTTGGTTGGGGTGTGCGAGAAAAAGAACCATTTGCATTTGGCACATATAGCCAATAAAATGAAAATGATAGAACCAAAGTTTAGATAAAGTCTGTGAATGTTTAGATAAATCGAGGGCTTTATCAACAGGCGATATGAACTGAAACTAATTGCAGACGTATTTAAAGCAAGAGTTACTTAAAATAGCTAACATTAGACAGGATAACCTGCTCTTTGTTTACATATAAAGTTTAGATAATAACTTTTGCGCATTTCTGAATAAACATAAGTCATGAAAAAGGCAACAATGTAATTTTCGCTAAATGAAGTTGCATCGATGTCTGAGGTGTATGATTAATTGAATGAAGGTAAACGAGAAAGCTTCAATTCATTAACCATGGCGGTAGCATTTTGGAAATAAAGATACGCTTGTCATTGAAACACCAGCGTGTCTGGTGGGATGATAACATTACGCAATAAATCGCGTCTTCTTAAGAGGAATTCACTGGCATCCGGACGTTTGTGTGAAAGATATGACCTTCAAAGTATCCAAAAATGCTTTGTGCTATAAAACTAGAACTTAAATGTCTGAGAAATACTATATTAACACAAGGCTTGTAAAGAAATACATATTCGTTTGACAATAAAAGTATACGTACGTTGTGCATATATAATATGATCTTTGAGGATAAACACTGCACGTGATGAAGCATGACATAAAACCACGTATAATACGTGCCCGTAGGCAGGTTTTGTCAGGGGAGGGGGGGGGGACTTTTGCCAGAGGGGGGGGGGGCTTATGCCTTAGTCAATTTTTTCTGTCGTGTGAAGGAAAAAAGTGGACTGTATTTTACGTTTTCCGCCTGATTCATTCTCATTCTCATAATGTCATTTTAGGGGAATCCGCAAATGAATGCTATTCAGTTCGCAGTTCTTCACATTAAGCCGACATCATCATTTTTGCGGTCAATGGGAAAGCCTGTTGACCACTCTTTGATCAAATAAATGAGGTCAAATAGTTTTAGAGGAAAATATGCTCAATTCAAATCCATATTTTACGTCTATGTGCAAGAAAAAACGGCTGAGCCATGGACATAAACCATGGCTCTGAGTCAGTATTTATGCTTGATAAACAAAAAAAACACAAAATATTTAAAAAGTCTGTGATTGGACCCCTTTTCCCGTGCTCTGGCTCAATTATTATGGCTTTTCCGCGGGGTCAACCCAGTTCTCCGAAACCCAGTTCTCCGAAACCCAGTTTTCCGAAACCCAGTTGTCCGAAACCCAGTTCTCCGAAAGTTAGGGGATCTTATTTGAAAAATACAATTTTTTTAAACGAATCTCGTTGTCGCAACCTCTGCGAATCACAACATAACATTGCAATAACGTTGACATCATTGCAAAATTAGGCTAAATATGCTAAGTCAAGACGTTAATTGTTTAATGTTTAGCCTACGAATGTTCATAAACAGGTGATATAGATGTTCAAACAAACAAAGTTAAATTATGTTATTCTCATTGTAAAATGGCGTTTACACAACATACATAGATAGGGGTCTACAATTTTTAAACCAATTTTCGGTATGGCCCATGGGCCTTTTTTGAGAGGGAACAACAATTTTCCAATGGGTGATGAGCGTTCATAAAAGGAAAAATAGCTTTCCCAAGCCAGTGGGCATTTATTTAGTAAAGTTGACATGTACATCTTTTGAAACCAAAACTTATTCTTCATTTACGTACTCTGTTCGAGAAATAGAGATTAAATTAAAAGGATGAAGTGAGTACATGGCGAAAATGAAACTTCTTGCGAATGGGAGAACATCCATTTTGATACGAGGACAGCCTGCCCTCGTTTCTAGTTGATCCCAAGTGATTAAGTTAAGAATGTTTTGTTCTTTTACGATTTGATAAAATACAGAGACTAAGAAATTAAATGCGACGAAATATTTTGACAACGTAAGGGTAATATGTATACTGTTTTATTCTTAAAGTACTATATGCGTAAACTTATTTTATCTGTTTCAAAATGATTCATTTTATTTTGCCTATATAAAAGAAATTGAAGAAGATAAGATAAACTGTTCCGTAATATATATTGTGTTTTGATAACCTTTTTTTAGAATCACAATGTAAAATAAATCCCCCGTTCCTGCCATTCTCGTAACGCGTGCAATGGATGCATTTCAAAGTGAGAGAGAGAGAGAGATCTATGAACATCAGAATGCGTCCATGCCATTAATTTGGCCAAATACATGGCATGAAACTGGCCTAAGCTTAGTCAGTTTTAGTACGTCTCCCCTTTCTCTGGTAAATTATGACTATATTTTTCGGAGTAATGGGTTTCGGAGAACTGGGTTTCGGACAACTGGGTTTCGGACAACTGGGGTGCACCCCTTTTCCGCCCTTGTTATTTTACTTTCAATAATTTCACTTGAGTACTGTCCGTTTTTTATTTTAGGTGGTAACTGTGGTATTGGACGTGAGGTGGCGCTGGATTTAGCTAAAAGAGGGGGTAGAGTCATTATAGCGTGCAGAAACAAGGAACGGGGACGAGCAGCAGTCGAACAAATTAAACTAGCTACTAATAACCAAGATGTTTTCTTTCGTATTCTCGATCTCGCGTCATTATCGTCGATACGAGACTTTGCAAGAGATTTCAATCAAGAAGAAGCGAGATTAGATATACTCATTAATAATGCAGGTAAGATGTTTTATGTGTGATTTGAAATAAAAATTATCGATTATCACGAGGATAATATAAGACTAGTCTTATATTAAAGACACTATGTACAAAAGTTGTTGACTTGGTATCTTAATATATTCGTAACTTTTGCAGACTACAAAGTCAAATGATGAATATGGTTCAAAAAGAGAAGATTAGGATCTGTTTCTGTTTTTCAGCCTATCTAGGTCCCAAAGATGTCACTGCGGATAATTTTGAGAGAACGATGGGAGTGAACTACATTGGCCATTTCCTTTTGTTCAATCTTCTACTAGACAAACTAAAACACAGCGCTCCCTGTCGGGTCGTCAACGTACTCTCTGATTCTTACGGTATTGGACACATTGATACCGACGACCTCAACGGAAGTTTTGTGAAATATGACTCATATTCCATGTACGGTACAAGTAAACTTGCGATTCTACTTTTTACGATGGAGGCCGATAAATCATTCAAGGATGAAGGGATAACATCGTATGCGGTACATCCAGGTACTTATATGGTTTCGTTTAAGTGCGCATGCGTGCAACAATTAGAAAGATATTTGGGCAGAAATGGCATAAAGTGAGCTCGACGAGCGAAACAGTTAATATTCTCCAGCCATTGATAAACAAATTCATCTTTAACAGATGTTATTTGATGCTAAAACGTTCACCTAAAATCAGTTTTTGAAAAAATAGAATCTTAGAGTAAAATCTCCAAAATATTCAAGATTTTAGCATCTCTTTTGTAACGTCAGTGTCATATTGTAGTTCTGTATTGTCTTAATCACCAAAAAAGTGTACCATTGTATTTTTAGGAGCTACAAACACATCCCTGTTGCGCAACTGGCCCGGTGTATTTGGAACAGTTTTGAGACTGGTAGCCATGATTTTATTTCGTTCTCCTGTAGAAGGTGCCCAGTCAATAATAAACACAGCTGTGATTGGTGGGATTGAAGAATTTAGCGGGAAACTGTTTTACGATTGCAAGGTCATTGAACTGGACCATAAATGCAGCAAGCAACTTTACAAGGCAAGCATGTTGTGGAAAGCAACAGAAGCATTGTGTGAAACAAATAAGCCCATAACACAGGATGAAGAAAAAAAGGAAATATGAGTGTTATTCTTGCAATTTTGAACCCAAGCTATATTCTTACTTTCAACATTTTGCTTTTCACTGTATTTATGATAGATAGCTTATCTTTACCATGACGACGTATTTTTTTGTCATGAGGTCATTCATCTTTGCTATACATACCAATCGAAATGAAATTCTTAATTCACTACATACACTCTATCCCAAAATGATAAGATATCTTGAGAATCTTTGTCTTATTCGCGAGTTTGAATATAATAGAGCGTGTATTGCGTTGATATATGCGCCACAATTACAAAGATGGCACACATGTTGATGATCACTATTCGATGAGTTTTAGACGTAAATTGGTTGGATCTTTGGATAGAAAATGACTTATTGCAAAAAAAGAAATTCTGGCAGTTGTTTCTGGCAAGTCTGTGTAAAGGATAAAGATTATAATATATTAGTCGTATTATGATATCGGAGCACAATAAAGCTACCTTAAAATATAATACAATCAATTGATATCGAAGAAATATGCTCAATGGAGTAATTCTGTGCATGTATTTTGTACAAGTAATCAAAAGACGTGCATGTTATTTTTTATAATATTACACAGCACTTCTATTTAATCCAAAGTGTATCTACATATTACTTCAGAACATATAATGCCATAGTAGTAGTATTTAAACATATAGTTCAGCTCTTTGAATTAATTAAAAAGAATTATATTCGACATGTTTCATTTTGTTAATTTGGGACACAATGTATATTTATATACAATTCATTAATACGTGATCTAAGTTGCCCATACTCCATGGGGGCCATTTGTGATTCATTCGATATCCAAAAGAAGCAGTTGCGAAATATCTTTTCTTAATCTTCCTCGCCTTGCATACTTTTTCTTTGGGATGATATTGTTTTTGATTGTCATGACATCAACCAAAATAACTGCACCAATTATTGAAAGGAAAATAGCAATTCCAAATCCGCCGATTGTTAACGAGGCCACATCAGTTGCAAAGTACATTCCATTCACATACTGATATTGAGATATATCTGGATGAGTTTTGACATTTCCCGGGGTAAATGTTTTAGATTGAGTTTCGTTTAGTGTAAATAAAGATGTCGTTTCGGAAGCTTGTGGAGTATTTGCGTCTGTGTTAGTTAATCCTTTGTTGGTCGTAAGAGTGAAATTGAATGCTGCAAAATGTCCAGTTGAAGGTTCATTGGCGTGAAATGTGGTATCATTTTGAGTAGTATTAGGTTCAACTGCCATTATCGCAGTTGTATGTTCAACTGTATTTTGCTCAGATATCGTAAGTTCTGCTGTTGCAGGATCAGTTGTAGTGGGTGCACTTGTAATGGGTGTAGTGGTAGAAGCTTCAATTGTAATTGGCGCAGTTGTTGTGAGTTCAGTTGTTGCTGGTTTGGTTGTAGGGCGTTCAGTTGTAGTGAGTTCGATTGTAGTGGGTTTGGCTGTTGTGTGTTCAGATGTAGTTGGTTTGGCTGTAGTGAGTTCGATTGTAATGAGTTCGGCTGTAGTTTGCTTGTTTGTTGTGGGTTCAGTTGTTATGGATTTGGTTGTTATGGGTTCGATTGTAGTGGGTTTAGTAGTCGTTGGTTCAGTTTTTGTCGTTTCGGTTGTAGTTGGTTGCGTATCTGCTTGAGTCGTTGCTGAAAATCATTTTAAAACTATCAATCAAGTTTATTTGTTTACAGGTTGTCTAATTAACCATGCACATCATGGGACTTACCTTGCCCAACTAAGGAACTCAAAGATTTATATTGGTAAAATGAATACAAAAATTATAATATGTCGCTATTGTACTCTCCAATCTCTGATTGCATGTCCTGCACACATAGTACGCCCAGAGACAAAAATGAATAGGCAAGGTAAATCAAGTCTTAGTGAGGACGTAAACAACTCATTTGGACCTCATTTCCATTGTTCCACTTAAAACATCTAAAATTCTAAAGAATAATTTTCTGTAAAATGTTGGCGTGGCAGTTATCTCGCATCAATAGAATGCAATGCATGTACATGGTGAACCTAAAAGGTGACCAGAACGCAAGTGAATAACTTTATCATTCAGCATGGGATGAGTTGGAACCGTATTCACGTTTTTTCATTCTATCAAGTTAATTTAGTCAATTGGCCCAAAAGATAAGAATCTGGTAGGATTTATGCCCGATGAGTGTTTTGTAAATTGCCATAACATTAAAGAAGTAAACTTGTGCAAACTATAGTTTTAAACCTATGCTAAATAACTGAGTTATTAATCTACAATTGTTAGGGTTACCTTTTTGGCTCACCCTGTGCACTATTACCTTTCCAAGAACATCCAGCATGTACGAGCATTTCCTCACACACACTTAGGGATGATTTGTACTGACAAGGTTGAGTGCCAAAAGCAACTGGTACTCTACCGGTAGACAAACACATCGCATCAGAACCTGTGCAAGAATGTAAATAGACGAGGAGTGACCATTGAAGTTTAAGAGGAAATAACAACTAAATAACAGCCATGTTACCTTAGCAACAGGTAAATTGGTTATATTATTGTGAATTGTTTTAGATTATTTTTACTTTTTACACTAGCCTTACTAATAAGAAAAAATAAAATAGTCAGTTTTGTTCGTATATGTTTTATTCAGTTGGTTCTCAGACTGACAAAATAACGCCTGACCAACATGTTGAAAGACCTATTGTCATGGTAACATAGAATTTGTTCAAAAGGTATGACCATAGATCAATATATGATTGTCCATTCTAACAATCCATTATCATTTTGCGTGATTGTCTCCTGCAAGCCTTTTTGTAGTTTAGAGTTATCTCTTCTCATGTATGTATATATCTTTTATTCCCAATTTCAAATCGGATTTCATATAAACTAGTTACATTGTTAGATTAATAGAATAAACATAAACATAAAACATGAACATACAAACAAACAGCTCATCAGCAAACCAGAGAAGGTCTGATAAATCTTAATGCTTTTTGTTATCTCGTATTCTTAACGTTGGAGTGTCTTTACAGGTGATCTAATTTTTACCTGATACCCATGCTGTGTCTAATCCCCCGACATGGATGTACCAAAATCCACCTGGCCCTTGACAAGTGGGAGACCATGATGGCGGAGGAACAATATCTAAAATGTCAATATGAATTTGATATACACAGAGTGTCCAGAACGTCGTTTCTTAAATTCTGTGTAAAATGTAACTAGATTTTAATGGATACCCTGAATACATGTATGTACCCTGCGCACAGAGTCCAGTTAAACTACTTAAGACGGGGCTTTCTTTTAAGAAGTGAAGTCGAACGAATGCACAGGGTATTAGATATGGGGAGTGCACTAGACGAATACATATGTTGGGATTAATTGTTTATCGAATAAGATGTACGAGGGTTAAGATGAGATAATATAATTTATAGTATATGTTATACATATACATATACTATAAGTTATTGAATGATTTGAAGTGCAATACAGGTTATATTCTGCTCGAGAAAGTCTGTATTGGAACGAGACAAAGCCGAATGACACTACAGAATATTGAGAGATATGTAATTATTTGTCTGTTATGATTCTTATATGAAGGAAATGGTTCGCCAATGTAACAGACATTTCATTTCCTAATAAAAGTTACTATAGTCAAACACTTGTCAAAATATACCAGGTGGTCATTAACATAAACATTAACATTAACATTCGCATTTAATGACGTTTCTGTTCGTGACCCTCGATTTTTCAATTGTTCCAGGTATTGTGACGTTATCATAGTAGATTATGGGTAAAAATATCTTACCATACACTGGACAAGCAGCCGCGCTAGGACTCGACTGTATAGCAAGGCAGTTATAGCTCGTGGAGTATTCTCCTGAGCCACAAGTAATAGCAGAAAGACCCCTAAAAATTGTCAGTCCTGCAATATAAGATGGAAATGCAATTTCATAAAATGATGATTTTTTAAACAATTGCTCTCGTGACGTCGTTTGGGATTGTCCCTATATGCAATGGACGTAAAGATGATTGTATCATAATTTTGTCTGCCATGGTATAATTGATTTGTTTTCGTTTCGACACCGATAAGTTCCAATATTATTTGTTTTAAATGCCATAATAAAGTAGAATCGCGTTTATTTGAATAAGGATTCACACCCAACTTCAAGCCATTGTGCTATCCATCTGATTATTCAAAACAACTCTTCCTCGCTAACAGCTGAAGACCGATCGAAGGGCTGCTTAAATGGAATATAATGCCTTAGCAAACAAATGTCCAAATGATACACACACATTTATTGTTAATTACCAGTAATGGGATTCAAATAATGACATTAGCCATTATTTAAAATGGATCATAGTGTGAAGTATTGTAGAAAGCAAAGTGAAGCATATACTAGAAACAAAACGAACTTTCTAAACACAAAATGGCCCGCTTACGTCATGTTATATTCAAGTCATTACAACTAATATCATGTATTTTCTCAATTTTGTGTTGTCACCTTCCAAATTAATGTTGTGAATAATATTTTTATATATTATGTAGTGTTTTGTGGGACGACCGTATTTTGGAGGCCTTGTAAATGAATGGGGCATATCTACCGCCCCTGTGAAGGTTAAAGTGATGATAAGAGTTAAATATACAGAGTCCTCTATCTTTTAAAGTGGTTATAGGCAACACATTTGGACATTAACCTGTTTTGCAATTATTGAGACTGGAGATGTAAACGTTTATTTGCCGTTCGAATTAAAAAATGCAAGACGATTTTTTTAAATTATGAAAGTTATCATACTGCAACTAGATGAGGATTTCTTCATAGTCTTTGGTCATATATTCGGAAAGGATGGTTTATGCCAAGGTCTATTGATTGATAATAATTATGAATTAGATAAAGAGATATTAGCTTGGACAATCAAGGGGCAAAGTTACAGCTAATGCCCCTTTAAGACAAATCTGAGTCAAATCTAAGAGAACTAAATGTATATCGTAAAAGTCAATCGTCTCGTCATATATAAGTAATGTGTGACTGTTAAAAACATATTCTGAGCCTAAGGTTCTTTACCTTGATTCTGTCATCGTGACATTTTCCTAACCGCGTGAAATTACCGTTCGAAAATATCTCCCGGAAGCCTGAATATATACACGGGAAATTCATCGTACAAAAGTTTATCAACCGATCGAACTAACATTAAAATCCAGAAGCGAATATTTTTTGAACCGAAGAGGTTCAGGGAGTTTGCCTCTGTTCCTGTAACTAATACCCTGACAATCTATCCTCACGTGGTACCAACTAAGACAACAAAAATGCCTTGGAACAAGTTTGAAGAAAAAACGTTGCAGTATGAGACTCACAATCCTTGATTTTCTAAAATTCAAATTAACGGTCGTAGTTGGCGTCCCGTTATCCTTATTCTGATAGAATGTCAATGACATGATGGTTGAGTCAAACTTTGCGTTACTTAAATGTTAAATTATCATCGTTTACTTTTGTTTCTGGAGGGGCGATACCCTTTAAAACAGAAATACACCACAACTATGTCTTTATGCCATTTTCCAAAATTAAACATGCTGTAAAACCTTTCCTCGAGAGCGAGGAAATGGTGGTGCGCAACTAAAGATTTGACGTTCGCGATGTGAGAATCGTGGTTCAAGTGCAAGAACCGTACTAGTTCGCGGGGTCAGAACTGATGTTCGTGTTTCTGGAGGCGATTTAGGAACGCAAATATGCGAACCTAAGCGCAACTTTGCGCATGCTTTCGTAGCCGTCCGAAGCTTCCCGAAAGATACTTCTGCACGAAACTCCAACCCCAAACGTTGTACAGCGTACATATAGAGAGAGATTTTTACTCAAGTCCAATTCGGCAATACACGCACGTAGGGGGATTTTCGTTCCCATGTGAGAAGGCACTTTAACTGGATAATCTTCTACTCAATGTGACAATCAAAAATAGTGCGTAGTGTTTAAGAACAGTTTGCTCAATGATCATCTTGTTGAACAGTCTCCCTAGAGACTTCATTTTTTTAATACCGAACCTATAATTCCATTTTCATAGTTACAAAACCAAGAGAGAAAACAAAAATGGTACATAATGATGCGAGTTAATCGTAATACCTTTATCAGACCACAATTTTACTTTAATTGTGTGACTTTCGAATTCGAGAAAAAAGACACCATAAATAAAAATTTGAAAACAATTCCAATTTTTTCAAGGCAGTTATAAGAGGATAGGTTTTTTTATCAAGACTTATCTAAATCAAAGCAGCATGTTGGAGACAGTTTGACAAACAGACAAACGAACAAACAAATTAACAGATCGTATTTCACATTATTTCAAAATTTCAAAATGTATAATATAACGTTTAAAAACATAAAGGCGACGGTAGAAATCCCCTTTTGGGCGATTACGCTGTGATGATGTCGGACATTTCATATATGATATTTTAAAATAAATAGTTTTTATGATTAAAAAAAGTATGGATTTAAAAACATGACATAATTGAAATTGGAAATGATAAACTGTCATCGTTGTTCTTTACCTGCTTTTAATTAGGTTTTTAGAATATTAAACTTATTAATATATTAATATTGATTAATATTAATACTTAAAATGAAATATTTTGTCTTTGCATAAACTTTTAACCATTATGAAGTAATACATTTCAACATCTTCAAATAGGAATGTTTAAAATAAAAATACTTACCAACTAAAATAAGATAATCCACTTCAGCGATGAACATGTTAACAGACATTTCGCTGACTATGCGTATAGTCGGTTACATGTTTTGTTTATAGCAATAATTGTATAATAGACAGCATCTCTGATTGCTGTATTGATCAGGATTCTACTTTGGGTCCCCGGGGCTGCTATTTAGACACACCTGATCATGGAATACAAAGTCGCTCATATGGTTAGAATGTTTTCAAATTCACTATCGATTTCCTAGAGTTCAATGTGCTCTCAATGTGTTTTTTTCTCAGTGTGGCCAAATGAACTAAACGCGTCTCTTATTAACAATATTTTTTTAAGGAATTAATTCGTTAGAATTTAATATATTTTTTGAGGAATATCCTTGTAAAAGAGCTAATTCTGGAGACTTATTCAAGTTTACTGGAAAAATGTCTTGCTTTGCATTTAAGATGGGAAAGACTTGGCAAGACTGCGTGTTTATCAAGTGGCTCACGCATTTGGTTTGGTGGTTTCGGGGCTATGGAGTTGTGTAAGTGGGTTTTGTAAAAACGCAGCGTCAAAGACTGACCATCGTAACCCCGGAATCGCGATGTTTATACTTACAACACTCAAGTCGATGGTCAGTCTAACAAACGCTTCCGCCACCTTGTTAACCAACCGCACACACCTTGTTTGTTATTATATAGGGCTGAGAGGTAAGGGATTGCGACCAGTTCGAAAGTGTAGACTTTGAAGAAAGTCAACTATATTGAAAATTGTGCCGTGATTTCTTGTTGTTGAAACAAGTGAACACAATTGTGCCGTTGGCATGTTATAAAACCTCTGCATTATCGCAAACCCAGTTTAAGTAATTTTACAAAGTGGAATTAAAGAATAAAAAATCGAAGGAGGGGCCATTTGCCGAAATTCTCCAATTTGCGTTCAAACAAATGTTGTGCAAAATCAATATCGTTACACTATTCAGCTCAATATGATGGGAAAAGTGGTAAATGTTTTCAATATTGTTACATAAGCACCCTTGGTACATGCAGCTACCGATAGCCTAATGGACCGGTCGGGTGCAACAGTAAACAATTGTAGACCTCTATACACTTTTGCCCCCCCCACTTTTGCCAGTTGACCAAATATGGAGGTTGACAATTGTTTTGTTGGTCCGAAAAATACAATTATTGGAAGGATATATTATCGAATATCACGTGAACATATTTGATAAGTGTAGGCATCATATTTCAGCAAAAAAACGAAACCGTCGAAAAGGACGATTCTCGGTTTGGAGAACAGTCTCCTGGGCTAATAATTGTTTTCATGAAAAATATAGAAATATTACCCAAATTAAACTATGAATATTTAAAAGAGGACATTTAAATCTACAAGATGTAAAAATAACAAATTGGTCTGAAGCAGGGATAACGCTCAATTAGACTGATTCAATAAAATACAAGTCTCGATTTGGGGAAAGAAGTTCATCAGTGTACTGCGCTAATATTTTTTTTGCGAAAAATCTAGAAATATTACCCAAATTAAATTATGACTATTCAAAAGAAGACATTCAAAGCTATAGTATGTAAAAAAATCAAATTTGTCCGAAGCAGGGATAATGCTCATTTAGATTGATGAACTTCGTTCTCCAAACCGAGAATAGTCCTTTGTAATTTTTTCAATTTTTTTCAAAATTAAAAAAAATTCAACATTTAAAAATCATTTTTTCGTAGTTATAAATATTTGGGATTTATAAACACATAAAAGTGAGTCACGAAATCTCTGTAATATATTTGATCTACTCCTGATCACCCGGTAAGTAAATCATCATTTTTAATATTTGATTTGATGTAATGTTCTCAAAGACGTCCCAAGGATTTTTCCAAGGTATAGTCTCCATTATCACAACTTGCTCTTGAAGCCTAGCTTATCCACATCTTTCACCCTAGAGCATAGTTCATTTTCATCCTAGTCTACTTTACCTCAGCACCGTGAATAAAATCCCCGGGAAAAAGTCAAATTGGATCAAAAAGGGGCGCGGTCACACCAAACAAACCTCGTCTATTCGGGCGCCCCTGGTCGAAAAACCATTTGTTCTAAAAAAGAGCAATGGTTATTCAACAAGGTTATAGAATACCACTTCAGAGGCGTTCGCCTCAAAAGTGCATACATGAAAAAATCGTAATTGTGATTTGTGGAGATAAATTTTATTTCATCCAGTACTAAGAAATGACCTGCTGCATGCTTCATCAGAAAAGAGAGAACATTCACGGAATCCTGACATGTGGACAAAAGGGAAAGCCCCTTGCATTAATCAAATAAAGGTAGAGCACCAATGCAAGGCGACCAAAGATGTTTATATTACGAAAATTTCAATGAAGGAACCAATCAAATAGCTGACTGAATAAAGCTGACATTAAAGATGTCACCCTTATCATTCTTTGTTTTGGTTGGGCCAGACTGCCACTGTATAAATCAAAGTTAATATGTGGAAAACGTTTTACTGAATTATATTATTCAAAAGAAAGAAAAGTTAGTAGTTAGAGGTTAAAAGTGGAATTAGCTAAATTTCAAAGCTGTATGGAAACTCCTATATTCCTTGAAGTATTTTCGCGGATCTTCGGTTGCCAACCAACATTTCGATTAATAAAAGTGCTATTTATTTTCATTTTCAGATCAGATGACAAAAGTGGAGTTACAATTAATAGCTATTATCTTTAATGAGTCTCTCTAAACCAAACGTGTATCGAGTCCTCAGTGTGCTTATTGTATACGCTTAAAGGGTTCCGATTAGCATCCCGTATAAAAACAATATGGCGGCTCCAGGCGAATCAACTGGATCAGTCCACTTTTAAGAAATAAGGGGAGTTCTGTAAAATCCAGTTTATTGAAATTGTCTTTGAGATAAAGTAATCCGTTTATAATGATTTTGAAAACGTTATCCAAAGAGTGATTGCGTTCAAAGAATACATGTACAACAGCCAATATAAATCCTTGTATTAGAAACCGGTTTGTCTTTCTTTGTTTCATTTGTAGGATATTCCATATGCAAAGCTGTGTGCTATTACGTTATGGGGAAATTTAGATGCCAATTTTTCCTTATTGTACACAAATAAAAGATCCTGAAACTTCACCCATAAATGTGGAATTGATTTGTCAAAATAAAAATCACCCTTTTATAAATGTGTGACGATCTATAATATACTTATGCTATATAACAGTTAGAGGTGTTGACACAACGACCTCAAACTTGTGAACCCTTGAGTATTATTCCGGGATCGGGCCTTTTATACTAAACGGTGAGCAACACCAGAAACGAGCGTTCGATTTGCTAAACGATATGCGTCACCCTTTAAAAGTAATTGGTTTGTTAACATGGGCTTTTTAGCAGAACCTGTTATAATAGTGGCGTAATGGATTTCTATTTGAGGATTATATTTTATTCATGTGATTAATATGTAACTAAACGTAAAACCAAGAGAATTTTGTTCTGAATACTGTATTATCCATCTATAGATCTCGACAATGTCAAAATATGAATGCACACGTGATCGACTGAGCTAGCACTGTTGTTATCTCATTGCAAATAGATTACTTAAACAATCGATAGACCTTGACAAACTTTATTTTCGTAACTCACGCCTAACCATCGGCGTCAAAAAATAGCGGAGTACAGTTTTCTGTACGGTGACGCAAAATGACTGTTTTGAAGCAAAAACTATGACTAGAGGGTTTTAAAAAATTAATTTGATGAAAACAAATACGATTTCATGTGAAATAAAAACAGCATTCTCTTAGAAATGGTTTTAACTTTCTAATTATGATAAAAGTTTTACGAGCACTCTTCGGATTTTTTCTGTGTGAATCGGCCCACATGATCGACAAAAGTGAAAAAGGTTGTTTTTTCACATTTCGTTTGGTTATTATCTTCCCTGACGTCTGAGAGTATGGATTATTTTTATGAGAATATGTATTTGTTAACTACACATTTTAGAACGGGCGATAATTTAGCTTATAACCATTCATTGTGTTTATTTAGAAATGATCAGATTTGTACGGTGACGCATCAGCTGTACGGTGACGATTCATTATAATTTGTGAGAAGTAATATAAAGAACTCATTATTATTTACTTAAAATCGCATAAGTTTTGGTTTGGAAGTTCAAATATTGATCCAATCAAGTATTCCTCGTATAAATGTTGTCAAACTGATCAGTAGCAAGCGAAAGTTACTGCAGTCACCTTTGCATTTTGCCTCAAATTAAACTTCTTTTTGTGTCTCTTCCCTTGATCTGCTCAGTTGCTAATTATAACGGAACATAATACATTCGTGTTGGTGAAATCAATTAATTTAATATAACATAATAATGTCATGGCGTTATGCTTTGATGAACTAAAAATGAGACTACGCTTATATGAAATGGAAGTTATGGAGTATGATCATTTGTTCATATATTGTGCATGGGCGCCACAGTTCAACGATATCTTCCACCGCTAATGGAAGGTTACTGGAAATGTATAAAGGATCATGAAACCAAAAATTCAGTTTACTTGTTGCTATGTTATTGATGTTTTTAAACAAGTGATGTCACAAGTAAATCTCATCTTGCACGTGTGACTTTTTAGGATGAAAGATGCAATATCTTGCAGTGGGTAAAGATGACTGTAGGCTATCTTTGTAAGTCATATGAGAGAAAAGCATGGTTTAGTTCAAATGATATCAAAGCATTACGTCAACTTTCAAATAGTTAATTCCATGAAAACTAAAAATATCGAAATAAATACTTACTGTCCGCCATCTTAAATGCGAAGGTGACGGCCGTAACCTTCACTTGATACTCACCAGTGATAATCTTCATGTAGATCTGACACTTCTTTACCTCTTTGTTCAAACAGTTAGCTTAGAGTTGAATGTGTTTCAGTATTTAATCCTTGTTATCAGAAATGAATGGAAACATAAGGATCAATCTTTTTCAATGTTGAATGGGATACAACATTTGAATTTCCACACAAAAACTTATGGAATCTTAGTTAATACTGAGCTCATATATTACACTTCATAAATTCTAAGGAATCGTCAACGTACAGCAGATGCGTCACCGTACAAATCTGATCTGTTTTAAACATATACAGTGAATGATTATTTGCCGAATTCTCATCTGTTCTAACATGTGTAGATAACAAATACATTCTCATAAAAATAATCCATACTCTCAGACGGCAGCTGGGAAAATAATAACCAAAGGAAAAGTGAAAAAACAACAGTTTTCTCTCGTGTCGATTATGTGGGCCGATCCAGTCAGAAAAAATCCAAGCAGTGTTCGAAAAACTTTTATCATAATTGAAAAGTTAAAACCATTTCTAAGAGAATGCTGTTTTTATTACACCCAAAATCGTATTTATTTTCATCTAATTAATTTTTTAAAACCCTCATTATAGTTTTTGCTTCAACTCAGTTAGTTTTCGTCACCATACAGAAAACTGTACTACTGTATTTTTTGACGCTGTACGGTGACGTCTGCTTACGCGATGGTTAGGCGTGTAACTATCGAATTTGAAAACTGTCCTTAATAAGATGAACTTGCACAGGAAGGAATACAGTAATGCAGTATTGACGAAATAATTCGGTTACTAAATACACTGACTTTTTTGTTGAAGCTAGTTCTAATAAGTTTAAATCTGTTGCAAATTGTTTGAAATTCGAAGAAAGAGATCTGACCATTTTATCCACTTTGTAGAGAAATTGGCCAGATTCTTTTTAATCAGACATTTCCCGATTGATTTAAAGAGAGCTTTGAATCATATGTATAAGGTTGGGTAGTCAAAAGTTTCGTTTTTTCTTATTAATAAATATTTGCTTTTCAAAAACTTACCACTTGATTTTAAAATTTAGGAGATCTAATAGAGGAGTTTCTAAATAGCGTTGAAATCTCGCTAATTCTCGTTTTTACATGAGATTTTAAGAGATTTGCACTTTTTTCCTTTAATGAATTACCTTTTACCTTTATTTTTGATAGCATATTTGGATTCAGTAACAAACTTTCTCCAATTATAGCTTTGCTTTACACAGTTAAGTCCTTTAAATCATTTTCCATGACATTTTAAAAAAACTTGGGCCAAATCTCCATTGGTGCAATGCTGAAATCCATTAAAACCTTGATTCATTGCACAGAATTTGTCAAATATTTCACTGCGCATGCGCAGAACCATTACTTCCGGTTTTTCAGAGCCTATGGGATTTATAATGGAGACATTTTTGAACGCTTACTGTGGGAGTGGTGTTGGTTTGACACCTTAGTAATCTCAGGTTTCTATAACTAGACATCAATTTCTTTTGATTTAACATGTCTCAATCGATGTACATTTGCAAAGTTTTCGGCCCATTTGTTTTGAAAAAAAAAGATAAAATCAGCAGGAATTCATGCATGACGTCATTGAAATTCATGTAAAATGACGTGAAAATAGTGAAAATGGCATACTTTGACAATCTGGTAGAACTACTTCAAAGCATATGATATCTTATTAATAATCTCAGGTTTCTGTAACTTTAAAGGTAGATCTGTTTGATTCTGTTTAGAATAGGGTCCAATTACCTCTAACTTTTCGGCCCATTTGTTTTGAAAAAGTGACATTTTGAGTCTTGACTTTCTGAACAAACAATGTAGTTACTCTTTTAGAAAGGTGTCTTAAAGTTACAATTCTATTCGCCGTGAACCATTTACTTGATATATTCTTGTACACTGGCCGCGGGCCTCTCTTATATTTTATTTGGTTACTCTTAAAAGGTGATCCAAAGTGAGAAGTAATTTTATTTTGTCTTTTCTTCATTTCATAAAATGGCGGCACAGCTAAAATTCTGTGGGTGCACAGGGATGCTTTGGACTTATTTACAAAGAGCTATTTTCTATGACAGCTCATTAATAATGCAAAAATAAAATTAATATGACAATTAAATGGTATATTCTTTCCCTTTTTATTGAACAAGGGCCATTCAAATGGTAACTAACAGAATATTACATTTCGGAATCGGGCATTTTCACTTAATGTCGAGCCACATATTTTTTAGTGAAATTACGTCACGATTTTAGTTACGACGTGACATCTATCGGCTATTCGACCAATTCTGTGCAATGTTATTCGTATGACAACCACTATTTTCATGTTTAATCACAATGTGTACATTGACAGGGCCATCCAATAGTATTCCATTCGAGTTTCAGACAGATTCAACCAACACTTTTTGATAAATCATGAAATTAAGTGACTATTGCAAGTTTCTAACATTGAAATGAGTGGAGGTCTGCCCCTAGAAAATCAAAGACAAGCAAGGGTGACATCTATTATGTAAGCATTTTCCAGCTATTTAGAAACTATACAATTGTAGAATCATTACAAGTATGTATCAAGTACCAATAATGTATTACCATTTAAAAGATGGCAGTATTCATATACTGATTTAGAGAAGTATCTCTCATTTCGAATATACTGATAAGGCCATAAGAAGTAGATTCTTTGTTTTGCGTCCCCTTGCTTGCACGATTTTGAGTAAATCGGAAAAAAAACAAACACATCAAAATAGCAATCACAAGGGTCTGAAAGTACCATTACATTTCGTTCAATCAGAATCAGACGAAATGGCGGATAATTTGATGTGCGTCAAAATTGACAGTGTTATAATTATTTTGGCATACATTGTGTATTTTCTTATTTTTTACCTTTGAAGTTTAAATATATTGTATAAAATGTATAGATATGTATTGTAATCACTGCAAATTGGTATGTCATCCCTTTTTATGCCGAAAAAATGTATACATTTCTCAGCAAACAAGTTTGTGTTTTTTCTTGAGTTTGTGTTTGTTTTCCTTGTACCCTTGCATGATTTGGATTTTGCCAGGACGCAAAACAAAGAATCTACTTCTTATGGCCTAATGTGGCAAAACCTACTCTAAATAGATGTCAGGCTTGTAGTTGATTTAGCAAGATTATACCAATAAATGTTGTAAGAGACTCAACTTACTTCATTCATTATTGCTGTCATTGGCGTGCCGGGTGACTTTATTATCTGTTTGGGATATAAATAACTGGATTCTTGTTCTAGTTTACAAGGACGTGTAAAGCCATGTGGAAAGGATGGCAAACGCACAAAACGTTTACAGAAAAGTATTTTTGACATTTTCAATTGTCACTGAAATATTGTTGAACATTATGTAATATAGCCGTAAAATACCATATTTTGTTCAGTTTTGACTCCATTTTTTAACTTTGCTACTTCCATACTCGCTACTCGCATCTTTGAATTCTGGGGAAAACCCTAGAATTCAAGGATGAATCTTTACATTAAGATAGGATCATCTTTGAATATTTGGGTTATTCCCTCGACTTGCAATGCGCCTGGTACATGTACATCAAATATTACAACACGTCAAAAATACGAACGGTATGAATTTAAATAGTGGACCATGATCTCTTTGAGAACGAATTTGAAATTGTGTCAACCCATGTGTCAGAACACTGCGTGGGAAGATAACATTCTCCGTTGTTCAGTTCATTTCATATTTTTAATGACATAACCAGCGTGAAGTTTTCTAGGCTCGAAAGGTTAAAAGAGAATCGAAGATCGTGCCAGTGTGTTCGGATTATTGCAGAAGACTCTGACGGATTTGACAGCGGACCATCGACTCGATCCCAATTCTGATATATTCTACATCTTAGGCTTATTTCAAAGTCACTCTATTCTCTTTACATGTTTTGATTTTCTCGTGATTTATGCATTTAAGCAATGTAACAATGAATTTATCAATTTTCTTCACAAATTTTATTTTTCAGCATCAGAAACTGATTTTAGAGCTTGTGTTTTATCATATTTCAACCACGGGAAGCTAATACTCTGCATGAATGAATCAATTTATTTACATTTCTTAAGACACAAACTAATGTATTAATCTCGGAATCGATATATTATTTATCTTGTCCACGTCAATTGGAAATCGCCTTTATTGGCATATCTGCCGTCGGGGAGATGTATCTATGGGTAGTGCCAACTCGTTGACCCCCATCAACTACAAGAGACGAGGAAATCACTGAAGAGCGATCGATCGCGATTACGTTGTAAAATCAGAAATAACACGTGAATCATTTTTCTTTTGTTTATATCTATATTATCACTGGGGTAGGTCGATGCCCTATATGATTTATCTTATTTATGGTAAAAGGACGGACGGATGAATATAGGGAGTGTACAATGTATGTATGATGTTGACCCTTTAAGGATATACCAGTGTAACCCTTACGACAATGGTGATATATTTTTAAATTACAGAAATAGAAAATTAACACCTCTATGAAAAGCTCGTTTGTTAACTTCACGTTTGACAAGTGTTCTGTATTAAATATCAAGGACGCAGAATGACGATATATGACGCTTTGCGACATAGTAATCCATAGCAACTATGAGATTCTCATTTTCAATGTTGTTTTATCATGACGTCATATAACACTTTTGTTAATGTTTTCTCGGAATATGATACCATTATCTGTGACGTCATCGACATATTGCCCCATCAACAAATAAACAAACAAATGAACTATACGTCATCAATTCTTCCAAATAATTCAGTAATTTTTTGTATATTCTTGTTTCATTCAAGTTTCGTGTCCGTTTCTTTCGTTTATCCCAGCAGTATATGTGTATGTGCCCATGTATTACAAACACGACAAATCTAATTTGTAACTTGCTTCTTATTTCGATTCAGTCTGTATGAGTTTTCATTAAGTTATAGTCTATAGCCTATGTATTGACCAGGGGTATTTAATATCAAAAGGTAACTGTAAAATACAGTATTCTATTTTGGAATTTCTATAATTCATGTATACACTTATTACATGAACCACGGACACTTAAAGGATCCGTGCATGAACATTCATTTATATGTATTTCTATTGAAATCATTACCTTGTTTCGTTCTGTCAAACCAAATACCATCAAACATGTCAAACAAGCCATTCAAACCTTTGTTCAATTTATGTTATTATTCTATATTTTTTATAATTATAGTTACCAGTTAAAAATATTTTCCCCAGTAAGTATTAACGACCATGATCGGACATGCCGGATACAATGCGAAAAACGTCCATAGCCGTTCACAAAAACACATTATTCGTGTACTACATTCAGTAGACGTATCTTGCTCAAATCCGACAGCTTTACATAAGTGGGGACCTCGGGGTGAGGAATGCACAGGGAATGTACAACCCCACCCGAAAATCATCAAAAAGCACACATGCTATATATCACGAGTGAAATCATTCATGCCTGATCTGCGAGGTTATACTTGTGAAGGCAGTTCATTAAGACAGGACATGTTGAGTTTTCACAATTGTTAAACTCAAATGTAACGTTATCCTTTCCCGAAAAATGAACAGAAATATTAGCGTATTAGAATAGGACACAAATATAGCTATTATTTGCCATTTTAATTATCATCGTTTATTGAATGAATGTCTTACTGGGGCATCTAGCCGTCAATTTATTCATAATTTATAATATTTTGAAATGATGATTATCATGTGGACTTAGCTAGTTTATGTTTTTGTGAGCAGTCGATTTTGTTAATTCTTGAGAAAGACGTCATATATTTAGTTAAATTATGACGCGAATTGACCAGTGGCTTTTGTATCATCGTCAAATCACATCAAACTTCAACGGCATTTTCAAGCGTAAAACAGACCTTTGACCCTATGTTTTCTTTATATCAAAATAAACACGAGAACACATTTTTTAAAATGAGCAAATAAAACAAATACCTCAATCGATTGGAAATTTGCGTAATTTTCGATTCAAAACGTGTCAGAATGTGAAAATGAAAAAGTTCATTTTTTAATGGAAAGACGTTACAAAATCTGACAAATAGGTTTGGGTTAGGGGAAACACTTTAAGTAGAAAAACTAAGAAAAAATGTCTTGAGTGTGCCAAAATTAAAACTAACGTAATTATAGATAAATGAAGTTTATCTAGGAGCTTCAAAAATCGTCAATACTTCCTAAATCATCATTTTATCAAAGAAATATAGAAAAAATATATTTTTGGCTGTGAAATCAATGCCGCCACAAATGTTCAAATGAGGATAACGTCACAACTGTTTTCAGAAGCTTCTTGTGAAAAAACTAAACCTTTGACCTACCCTTTTTATTACATATTTCGAATCGCTTCATCTATGTCTATAATAAAAACCTAGTCTCGTTGAGATTGAAAATGGTCGATTTTTCGGAGGTTACACTGGTATATCCTTAAGGGGGTTCTGGCTTGAAAGTGTTGAGTATGGACAAAGAGCATTGGCTCGCAAAGTGCAACATCGATATTTTTGCCATATATTGGCGTGTCGTGAATACCAAATTCGAATTCAAACAGCCGCCATTTTGTTCACTTCAACATTTGAATCGTGAATTTTGGTCTATTTTCAGACCAAAAACTTCCAAAACTCAAGAAATTATATATACTTTGGTTGGTGACCTCCTTCTCATCTAGAGCATTCCCGCGTTATCTTAGCTATAAAACTTAATTCGCTAAAAAATATCACGAAACATATTAAAATTACGAATCAGCAATTAAAGTCACTTGTGTATTTTGCATTTCGGTATTCTTTAAGAGAAGAATTGATTAGTGGATTCGTAACTGAACGCTGTTTCTAGAAAATAGACCCCAATGCTGTTTTCAAGATGGTATGCTCAATGATCAGATCTGAAATCGCGGCTTAAGCACTTAGAAATATACTAGATTTATCATTATCAATACTTATAAAACAATACTTTATTCCGGAAAATTAAGGTATTTGGCTTTCCTTT